CTCTCTCCCTTCTCACCTCCTCGTCTCCTCTCTGACCTCCTCTCTCTCCTCTGACCTCCTCGTCTCCTCTCTGACCTCCTCTCCTCTCCTCTCTCTCCTCTCTGACCTCCTCTCTCTCCTCTCTGACCTCCTCGTCTCCTCTCTCACCTCCTCTCTCACCTCCTCGTCTCCTCTCTCACCTCCTCGTCTCCTCTCTCACGTGTTCCTCGCTCTCGTCGTCTCTCTGAATTCTCTGAATTCCTCGAAGGATCTGTCGGCCGTCTGCCCGCTGACTCGTTTCCAGCTCGTTAAATTTTGAGCCAATCATCGGCCCTCGTCTGCGTCTCACCTGCAGAGCCTCACAGACTCTCAGCTGTCTCTGAACGACCTTCTTCTCTAACCTGAATGAAACATCAGGAGGTGAACACGTCTGAAGATCTCTCACCATCTTGTCCTTCTTTCTTTTTGCTCTTCCTGCTTCTTTTCTTCTTCCGTTGGTTCAGAACGCTCTGCGCCTCGGCGGTCTGCTGCAGACGGGCCATGAACCTCTCCACGTCGTCAAAGCAGTGGTTCAGGATCTCCTGAAGAAGAAGAAGAAGAAGAAGAAGAAGATGTTCGCTCTGAGTTTGAAGTTTGAACCTCAGCGACAGGATGAGAATCAGAGTGAGTTATAAAGTGGTTTTATCTCCTGGATCGTTTGTTCTGTTTCCTGTTTTTGTTCGGTTCAGACTCACCGGCTCTGAAATAAAGTTTTACATCAAATCAAATCAGAACTTTTCCAGTATCACTGATTTAAACTCCTACAGTAAGTCTGCAGTAATCACATTTATTAAAACACTTTATAAAGAAGGATTCACTTTAAACTCTCCTGCAGTATCCAGTGTTTTTATTCTGTATATCAGGAGGTACTTTTATACTTTTATACTTTTATACTTTTATACTTTAATACTTTAAATATTTTAAATATTTTAAATCTTCTGTTATTTATTTAAAAAGTTCTTTTTAACTTTTCTGCTTTTAAACACGTTCATGTGACTTTATTATAAAAATATCTTTATTTTTCAGATTAAGAGTCTTAACTGTGATTTTCTGATCCTTTAATCTCCTCCACTCCTTCGACCTTCAGATGTTCTGAATCATCGGTGGAGTACGTACCACCTCTCTCTCTGCGTTAACCTGTGATGATGTGTGATTCATCTCTCCACTGTCGCCGTTCTCTGTGCAGAAGAAGAAGAAGAAGAAGAAGGTCGTCAGATGAAGGTCAGGAGGACGACTCGGCGTCTTGCACATGCTCACACAGTCACAGGTAAATCTACCTTTAGCAGTTCGTCTGTAGACGGGCAGCACACCTGCAGGAAGCTGCTCTCCTGGAGGAATCATGACGCGGACCCCTGAAGGCTTCCTCGGGACCACCGGAGGAGGTTTCTTAGCAGACATCTGTTGTGAGTGAAGTCAGTAATGTTGGTATGTGAATGTTTCTTGTTTTCTAAGCAGGTGAGAATATATGAGAGATCCTGATGAAGATGAGCTCCTCTCAGCTCCATCTGAGGGTCCTCAGAACCATGAAGGAGAACTTCATCTCCTGCAGCATTCCTGCAGCTGCTGCTAAGAATGTGGAGTATTCTGTCTGCACACTCGCGTGTCCGCCTGCATGAGCACATGACAAGAAAAACCACAGCTGCCTGCGTGGTGTTCAGCCGACACAGAAGAAACTAAAGAAACTAAAGAACCTCAGACTAACTCTAAAGTTTGCTCTGAGTTCAGTTTTCCTCTCTGCAGACGTCCCTCCACCTCCAAAGGAGCAAAGAGCGACTTCTTCAGACGTGAGAAACTCCTCAGTCAGTGCAGGAAACTCCTCATGAGATCATAATAAACACTGAAATATTCTGATATGGACTCTTAAAAACTACTAAATAAGTTTACCTTAAAAACTGAGGACTAACACGAGCCCAGGTGTCCCTGTCTCTGTAAACCTCTGTCAAACACACACACACACACATGCACATGCACACTAACACACACACACACACACACACACACACACACACACACACACACACTCTCTGTCTGTGTAAAGTGAGTTTATAAAATAGACATGACTGTACCTTCAGACTGAGAGTTGAAATCCAGACGCAGAAATAATCCTCGTGTTGATCCGTTTGTTCACCGAGTTTCTCTGTGAACACGAGGAGGAGGAGGAGGAGGACGGCCCACCTTCCTCAGATATGCAGACAAACGAGTCTGACTTAATCAGATGTCGCTTTCTCTCTCACCTCTGATTCTCTGACACACACACACACACACACACACACACACACACACACACACACACACACACTCTTCCTGACATTTCTCTCAGCAGCTCCCCGAGGTCGGAGCCGGAGGCTGCAGTCTGATCTCAAACTGATGTTATTCCAGGAATGTGATGAAGTCTCCTTCAAACCAACAAAAACACACAAACTGATCCTCCAATCACGGCGAGTTTCACCTGAGATCATGACCACCAGACTCAGGGGGACAAAAACAAAACCTCCATCAGTTTTTGGTGCAGAAACATCAACACAAAAATATCAAACTCACAACCTTCTTATTTCTCTTTCAGAGATAACAGATTCTCAGCTGATCCGAGGGGCTTTTTTTGTAAAGGAACTTCCTTATATGGTCGTAAGCCCCACCCACCAATCACATGCAGTCAAACTGATTTCACACCTGAAGGCTGATAGAGATTTCTGCTCTTTAAAATCCTCAGAGGAGAAAAACACAGTTTGTCACATCAGGTGTATTTAAATGGGAGTTTCTCCTTGTTGGAATAATAAAGGAGTTTCTAATCTTAGAGACACAGACGTGTTGGTTTCATCTCTTTTCATTGTTATACTGACAACAGTCAGATATATGGGACACTTTAATAGGAAAAATGTTTTCTCCCTCAGACCACCTCTGTCGTGTCTTGAAGACGTTAAAGTCTGGATGAGAGAAAAACTGAAGTGACGGTCTTTGGTCCCAGTGGTCCTTGTGAATCCCCTCCTGTAGACTTGGGTTTTTTAACAGACTATTTAAAACCAACCGTCTCAAATTTGGGTTTGAAGATGGATGCTGATTTTGAAGGTAAATTAGTTCAGTATTTAAATCCAGTTTTTATCATATTAGTCAGCTGACTGAGGTCAAGTCTTTCCTTATAATCTCTTTGAAACAGTAATCCACGCCTTTGTTACGTCTCAGTTTCCTGGATTACTGTAACTTTACTCTGGAGTCACTTACCCCGCTCTCCCCTACACTCAGCCAATAACAAAAAGGTACTGCAGTTAAGAAAAGTGAGATAAAAGTGAACAGCGACCCCCAGTGGCTCAACTTGACTATTACACATCAGCTGAGAAAATCCACTCAGTTCATCAGAAAGAGGAGAAAACCCTGACCCTGATCCTGAGTCTGACACCCTGACAGACCGTCTCCTGTTTCTGGACCTTTTCTCATTAATTAAACTGATTCAGAAGAGTTTATAGCAGACACCAGGACAACTGCACAGAGAGTTAAAGACACGATCGATAATCATCTTCTGTCTTATGAGAAGAAAAAAACTTGGTCAGGCTCGTTCACTTCCTTTGTGGTTTTTTTTTAAATTTTTTTATCTGCACTGTTTCCTTTTTTTTCTTTTTTTGCATCAGTAACTTCCATCATGTTTCTTTTTTTTTTTTTTTGCCTTTCTTTTTTTCTGCAGCAGTGGCAGCTCTCGGCCACCGTACATATAACTTCCATGGTATTTTTTTTATCTGCACTGTTTCTTTCTTTCTATCTTTTGCATCAGTAACTTCTGTTTTTTTTTAATTTATTTTTTTATCTGCACCGTTTCTTTTTTTATTTGCATCAGTAACTTTCGTTGTGGTTTCTCTCTTTTAAAAAAAAAATATATATATATATTTTTTTTATTATTATTTATTTATTTTTTATTTGCAGCAGTGGCGGCTCTCGGCCACCGTAGGTTCGTACACTAGTGTTTTCTTGTCCTCCTCCCACAGAAACACTCTGTGGTGATGTTTGTGGGAAATCTGCAGGTTGCATACACAGTCACAGTCACACCCTCTCAGCCCCGCGCGTGTGTGTGTGTGTGTGTGTGTGTGTGTGTGTTTAAGTGTTGTCCAGCCCCCCTGCCCCTCTCTGGGGTCGTCAGTTCGGCCCCCTCTCTCCTCTCATTGGTCTCCTCAGTTTCTCCTTCATGACTTCTTCTCGGGTTTTCGTCGACAGAAGCTCCAGAGAAACGTGGTCGGTCAGAAGTTGTTGAAGTATCAGAGCAGACTCTCTCCTCACAGACAGATCTGTGAGTTTATTACAGATTATCCTCTGAAGACAAAAACAGGAGACACTGTGGGTTAGGCTTCTTCTCACAGAGGGACGCGCAGAGCCGGACTGCAGGAACCTTCAGTCCTCTCCTGGACTGTCAGCATGGTAAGTCCTCCTCTCTGACTCTTCAGTACCCTCTCCAGTCCTCCTGTGTCTCTGTCTGTCCGGACTGTTTCTCTCTGAACTTCTTGGTCCGTTATTAATGAAACTTGACGGTCTGACTTTAATCTCCTCTGAACAGCTGATTTCCTGCACAGCAGCAGAACTTATCATGAAGTTTCACACATGAGGTTATCAGTCTTTCTGCCAGGAGACTTCTGTATCAAAAACATGCAATAAAAACACAGCAGCAGTATAATAAAGTAGACACACAGCTGCACAGTAAAGCTGAGAGAGTTGTAGATTTATTCTCTGAGTATAAATGCAGCTGATCATTCCTCCACTGTAAGATTATTGTGAAGATCTAACCTGATCACCTCTCTGTCCTCGAACACTGAATATCAGAGACACTGAGTCCCAAACTCAGACAGTATTATTTCACTATTTCACCTAAAATCATCTTAAACCATAAAAACACAAACACACACGTGACAGATTAAAATACGACAGGAGGAGTTTTTAACGGAAATAAGAATAAAGAGAGAGAGTGTGTTCATGATTGATGGCTGCACAGGTTATGTAATAGTTGTGTGTGTGTGTGTGTGTGTGTGTGTGTGTGTGTGTGTGTGTGTGTGTGTGTGTGTGTGTGTGTGTGTGTGTGTGTGTGTGCGTGTACATGTCGTTGGCCCGTCTCCCTGCTGTATTTAATGTTTGCAGATCTCTGTTACTGAAACCTGTTTCTTTAGTGTGAGATCAAATATAAAACAGATCTGAAGTAGGCTGGGCGATATGTGAAAACTTAAATCACGATTATAGATGGGAACTGATAAGATTTTCTCGATATCGATGCCATTATTGATTCTGCTTATCGATTCAATTCTTTAACGATTCCCTTATCAATGCCTTTCTTTGAGTTATAAAAAAAAAGTAAATAAAAATTTTTCAACGTTAACTCAAAAATTTTAATGGGTCTCTGATAACTAAAAATAATCAAACAACAAACTGTTAGTACAGCGTTTACTTCATTCGGTATTAAGTCAAATTAGAGAGACCATATCCTGGATCCTCAAAATGAGGACATTACTAAGCGGAGTCAAACCTTTGAGGGTTTTTTGGGTCGGGTCGAGTGTTTTAGACGTGTTTCTAACTCAGTCAGTCCAAGTCTAGCATGTATTGTGCTTATGTAAACACAGGACATATGTACCTTCCATGCTGTTTCTGAGATGGAACAGCAGCGGCTGACGACCAGAAGAAAGGAATCATTAAAGGAATCGTTAAGATGAAATGAAAACGATGTCAATGATTGAACCATTTAGAACCACTCAGCAGTTCTTTTGAACGAATCGTTCATGAACGACACAAACACTAATGGTTTGGTATTCCCCGACTTTGTGAGAACATGTCCTCGACATAATTTACAGTCCACATTACTCTGCTTCATGTCCGACCTCCAAAAACCAAAATACCTCCACACCACCGACGTTTTCCTAACGCCAGTGTTGTGGTTGACATTGATGTGGTCATCTGTTGAGCCTTCATGGTCATTTCTGTCGGGGGTAGCACTCATTTTCTTTGTTTCTCACCAACAGTGCTGTCGGCTTCACCTGTTAAAGTGCTATGGTTGGGTGGAGCTGCTGTCTGCTACGACGCAGCAGTTGGTTGATACTTGGTTCTAATTCAGAACATGATTGGTTCAGACCCGGAGACACTCCCCTTTTCATTGGCTGTTCGTATAGTCGACCAAAACATGGAAGAACGCAGACTATCGAAAAGGACATTGACCATGTTTGATATATATCATTATCGTTTTATTGCTCAGCCCTAATCTGAGGTTCTAACTCTCATTATGAAAGGTGTGATTGTTGGGTTTCCTCTGTGGCTCACACACAGATGTAGTCCAGTCCTGTTTCGGTTGATCACCTCCTACAGAGAAAAAAAAACTGGCTCTCTCTCAAAGGTGACGTATGTCGGTGTGGATCTGCGTTTGTGAGAGGCTCTTTATTCCGAGTGTTTATGGAGGTCTGGAGTGTCTGTAAGCAGGAGCGGGGTGTTAGAGCGTCTTTAAAACATCTGTATGTAAACTCATAAAACCGCTCCATACATGCTGTGTGTATATATATGTGTGTGTATATGTGTGTGTGTGTGATTCTGACTGATGACTCTTTGTGGTTTAAGGGAGGATACAAACTGTTGGGTAACAGCTCTGACACACAGATCTGTAGGTTTGGGGGCAGGAAGAACAAAAACATCTTTAGTTTATCTCTGAGAAACACTTCCTGTCACAGCCGCCGCCGCCGCCAAAGTACCGCTTTGGTACTTTAGAGAAACCTGAATGTGGTCTGAGGATCGGAGACATAAATAAGTGACATTTACTAGTTTACATGTTCAGATCTCTTTAGAGCTCCTGTGAGGAGGTTTTTGACATGAAACCGACTTAAATCCATGTTGATGCTTTTTCATGATAAGACCATTATCTGAAGACTGACTCGTTTTATAGAGTGACTTTGAACGCCTCCAACCAGAATCAGAGGGCAGGTGTTTATTTGTCAGGAGATACGACTAAGAGACAAAATAAAGAGACTGTTTTTATTGATGCTGAAAGTTTCTCTGGAGTTTGAAGATGTTCGATCATCATCGTATTTATTTATTTTTAAATGTTCTGAACTGAAATACAAACTGAGTTTTCATGTCTTTACTGTGAAATATTTTCCTCTGCACAAACTCAGACTCTGTTTTGATTTCACTACCTGGAGATAAAACTCTCCGACTGCAGTTATTTATAGTTTTATCTGATATCATGAATGTGTACTCGTAGTACAAATACACGGCAGTATTTACGGTGTAAATACAGAGTAAAGTAAACAGGCATCTTTGTGAAGACAAGCGTTAGATGACATGTTTTATTTAACGTGTGTGAGTGGAATAGAAAAAATAAGAGTCCTGTGTGTGTGTGTGTGTGTGTGTGTGTGTGTGTATACACTCTATGAAGGGGGCTCTGGGGTAGGAAGTTAAATCCGGGTTATCTAAGTATAGAAAAGACTGAAATAGTCGGGTAGGCCACCTTTACTGAAGGGGACAGGACCTGAAGTGTTTCCAGCTCCACAGCAGTTCAAGTGTTCAAGTCAGATCTGTGATCAATACATCAGAGTGGAAAAACAATAAATTATTTTTTCTTCCTATCGATCTAAAAGTGAGTTTATTATGATGTTTGTAAAGTTAACCTTACTCAGTGTAAAGTCGTAGAAAAGTGGCTGATATAAACTCAGAAAACTAATACAGCTGGTGTTGGGTTCATTAAAACTCGATCATTAATTGTTGATCACTTTTCTGATCAAACAGCTGATTATTGGTTTATCAGAGATGTGAGACCTCCACTCCTGACTCCATCAGTCTTTAAAACATTGAAATAAACTTTAGTACCCCCCGTTTCTCTCTCCTGCTACTACTTTATATCCACCACATGGTCTGCCGGACCACCTCAGCACCGCCCAGAGAGTGGACCAATGTGAACCTAACACCTCCCGCAGGGTTCCCCCACCCACTCCACCCACATGTCACCCAAGACCCTTCCTCCTCCTTCACTGGGGGGTCTGCCTACTGGCTGCTGCTCCCCCCCTATCATGAATATTTTTGTCTCTCTGCATGTGTCAATGTTTTTTTCTGGAGTCACCTGACTCATCTGGACGTGCGTCTCGTCCTTCTCTGGGTTACACCTCCTGTAATTTTCCGTTCTCTCCAGCTGATAGCGGCGCTGAAACCACAAATCATCCAGATGGGTCGTATCTGAAAGACGGCTGGACCTCGCTTTGGCCGTTTTGGATCTTGTCCACTTCTCTGAGTTTATGTTGTCGGTGATGTGATGCTCATGGAGGAGTGAAACCTGACTTTAGGTTATTTTCAGCCTCACTGTACTTGGCCTCAGCCGTGATTTACAATCAAACCAGTCAGTATAGACAGAGAAGTTAATGTGGAGAGACGATTGTAAGTTAGTTCAGATCATTTTAGAGAATTTCAAAGACAAAAGTGAAAAAGAAAAGACGTTTAAATACAAAACTACAACTAAAACGAAACAAACAGACATCAGAATCAGAGATACTTTAATAATCCTCAGGGGGAAATTGCTCAAAGTGAATAAAACAAATACAATTAAAATGAATACAGCAGCAGCTTTACTGTTGAGTTTGCATTAGTTTTAATGACCGACCACAGCTCTGCTTTAGCTGTCTGAGAGCGAGACTAAAAATACAACTGAAAGCTCTGCCTTCAGGTTAGATACATCATTTCCTGTTTTGTTAAAGCCACTTAAACTCAGAGTCTGAACTTGTGGTAAAATGTTCACACAAAGTTAATGAAGGCGGATTCGTCCTCGGTCACACATTTGTAGGTTTGGAGAAGTTGTTGGTCGAGCAGCAGCTGCGACTGTGTAGCAACAGTTGTTGTTCTCATATGAACCTAATGTAAACGGAGATGTGTCAGTGTGCATGTGTAATTAAAGCACATAGTGTAGGGTATCTCTGGCGCTTTGTCAGTGGGCGGAGCTAAGACTGATAAAGTTATAGTCTGCAGGAATGACCATAACTGTGCGTTAGTTAAACAGCTTTAATAGACAGAAATAGAAATTTTATTACACTTGTTCCCAATAGGTGGCGCTATAACTGTTATTACAGTTGATAATAGAGGGCGCTGTTCTCAGAGTGGCTTCACCCAGAGAGGAGGCAGACGGCGTCCATTCTAGATACAGTCTATGGTGCTGAGCAGAGGACCCGACAGTGTCCCCCTAACATCCTCAGAGCGGTTCTGATGACTTCAGAATTCGTAGGAAGGTTCGGTGATGTCACAGATGTTCCCGGACTGTTCCAGTATGTTTACAAATGTCCAAAATTTTCTAAAACGTTCCGGAATGTTCTTGATCTTTTAGAATGTCTTTGATTTTACAGAATGTTATTGATCTTTTAGAATGTCTTTGATGTTACTGAATGTTTGGTGATATTCTAGAAAATGGGTGTCAAAGTCAAATGGACGGAGGGCCAAATAAAAAATTTAGCTACAAGCCGAGGGCCGGACTGATCGAATGTTCATTGAAAACTTTTTAAATGACCCATATAGTCTAGTGAACCTAATTGAACCTACTGAAAACCTAACAAATATATTCCAATATGATCAGATAAATAAAGCTATATTTTCTTATGGCTCTGTCAGTAATCTTTAATTTTCAACAGACACAAAAGACAAATTTCCAGTAGTGTTGTACGCTTCGGCCAGAGAGTCATTGTGATGACGCTCGCTCAAACAGCGTATCCCTCGGGTGAGCACCATCCTTGTACACCCATGGCTGTATCAGGTGTCAATCATAGGAAACAGTCTATGCTCTGATGGCTGTAAATCACTAAAAATGACTCCTGTTGGATTTTTGTAGGTCTTAGCATCACAAACATATATTATATTGTGTATATATATATATATATATATATATATATATATATGCATGCCCAATGTCAGAAATGTAGTTGGAAGTGACCTCTATATGGACCCCTTTTTGGGGGTCCAATGAAGCCACGTTGGACCCACTCGCACAAGACCCATTAGATATTAAAGTTTTATCACCAGACCTGCTGTGTGTGCAGCGTTTGGTGAATTTTGGGGTCCTGTTTAAGACCCCGAGTGAGAGATTTATTGTGTAAATGAAAGAATCCTAATCCTCAGGGTCTCCTCACTAGTTTAAATGCTGTATGTGAATATCTCAGAATAAATGGTTGAATAATAGCTCAGGTAGTAGAAGAACTTTTGATTCCATGAAACCTCCAGGATAAAAATGTTTGACTTCTGGATTCTAGTTCACAGGATTCTGTCCGGTTCTGAGAGTCTCAGCGGACCAGAACCAGCCTGTTTATTTAAGGACCGCAGCCTGAGTTATGGCACACGTGTGTTAAAGCTGTGTTTACAGACAGCAGAGTTTCCAACACACCTTTTCCTCTCACCTCTCGGCGGTCTCGGTTCTGTCCCATCGGGTTTCTTCACATGTGGTCGTAGAGCGCGGTGGTTTCTGGGAGATGAGAGGTTTGGCTCAGTGGGTTAGAGGAATGTGAAACGGACATACGAACGCCGGCATCATTCACATGTCTCTGTGTGGTCATGACCTTTCTTACCTTACTTATTTTTCTGAACGTGCTTGACTGAAATATTTACCCCTCCTCAGAGAACACGTCAGAACTCATGTGGACTCGAACTGTAAGTTTTTGTCTCCTTGTTTTCTCGTTTTACTTCTTTGTCTTTCTGTCAGACGGAGAAACCGCCGCTGGACAGCAGCGAGGACAGGGCCTGGCTCGGCGAAGGCCACTCTGAGACTCAGCTCGCTGACGTGAACGGGGCGGATGAAGCTGGTGACGACCGGCCAGCATGGGACTCTAAGATCCAGTATGTGTTGGCCCAGGTGGGCTTCAGCGTGGGCTTAGGGAATGTGTGGAGGTTCCCCTACCTCTGTCACCAGAATGGAGGAGGTGGGTGTGTCTTTAAGGAGGGGCTGTTATATTTTAACAACAAATATGAAGTTAGAGTGAAGTGCGGCCATATTTCTTTATTCTTTTTTATTTTTATCAGGCAGAAATAAAATGAGTCCGATCACAGTCACACATCTGTGCCAAACAAACAAACATTCCCAATCAGACCAACATCTTCTCCCGTCTATTACTCTCCCTTGTTTGATGTTTCTTCTTCCATCCAAATTCAGCTCGGTGAATTTGTGTTTTTCCGCTGTAATTTACAGAAATCTTCCCATTCTTCCTCAGATAGGACCAAATCTCCCTCCTTTCCCATCAACATTTAATATGAAGGATGTTGGAATTCGAGAGTCTTGAAAACTTTTATAAAATCTAGATCTTAATTTCTTTCCACTCCCAGATTTATAAATTGATCAATTGTCAAGATTGAATGTAATCGATGTCTCACTTGAAGATATCTGAAAAAAACATATTCCTTTTTGAGATTATCCGAACTCTTCACTGACCCGTCGTCCAGGAAGCAGCAATAAACCATAAGACCTTTTTCCATCCATATTTTAATCGACTGTCTGTCCTATTTGGAATAAAATTCATGTCTTATGTAAACCAACCTAATATTTCACCTGCACCCTTTCAATTGTATTTCTTCACTATTTTGCACTCTCTGGTTTTTAGTCTTGTTTTTATCCAGGGGTTGTTTTCATTTGTAAGACTGTCCTAAGTGTCCTCAAGTAGCATGCAACAGTGGAGGAGTCCTCTAGAGAGCTTGACTCTGTTATAAAAGGCCTTAAAAAGCTGAAATCAAGTGTTTCTGAGGTTTTCAGAGGAACTCCTCTGAGCTCATTAAAAGAGTTTTTTCTTCAACTTTAATCAAAGTTAATAAAAGGATTCTGTAAAAACTGAGAATGAGCGGAATAACCCTTTAAAAAAAAGATGTTTGATTTACGATCAAACTTGAATGAAGATAGAGGACGTCAGCTTTTTTTAAAGGATTAAATATGATAATCAGAGTGGCAGAGGTCTATTGATCGATCAGTTTTTATCTCTCTCTCTCTCTCTCTGTCTCTCTCTCTCTCTCCATGTAGGGGCGTTCATGCTGCTCTATGTTTTCCTCCTGCTGATTGTCGGTGTTCCTCTGTTTTTCATGGAGCTGGCGGCCGGCCAGAGTATCCGCCAGGGAAGCATCGGCGTTTGGAAACACATCTCCCCAAAGCTGGCCGGGATCGGCTATTCCAGCTGCATTGTGAGGCTTCGCTTCGTTTCACGTTGGTTCTGTTGGATTTTCTCCATTTGGACCGAAAAGTTCTTCTTCTCTCCGTTCTGTTCAAGTTTAAAGGGAGGAGGCAGGAAAATCAGTCTTTCTGCCTTTTTTATTTGGAGTATCTAAACTTGGAGCAGTCCTCCGGAGAGAAGGGTTGATGTTTTCTCACACATGTCAGCAGAGCGATTAACTGGAACTCAGAGTATCCCTGTGAGGGCGGCGGTGGCGGCGGTGGCGGTGGTGGCGGTTTGGTAGTTGCTGCTGCTGTTTCATGGTCAGGTTTCAGAGATCATAAATGCTCTGATTTAAGAATAAAAACATTTTTACACTCGTATTTCCACCTTCAGCTGCTCCATTAATCAGAAAAAAAGACGTCCACGTTACACAACTCTCTGAACAACTGTGTTTTACGAGCGGCCGTGCTCCTGTGTGTGTGTTTAGTTAAGACAGGGCGATGATGACATCCTGCCATGCTGTAATGTGAGAGAGGCAGCGCGCTTACTGCTGCCAGTGTGTCGTTGCAAAACAGTTTTTCAGCCGAGGGGACGAGGCAAACTCAGAGTGGACAAGAACTTTCTGTGCACACACACGGCAAACAGACGTACACTTGTCCTCTCAGGTGTTTTTTTTAGACCTGTTTCTTTGCCTAAAGGCCGCGCCGCTCTGCTGGTCCCAGTTAATGACTGAGTCTCAATTTGTAACTCAACATTTCCCATCAAGCTTTGCATCGTCAAACATTTTAGTTTTCCATGCATTCATTTAAAAAAAAAAAAGCTTTCTGACCTTGAATAAACTTTTATCTTCACCATCATCGCTCGGTGCAGCACAGGCTCCGCCCTCTCTGTGAAGTAAATCCTTCGTCACCTCTCTGTTTCCGCCCAGGTCTGTTTTTACGTGGGACTCTACTACAACGTGATCATCGCCTGGAGTTTGTTCTACATGGGGAACTCTTTCCAGTACCCTCTGCCGTGGGAGCAGTGTCCGATCGATGTGACCACCAACGACACAGGTACTGACCCGGCTGTGACGCTGATCCAAATAAGACCATGTGAGCGATACTTAGACGTGTTTGTCCTGAATCGACAGTGAAGGAGTGTGCCGGCTCCTCCCCGACGTCGTATTTCTGGTTCCGTAAAGCGCTGAACATCACCAACTCCATCGAAGAATCAGGAGAGTTCAACTCCATCATGACGGGCTGTCTGCTGGCCGCCTGGACCATCGTGTCGCTGGCTATGATTAAGGGCATCAAGTCCTCGGCCAAGGTAAAGTCGACTCCACGTCTACTTAAATGGACTCACTTCCTGACAGTCCACCACGGCTCCGCCCCAAACATGAAACCCCTCCCTGTTTCTTCTCTCCAAACCTCAGGTCATGTACTTCTCCTCGGTCTTTCCCTACGTGGTGCTCTTTATCTTCCTCATCCGAGGGTTGATGTTGGACGGGGCGATCGATGGGATCACCTTCATGTTTTACCCCAAAGTAAGAATCATGAGTTTATTAAACGTCATTTTTTACAGACTGACTGAGACCTCATTTCGTGGTTTTGTTGTTGTTTCTCAGCTGGAGATCTGGGGTAACGTTCAGGTGTGGCGTCAGGCTGCGACTCAGGTCTTCTTCGCCCTCGGACTGGGCTACGGCTCCGTTATCGCGTATTCCTCCTACAACCCGGTCCACAACAACTGCCACCGAGACGCTCTGATGGTCTCCGGCATCAACTTCATGACCTCCGTCCTGGCCTCAATGGTGGTTTTTGTGGTGCTGGGTTTCCGGGCCAAGAACATCGCTGAGCGCTGCGTGGCGGAGTACGACTGTGTGGTTATGAACATTACGACACAAATATAAACATATAGGCACAATAAATACCTGAACACCAGCTCATTTTTAGCTGATTCACAGTGAGTGAAGTCGTTCAGTTTTCTCCCGTCATCTTCTTCCATTTTTCCGTATTTCGTGCAGAAATCTCGGTCTTCTAAACCTCATGATGTCTCAGGAATCAAACCAGCCACTGGTCAAACTGGGATGGCCTTGGATCAGCACCACAGATCCCAGCACCGTCGCTCTGGCTGACTACAGACAGTGGTACAGTCAGCACAGCTCCATGATGGGTCCAAACATCACTGACTGCAGTCTGGAGGAGGAGATGAATAAGGTACCTCTGAAATCCACCATCTTTGACCGTCTCTCTTTAGAATCCAGATCCAGATCAGGTGGTTTGAAAGTGGACGGTTTGTGACTCCCCTCCAGATAAAAACAGACACGAGGCGTTCCTTTGGTTACAGGCATTTATTTCAGCTCCTTGGGTTCGAGCGTGCTCTGAGAACTATAACAATATAAAGACATAATCTGAGTTTGTTAAACTCCAATCCAAAAATAAAACTCTTCAGCAACAAATGAATCTCATGAAACACAACATGTGTAAGATCAACCTTACTACATAACTGAAAATGACATAAACAGAACAGAAATCAGCCTCATGAAGTAACGTGAATAAAAACTTCACTCATTAGACACGCTCCACACATTCCTCGTTGGCCACTTCAACTAAAAAGGAGAAAAACACGATCTTAGGTCGTCTTATCATCTTCTTAACAGTGCTTCGCCCTCCGTCTCCAATGAATGTATCATGTGAACTGCTGACCTCTTCCTAGCAGGTGCTCTAATTAGTGGACAAACCCTGGGTGTGTCACAACGACAACAAAAAAAGTCCTCCCTTAGCTCTTCATCATTTCTTCATGGAAATACAATCAGACCGAGACGCTAAGACAGAAGAACTACCGCGTCTGTAAAATGATTAATATGGTGATTATTACTTCAAGGAAATGATAAAGAAATGATCATAAATGTTCTTCCTTGAGCTGCAGCACCCCGCTGTAGTCCGTAATGGACTGGCCTGAGGTCTCGCTACAAACAAGCGTCTGCTGGAAGAGAGTAGGTGAGTTGTGTTTAGTCTCTTTGCTAAAGAAATGAGTCAAAGTTAAAAAGATGTTTGGTGTCTAGTACTATGTCTGTGACCCTATATATACTAACCTCAGTAGATCAGGGTGTAGTTCCGTTCAGTAACAGAATCTCATTGGAAAATTAGCTGATTTAACTTTACTGTGCTCTTGTTCAAATATACTAACTCAACAGCACATAAATCTATACCTGTTAACAAAATCATGATTTTATTGATAATTCGGCTCAATAAAAACACCTTTACCTTTTCATTTTACTACAGTAGAAGTTTATTGGCCCAGCTTATAGACTACAGAAGTGGAGAAACGCCCCGCTTAAGTTTGTTTTCTTAGGAGTTAGAACAACTCTGAATATAGTACTATGACTGTGACCCTATATGTCCTGTTGATGAAGTTAGGTGCTGTTCTGAGCATTATTTGTGGCTATAGAGTGGCGTTTTGGTTGAGGTTTGTTTATGGCTCCTCAGACCGCTGTGTATTTCTATCCTGCGGTCGTTACTAAAGTTGGTATAACTAGAGAAGCAAGCGGTCGGCAACATTCATCTCTGGAGGGGGGGTCTAACTCGGTGTTACAGTGGGTTTGACCATAAAGTAATTATGCTGGAATATCCCTTTAGTGCCCTGAAGAAGGACACGCTCTGCATGTTTTGGTCCGTCTGAATTTCACGCTCCTGTGTTTTTCATTTTCTAATCAAGTGTCACTGCAGGTATCTTTAAGGCGGTGAACACCAGCTTCCTTTAAAAACATGGAGGTGAACATTTGAGTAGAGTAGTAGGCAGGAGGAGCGCTGCGGTTCCCAGGACTCCTGAGGAGTCTGAGCGGGTCTGTAAACTATCCAGCTGGCGAGAAGAGGGAAACATATGGGACACAGTATCCAGTAGTTTTGAGAGGAGATGGAATCAAGCTGTGAGAGAGGAGAGAAAGAAGAAACTAAAGAAACAGAAGACGTGTTATCCAAGAGTGGTTACTTTACGAGAAAGATGTTTTACGCTCAAAAACAGACGTGGGAGGAGGAGGAGGAGGAGGAGAAGGACGAAGAGAAGGAGGAGGAGGAGGAAGGCGTTTTTGTGAAACTCCTGATCTTAGATGTAGAGAGCTGGTCCAGAACTATAATAATAGATTCTCCTCCTGCTGCAGCTTTGTTTCATGTTCAGTCTGATCTTCTGCAGCTGACCTCAGTCTTGTTGTCGTTTTTTCAGTATTTTCAGGATCTCTTCTTCAGACTCTCTCTCCTCTGTGTTTTCTCTCCTCCCAGGGCGTGGAGGGCACAGGCCTGGCGTTCATCGCGTTCACCGAGGTGATGGCCCTGTTCCCCGCCAGCCCCTTCTGGTCCACCCTGTTTTTCCTGATGTTGCTCAACCTGGGGCTCAGCACCATGTTTGGGACCATGCAGGGGATCCTCACTCCGCTCATGGATAACTTCAGCATCCTGGGCCGCCATCGGACTCTGCTTACTGGTAACAAGAACTTCCTGTTTATTTTCATCGACTAAATTCTTAAACTGAGAGAAAACTTGGGCAGGTCTTCTTGGACATAGAAACATCTCCATCATTCACTGGTTTTCTTGGCTCCTCAGTGTCCAGCTGTGGTCTGGGGTTCTTGATCGGACTGGTCTTTACACAACGCTCTGGAAACTACTTTGTGACGATGTTTGACGACTACTCTGCGACCCTCCCGCTGGTCATTGTGGTCATCTTTGAGACGATCAGTGTGGCGTGGGTTTATGGAACTGATCGGTGAGAAAATAACTCTTATTTTTAACCAAACACTTTATTTACATTTATGCACCTCACACACAGAAACTCTCCCTCACTGCAGGTTTCTGGATGACATTGAAGTGATGCTCAACTGGCGCCCCCCAGTGGTTTATAAGTATCTTTGGAAGTATGTTTGCTTGCTGGCGATGGTCGGTCTTTTGGCAGCCAGTTTGTTACGTATGGTCTTCAAGAGACCCACGTACACGGCCTGGAACCAGAACACAGTGAGATCACACACACACACACACGCACACACACACACACACACACGCACACACACGCACACACACACACACAGAAAGACTTCATTCAGGAACAGCTTGTTTTATGTCACATGAACTCTGAGATTTTGCTTCATAGATTTGTTCTCTTCTTTGTTCATAAACTTATTTTAAAAAATGTTTTCATTTGGTCTCTGAATATTTTTCTCTGCATTAAAACCTTTCTGGTTGGTTTCTACTGTCCGATATTGTAGCACGCTAACTTTGTTTGGGCTCCTGAACGACACGGGGGAGCAGCGTCTGCCTCACAACCAATCAGGTTAGAGGAGGTGGAGAACGGCTTTGTTTACAGTCAGAAAGAGCGGACCGCTCAAAAATGTTCAAATGTTGACGACACAGACATAACAGAACACAGAGATATCGATATATTACCAAAGGTCATCAATAACTAATAACTATTGACTGATATTAGAAGATTTATGTATTAAAAGCACAAAAAAAGATGCTTCTTTCATGGATTCTTGCACACCCCACCTTTACTGTTGTTTAAAGTATTTTTTGTTCCTTTTTTTAAACTTTAACTGATGGTTGACTCTTCCCCACCCTCTCATTTTCTCTTTTCAGGCCTCGGAGATGACCCTGGAGTACCCGGGCTGGGCCCTGGCCATGATCATCATACTCTTGGTCTTCGCCTGCCTCCCTATGCCGATTGGCTACATCATCTCCATGGTGAAAACCCACAGGGGGCGTGACGGCCGCTCCGAGGAGGGGGACAGCCCAGAGGTCCACCGTGAGTTGTACACCAAGTGCAGCTCCATCGAGCAGCTGGATCCTGACTCCCATCACAGAGACGCTCCTGAGGAGGACAGCGCCCTCCTCCGGCCTGTCTTCCTCCCGCTGGGTCATGAACTGTACCAGCTCCTTCCTCAGCAGGAGGATGAAGATGAGGAGCAGGATACGGGGGTGTGAGCCCGGCTGTTTTTGGGAAGAGAAAACTGTCAATTGTCGAATCTCCCAAAGTGTTAGAGCAGGACGCTGCAGACGGAAGAGAGAGCGGTCAAACAACAATATTCTCAATCTGACGATGATCAGCAGACTCTATGCTGATCAAGTGTTGTAACTATTTATATATCATGTATATAGCTAGTTAAAGTTTTTTAGATTTTTGTGGTTATGAAACTACAACTCCTCCTTTCGGTTATTTTCTGAATCTCGATCAGAAACACTCCCGAACACACACCGAAGGAGAAGCTGCTATTATTTTGTGAATAAGGGAATTTATGTAAAGATGTCAGTTAGAGCGGCGACCGAGCGGCCCCCAGCATGTCCAAACGGCTTGGTCTCATCTCCATTTGCTCGCCTTTCTCTGTGAAAGGTGAAGTAAGTAAGGCGGCGACAGATGTATAAACCTTTTAAAAAAGGGTGTTTTCGGTCCACTGTGACGTATTTGCATGTATGTGAAAGTGTTTGTGTGTTTCTTTGTGTTTGAGTTTGTATTTTTTTATGTGAAAGAGTTTGGATGTCAGTAAAAAGACTTTATTTTGCCTTGTATTTGTAATATTTGACCTCCTTAGACCTCAGAAATGTTTTTACTTAATGTGCTGACAGTGTAGCAGTGTTGTATAAGTGAGGATTTCAATAAAACCTCTAAATGGCAGCAAAATAACTGGATGTGTCTCAATGATCTTCACATTATCGCTGGAGATGTAAACGCCTTAGAAATATTAGATTCTGATGTCGGAGTATTGGGGCCACATTAAGAAAAAAAAATCAAGACTTCGAGATTAAAGTCGTGAATTTAGGAAAGTAAAGTCATAATTAAGTAATCACTTACAACAGTAAAGTCAGAATAAAGTCCTTACATTCTAACCTGCTGTTTAATACGACAGTTGTTGAAATGAGAGCCATGGAGCGTTTTGTGTACTTGAATATATGTTTCTCAAACGAGGAGATACTTCATCTTTGAACACATCAGCACCACATTATCATGAGTATTATAATGATTTCAATATGACTTCATTCTCACAAGTAATTGCGAATTTATTCTTGTTAGCACTGACTTTAACCTCTAAGTATTTTTTTTCTTAATGTGGCCCTAATACTCCGTCTTAGTTTTTAGTTCTTAGTTTTTTAAGAAAAGCTAAAAAAATTTTTAAAGTCCTAGGATAAAATTTCGTTCTTACAGTTAATATTTAGCTGATTAAATTTGCTCTGATATCTTTAGATGAGTTAAATTATTAAGAATGATAAACAGATAAACATATTTAGGATTTGGTTCCCTGTGCAGAACGAGAAACAAACTCTGTCTTCCTTATTATAATTTTATGTGAAATAATTAATGAAATAAAAAATAAATTACATTAAAAGAATGCGATGTGGTTTGTACTTCGATGAATAATAAAAAAAAAACATAAATAAATAATAAATTAAAAAAAACAAACATAAATAAATAAATTAATAAAAATAAAAAAAGTGTTCGTTTTTTTTTCCCTCCTAAAAACATACCGGAAGTGTCAATGTTAGAAACCGGTGTTCACCTGGGTGACTTTAGCTGCCTGTGCACTTTTACAGGTGAGTTTCTGTCTTAACATGTGTTAGAAAACATTTACTTACACATCTGTAACATTTGTGCCATCAGGTCTTTGTTTTAACCCGCTCATCGTGGACTGCTGCAGTTATTTGGAGAAAAGCGGAACATGTCGGAGGTGTTAGCCAAAGTTAGCTAATAAATGCTAACGCGGTGAACGTAGCCGGAAATGGAGGATCATGTTAACTCTGGGGAAGACGGAGAAAAACGGAGAATTATCCTGACTGAAACTGTTAAAGGACGAGGTGAGCAACAGGTAAGTCACTTTAACATCGCAGCAAATCTAAGTTCATGTTTTAAAGCAACATGAAACACTGCTGAACTGTGGAGTGGACGGGTGTGGGTGGGAGTTTTCAGGATGGACCTAATCTACCAGCGTCTCTACACGGCGGCCATCTTACTTCAGCATACCATTCTGGTACACTAACTGACAGCAGGTGAGTAAAAATACTCTTAACTCGCTGAAATCTTGACAGATTTACAAGTGGTTTAGTTTATTACAGACCTTAATAACGTAGCTATGAGTCGGGATGCGTGGACATAATTAAATGGCAGATTTACATCGATACATAGATAGATAGGTAGACAGATAGATAGATAGACAGACAGACAGAATTTATTGATCCCAAACTGGGAAATTATATCCGCGCGCAATGGCTAACTTTGAGTCGCTTTGTCAAGGCTGAGACCACAGTTGAGATTTTAATTTCTTGTATGACTGCCTATTTTTTTATTTTTGCATTTATTTAATGATCTATTTAGTCTAAGTGACAGTCTTTGTGGATGTGCTTGTGTTTATCAGCTGTCTAACTTGGCTAACAGACTCGCTGTGAGTGGAGACCAAGTACATATTACAAAGTTGACCCAGTAATATAACATCAGTTGGAGAGGCAGAAATTCTCTTTCGATTCAATGTAACTTAAGCTGCACATGACTTCCAAACTGTTTTGTTTGTTAAAAACATTTAAAATGGCAGAAATCTATACCGAAAATAAATATTAACATATATCACTGCTATATGTTATTATAGTTAGCCCTGTAATAGAAATATTACTAATATAACCTACATGGAATGATTAAATGTTTTATATATAAATGATTTAATATAACTGCCTTGTGTGTGTAGGTCTAAAGCGATTGCTCTACCTATCTGTTTAATGTTTATTTATGAGAATCAATGGTTAAAATTATTCTTGAGTATGCAGGAACATAACTAAAACTCTGAGGTTTGTTACAAACCAAACCGTTTTGAAAATGGGTTTAAAAGTTCATCAATCTTTGGTTATTTAAATGTTACATGCACCTTAGACTGGAATGTTAGGAGTGGGCGAGCTGACCGTAGCAAAATGGCCGTCATGCGCGGACGTCGGTCTCCATTGGCTAACAGCGTACGTAATCCATCTAGCGTTAATATAGACCAATTTACAGCCTACCTCACCCAGAAGCTGCAGCACGGCATGGCAAGTGTCAGTAAAAGTTTTCTATTATTTTGCCCCATCCACTCAAACAACTAAGTAAGCAGGACTAACTCACTGCGTTGGAACCGAGACGGGTTCCGTGTCCCGGTGGAAGAAGACCGGCAAATGAACAACTGAGCGGCTCGACCACAAACGGCGCTAAAAACTTTAATTTTTCACGCGAATGGATGAGACGCTGACCATGAGGTTGTAAACGGGATTTAAACAGGATGCAAACGGGAATAATATCGTTGGATCATTAACCTGTTGGAGCTGGATGACTAATAATGCTGACTGTTTTAGACACCAGAGTGAAGGTAAGAAATTTTTCCCCACGTTATTTTATGTCAGATCTCCGTTAAACAGTGGAGACTATGGTGATGAAGTTCATTGCACTTAATACCGATGTTTACATCTGATCGCAGCTGCTGCGTATCTAGATAGATAGATAGATAGATAGATAGATAGATAGATAGATAGATAGATAGATAGATAGATAGATAGATAGATAGATAGATAGAAAGAAAGAAAGAAATAGAGGGACAGAGATAACTACCTTTATTTCTGAGCCCCAGATAACAGGACAGCAATACCTAAGCCATACAAAGAATAGAATAGAATATAGAATAAAATATTCCTTTATTGATCCCTCATATGGGAATTTTTTTTGTCGCAGCAGCATCACAGACAAAGAGTGCAAAAATGCAGTTATAAAAATAAGGATCCTAATATTAAGAACTTCAATAAATGTAATAAGAAAAAAATTGGAAAAAGGGAGAAGGAAAATAAAACTATCTACAATATACACAATTTAAATGCCAGAAAAAAGCGGTGGTGTAAATCCAGTTATTATTACAGTTCGTTGTGTAAAGTGAACTGTAACTTATATTTTATTATCACGTCAACATATTTGTCCCCCACTCTAAATATGATGTTGGACAGTGATCTTTGTAAAGTGAGGTGAAGGAGGAGTTTGTGTAGTGACAACACAATCCCACTGTGTGCAAAAATAAAGACCTGGGGCCTCATTTATAAAACCTGGCGTAGGATCCATACTAAAAGTGTACGTAAGTTGAAAAGCTGAAAAGTGCGTAGGCAAAAAAAAAATCAGATTTATAAAACCCTGCCTACGCACACCTGCACGCACTTTCCCTTTATAAATCACAGACCAGCCGGAAAGTTGCTCAGCAGGGATTTGATTCTTCCCCGCCCTCTCCACACCCAAAATTCACCATGTATGGTCATGCAAATTACCTCATGAATGTGATTTGCATGTAGATAAGCCTGGTGGATCCACGGCATTTCACGCTTAACCATGGCATCAGCAAGTCGTAGAAAAAGAAACTTTTCAGAGATCGAGGTGGAGGTTCTTGTAAATGAGGTGGCGGCGAGACGGGAGACCTTATTCGGCGGCCATTCGAGTGGCATCACCAATAAAAACGCCGTTGCCGTGGTGGCAATTGCGGCTGGCACTGAGCGCAGCGTTGCCGAAACAGTGTTGTTTTGTCATATTTCGTCAAATATTTTCGTCAACACCAGCGTCAAAAAGAAATATTTTCATCAACGAGAACAACACTGGTTGTTTTTGTTGACGGAAATATTTCCCTTTTCTTCCACGACGAAGACGTAACGTTGACGAGCTAAACATAAGTCGGAGATGACTAAAATGTGACGAGACGAAAGTGCGTTTACGTTGATGGGACGAGACGAAAATGACGACCAGAGTTACAAAACTCAGTCAGTTAAACGCTAAACATACAGGAGCAGCTTCAGTCCGCTCTGACAGCTCTCATCAGCCTGCTGTGCTCCTCCAACACACAGACACACACACGCGCGCGCGCACACACACGTGGAGTTTTGTTTTCGTTGACGGTGACGTAGACGAAAACAAAACTGTGCCGAAATCAAGAAGAAGTGGTCTGATCTAAAGGTGGAGGCAAAGAAAAAAGTGGTTTTGCACCATCAGAGTGTGGCGGCGACAGGTGAGAATAAAAAAAAACATGCACGTGTGACACTCGTGCATGTGTTCAAAAAAAAAAACGCTCCGTTATCCACCGCTGCTTATGTGGTGAAAGTTCGTAAACCAAAAAGATTTAGTCATATTAATCTTAAAACAAATGCATGTAAATGGAATTTGTTTTTTTGCACATTTGTAAATTCAAATTGGCAAACTATCTACACCGCCACAGTGGGGTCTGTGCTTTCTGCGAGCATCACTGCCTGGTACGGCAGCTGCAGCTCTCAGGACAGAAAGGCTGCATCGAGTCATCCGTTGTGCTGAACGCATCACCCGGACTATTCTCACCTTGCTCCGATTGTCTCCAAAAAGTGCGTAAGCAAGGTGTGGAGTTTGCTTAAAGTTGCGCACATTCCTACACTAGTTTTTCTTTTATAAATCCCAACTCTTGCGTAAGAAGTGGCGTACGCAATTTCTAGCCAGGTTTTGTGCGTAAGCAAGCTTTATAAATGAGGCCCCTGTTCAACTAATATTCACATTTATTGGGGTGTGAGGAGTGCTCATCTGTAGTTTGTTGGTTTGACCAGCAGGTGGAGCTGCTGCATTAAAAATAAACTGAGACTCAATCAAACAAGTTCCGTTTTGTACTGAACTCTTTTTTTATTCGGACTCAGGAGAGGAAGATGATTGTCAAGAATACTGAACTTAAAGGATGATCAATAACGGTCAGTAAATGAGGAGAAGAATCTGTGATCTGGTGGTTTAGGTTTCAGTGAAAACAGTCAGAGTGAAAGTGAAAGTATGTGAGCTGAAAAACAGACTCCATTTTGAGAAACGAAGTGAGCAGAGAGGACGAGGAGACAGGGTGAGTGTTTACTCTGTTTTAGTTTTAATGTCAAACTCTTAATCTGTGTTATCCGTTAATGAAAAATGATTTACTGACTAAAACACTTAAAAACTGTAAAACAAAGAAACCTGAGCAGACAAAAAGCTGCATCAGTTCTTCATACAGAAACTGTGTACGTGCAGTTCTTCTTCCTCTTTGTTTAGACTTTTATTTTTAGTAAAAACTAAAATGAGAATATTTTTACCCTCTCATTTCAAATTTAATCGAGTCCCCTTAATTTTTTTATGAGAGTTCAGGGACCTCACAGCTGATTTGTTTTGACCGTGAATCAGATAAAGATCAGAGAGAGGCCCTGCAGGGTGGAGGGACATCAGAAGGTCTTGATATTAAACCTGTATAACTCTTAACCCTCATGTTGTGTTCTGGTCAAATTTGACTGATTTGAAAGTTTTATCTCTTAAGACTGTAGTTGATTTGATCAGATTGACCTGAAATTTCATGACTTTGTCCACAATGATGATTTCAACACAAAAACTAAATTTTATCAATTTTGAGATGGTCTTGTGGGTTTTATTCAACTTTTAAACAATCTTGTTCATGGTCAAAAATGACTGGCCATCAGAAACGAATGGAGGAGACAACAGAAGTGTAAAAAAAAATCAAGCTCAAGTACTTCATTCATCTCTGGAGGGGGTGTCTAACGCAGTGTTAAGGTGTGTTTGACCCTAAATTAAGTTTCATTGGAATAGCCCTTTAACAGTTTTCATTCTGATATAAGGCAAAAGACATCTGAAAAACTGATATAATGTTAGTATTTGTGTTCTGAAGACATTGATCTTTGAGTATTGTGAGGTTGTCAAACAGTTTCTGAAGAGTTCCCTTTGTGCACTAATAAAATATTCCCGGTCACTTTTGACCGAAACACAACATGTGTCACTTTATATGATTATGTAAACCCTCTACTTGGTTTCAAAACAATTGTTGTTTTTTACCCGAAGGAGTCTGTGTTAAAAAAGGAGACTAATTTTCTTTTGATTATTTCTTGCAATCAAAATAATCTGAAAATTATGTGTTTTACAACTCAAATTCAAGATGTTTAAGCTCAGATCAATGAGGCCCACAGGCCAGAAATAACAAATAGAACTTCAAAACTTGAAATGTTCACAACAACTTAAGTTAATGAAAATAAAAACCACAACAAGTAGTGATTATTTATGTGTATCACAGTTTTTATGATGACTCTTAGTGCTACAGTTATTTTTTGACTGCGAACATAAAATTGTTTAATATGAAACGAACATAACATGAGGGTTTAAGAGGTATATTAAGCTGTTTTCAGACTTTTCCTTTCTGATTCTTCTTTTAATTTCTAAACACTCTCTTCCTGTTTGTGTCTCACCTGTTTGTCTGCTTTGCCCTCAGGTTGTATAACTTGGTTTCATCTTCCATAAATTTGCACATCAGATGGAGAAGTTGAGCGATTGTTTAGAGGAGGAGGAGGGCAGAGCAGAGTCTGTCATGTCTGACTGTCTGTCTATGAAGAGTGACCGGTCTAAAGATGATCCACTGTTCTTCAGTAAAGAACCAGGACCCTCAGAGGAGGGCAGAGCAGAGTCTGTCATGTCCGACTGTCTGTCTATGAAGAGTGACCGGTCTAAAGGTATCATAGAGGAGTTCAGTAAAGAACCAGGACCCTCAGAGGAGGGCAGAGCAAAGTCTGTTATGTCCGACTGTCTGTCCATGAAGAGTGACCGGTCTAAAGATTATCCACTGTTCTTCAGTAAAGAACCAGGACCCTCAGATTCACAGTAAGAGAAACACTTTTCAATCACCAAACTCTCAAACAACAACTAATGTTCCAAAATCCGAACTTTAAATCCTGACCCCTCTGTTTTCTCCTCTGCTCTGAAAACGCTGATTTTCTTCTTTAACCTCCAACCTGGATAAAGGTCTGGTAAAGAAAAAGTCACTGAGCACAGATTTACTTATTATTCCTGATGTTGATAAAAATGAAGGGCGTATAAAACAGCATTTGAAAAGGATTCTGACCTCTGTATTTTCTGATTTGGGTCCTGTGTTTGGGACGTTTTGAGCCTGTTAGTCTTTGGACTGTGGTGTATAGACCCCAGAAAACAGTCTGTGGGTCAGAAAATACCAGAAGACCAAAGAAGAAATAAATCCTGAGAAATAAAAACTCATTCAAAGCATCTGTCTGTTATTAGACCTTTAGATCTGATTGTTAAAAAATGTTTTAAACTGTCAGAGAAAATCTCTCGACCTTCAAAAATCACAGTTTAGTTTTTTCACCACACTTTGAGGCAGCACCTGAATATTTTACAGGAGATTGTTTCATGTTGAGAAAAGAGTGAGGTCAGAAACTCTGGTTTAACAAATTCTTTTTATTATTTATTATTTTATTTTTTATATAAGAAAAATACATGTTCTTTATTTCCACAGAGAGACACAGAGATTTGACTCTGTGGAGGAGCAGCTGTCCAGCTGTTCTTTATGTCAGGATGTCCTGAAAGATCCAGTCTCTACCCGCTGTAGACACCAGTCTACCTGTTCAGAATATACCTCCTGTCCCCAGTGTGGAAAAAGAACCAGAACAGTTCTTGTCTCTCAGACAGACAGGCAGTCCAGCTCTGATGGAAGTAAGTCTGAACATCTGTCCTTTAAACCCTAAATTACACAATTGCTGCCTGGATAATTTTGCTTGTTTTATCCACTTGCACTTTGAACTTTAAATATCTGGCTGTCATTTACAATTTACTGCCTGTCAAAAGAGTGTTTTAATATTTTAAGATAAAGAAAAAAAAACAAAAAAGGAGTAAGATTTTTTGAGTTTTAATGAGAAAAAAACACAGAAAATCTTCATGAACAACAGATTTTTTATTTGAGATCAGAAATTTGAAGAGTATCAAACATATTTACAACAAAAACTTTGGAGTGCTGTCTCTCAAAGTGCAAAAACAGGCCACATAAATACAACTATGTTCTGACATTTTTTCCCCTTTTCTCCTCTCTGGCTGCAAACACACTCCTCTCTCACTCAGAGGTCTTTGTGGAACTGTCAGAAGCTGTTCCTTTCTGTCAGCAGACACAGACCCACATCACACCCCTCACACTTCCAGACAGTGCTCCTTATGACAAAGTTTGCAGCGTCGTCTCCCCATGCTGGTTCTTTGAGACATCAGCTGCCCATAGTTTGTTTGGGCACGTAGGTGTTTGTCACCTGTAACCTTCTTTGAGACTTGCTGTAGACAAACTTTTAGAAGATGTGCAGCAAGCTCCTCCTGAAAGCACCAGGGACAGGTTTTGGGTTGAACCTGTTGTGGAAAATCCAACATAAACTCAGTAAAACAGTGCACAGGAGACAGAATGACATCTGAAGAACGGCCTGGGCGTCTTATTATACAGATGTAGAAATCAGTACAGATGACAAACCCGAGGGAAAGCCTACCTAAGCCTTTCTTCTTCTCCCTTTTATACTGTCAGGTGTGTATCTGAGTACAGTGATTGTGTACTGCTTGTACCTCTGGTGTGTGTGTGTGTGTGTGTGTGTGTGTGTGTGTGTGTGTGTGTGTGTGTGTGTGTGTGTGTGTGTGTGTGTGTGTGTGTGTGTGCGTGTGTGTGCGTGTGTGTGTGTGCATGAGTCTTCCTCCATCATGGGTACATCATATTTATCCTCCAGGAGGCTACCCATGATGATGTGTTGTACTGTTCTGAAACTCAACACTTTATTTAGATGAGTCTTAACTCTCCCAGAGATAAGCTCTAAATGTTCTGGCAGACAGATATTTTTGGTCCCTGGAAAGCAGCCTTGCTTACAACACTTGTAGGCCAACCCAGATTATTTGTAACCCCTTAATGAAAGATAATCACTCTATATTTCTTAACCTAAATGTATGAACATATTCTACTACACAGTCCCCCCTTTTGAAAGTTCTTACTTTCATAAAAATCCTGATTATCATACAGAAACACCTAACATCGTTATGTGAATAGAAATGAAACATGTACACTGAATTCTCAATACTATGTGTGTGATTCGCTGTCTCAAAGACTTAATAGTACCACATGACATGTGACACATTGGATATGACAGGAAAGAAAATGAAACAAAAATAAGCAAAAGTTGTAAAGTTGTTGTATCGATTCTAACAAGTGTGATTAAATCATCAAAGTTCGTCAGGTTGATTAATAGCTCAAATTCATGTTCAGTTTCTTTACCATTATATCATAGCTGAGATCATTTCAAGTTACATCAGTGTGTAAGACTGAAAACCCTGTTTGGCTGTTTAAACAGGGAAAGAATCTTACTGCCCCACGCCCTGGCGACCATCCATGTTCTGAATACGCTAAAATAATATCATTTGCAAAGTAAAATTCTCAGCTTCTGGTAATACCATTAATTTCATTGTAGCACCCTGGATTAATCCTACGATTAATATGTGATTAACCCCTTGATTAATGTGTAATTCATATAGTCCTTTAAACTCTGCGAATGAAACATTGAATGCCTGAGTTCAGTTTAATATCTCAGTTCACTGAATGTATTGATTGTGTTGCTCAGTCTTTTTCTCATCTTCGTCTCCTTCATAGTCAGGGAACAGTTCAGGTCCCTCAGTCCCTCATTGATTAACGACACACTGTGCCAGCTGTTTTGGATGCATTTCCTGTAGTTCTTGGGCCAGTGTTAGGCCCACCATAAGTGGATGGAATGATGATGATGACGAAGACTCATCCACATACATGCACATATCAGAGGTACAAGCAGTACACAATAACTGTATTCAGATATGCACCGGACAGTATAAAAAGAAGAAGAAGAAAAGCTTAGGAAGGCTTTCCCTCGGGTCCCCCCCGGCACACTCTGCAAACATCCTCAACTTTGAACAAGACACAGGTAAACAAAGCACAAATAGGCATATGTTGTACAAACTTACTGCCTTAGCATGGTGTTCTAACAAAGTCACAACAGGTTATAAGATTTACTCCTAAAATAACTTCAATAAACTAAAAACAACACAGAGAGCACTTCATTCATCCAGAAACCCACACAGAAAATCAACCGGTCAAACTTTACTTTCCTTCGTCTTTAGTTGCTCTGAAAGCTGCTCCATCAGTCTCAAAGTTGTCTGTAAACCTCAGTGGAGGTTTTCTCACCCGGGAAGGTTGTATTCTAGTCATTTTCCTCATTTTCCTTTGAAAAAAATCACTTTTTTGTCACTTTTCTCTCTCTTTTTGCTCCGTTTCTCTGCTCTGTTGTGTGTCTATCCCCTGCTCCCTTTAAGAGGGGGAGAGGGGACGGAGAGACAGATTTTCTCACTTCCCTAAACAGCAGGAGTGAAATTACCATAATAACCGTATATTGGCTGAGTGGCGCAACTTCTCAGCTTTCAGAAACCATCTAAGTTTTTCTGACAGCACAAACTATCGCAGAGTTACGGTAATTTAAAGAGCGCCTGTGTAAAGGTGTCGGCGCCGACAGACTGTGAGGAAGAGTCTGTGTGGATGAAAACTCAGCTGACTGATTTTCACAAAGACGTTTCAGTTTGAGAAGTTTGGTTTATTTTATTTTTCTTCTCTTTCAGAAGATCGCCTCCCGCAGGAGGTTTTAGATGAACATAAGATCAGTCTGAAGAGGAGATGTGAACGTGTGAATGAAGGAAGTGATGAAACAGGAAGTAGTCAAACCCTCCTCAACAGGATCTTTACTGAGCTCTACATCACAGAGGGACTGAGTGAAGAGGTGAACACCCAACATGAGGTGAGACAGCTGGAGACCACTTCAAAGATGAAGACCCTCCATGATGAACCCATCAGGTGTCATGAGATCTTTAAGACCTTACCTAAACAGAAGAAGAAGCTCATCAGAGTGGTTCTGACCAACGGCGTGGCTGGTGTTGGAAAAACCTTCTCAGTGCAGAAGTTCACTCTGGACTGGGCAGAGGGCTTGGAAAACCAAGACCTCCATCTGGTGGTCCTGCTTTCATTCAGGGAGCTGAACCTGATCAGAGAAGAGCGCTTCAGTCTTCTGAGTCTGCTCCATGTTTTCCATCCAACCCTAGAGAAGGTCACAGCAGAGACGCTGGCTGTCTGTAAACTTCTGTTCATCTTTGACGGTCTGGATGAAAGCAGACTGTCTCTGGATTTCACAGACTCTGAGGTCCTGTCTGACGTCACACAGAAGTCTTCACTGAACGTTCTGTTAACAAACCTCATCAAGGGGAACCTGCTCCCCTCAGCTCTCATCTGGATAACTTCTCGACCTGCAGCAGCCAATCAGATCCCTCCTTCACATGTGGACAGGGTAACAGAAGTACGAGGCTTCACTGACGCCCAGAAGGACGAGTACTTCAGGAAGAGGTTCACAGATGAAGATCTGTCCAGAAGAATATCTCACACATCAAGTCCTCCAGGAGCCTCCACATCATGTGTCAGATCCCGGTCTTCTGCTGGATCACTGCGACAGTTCTGGAGGACATGATGAGCAGAGAGCCGAGAGGAGATCTGCCCAAGACCCTGACTGACATGTACTCACACTTCCTGCTGGTCCAGACTAAGAGGAAGAAGCAGAAGTATGAAGGAGGACATGAGACAAGTCCTCAGGAGCTGACGAAGGCTGACAGTGAAGTCCTCCTGAAGCTGGGGAGGCTGGCCTTTGAACATCTGGAGAAAGGAGACATCATGTTCTACCAAGAAGACCTGGAGCGGTGTGGTCTGGATGTCTCAGAGGCCTCGGTGTACTCAGGAGTTTGTACAGAGATCTTCAGAAGAGAGAGTGTGATCTTCCAGAAAACTGTTTACTGTTTCGTTCATCTGAGCGTTCAGGAGTTTCTGTCTGCAGTCTACATGATCCACAGTTTCACAAACAGGAACACAGAAGCTCTGAAGACTCTCCTAAGAGGCAACAATGACAAAAGGTTTTCTTCAAAGATGGTTTCCAGATCTTTTGAAAACCTGTATGACAGTTTCTCATCTCTGGATGTCTTCCTGAAGAGAGTCATGGAGAAATCCCTTCTCAGTAGAAATGGACACCTGGACCTGTTCGTTCGCTTCCTTCATGGACTCTCTCTGGAGTCAAACCAGAGACTCTTAGGAGGTCTGCTGGGTCACACAGACAACAGTCGAAAAATGATCCAAAGAGTCTTAAGAGGTCTGCAGGGTCACATAGACAACAGTCCAGAAATGATCCAAAGAGTCATCAACAACCTGAAGAAGATGAACAGTGAAGATATCTCTCCTGACAGAAGCATTAACATCTTCCACTGTCTGATGGAGATGAACGATCTGTCAGTTCATCAGGAGATCCAAGAGTTCCTGAAGTCAGAGAACAGATCAGGGAAGGAACTCTCAGAGATCCACTGCTCTGCTCTGGCCTACATGCTGCAGATGTCAGAGGAGGTTCTGGATGAGTTGAACTTATATAGTTATAACACATCAGACCAGGGACGACAGAGACTGATCCCAGCTGTGAGGAACTGCAGAACGGCTGAGTAAGTCCAGGTTTTATTCTCAGAATAGTGTAAATGATCCCTGTAGTTCTTCTAATGTCCACGTTACTGATGATGTTCTTCTTCAAATAGAAATCCACTCAAATGTCAGGGAGGGGGTTTCTTTAGCAAAAACATGATCCTGGTGTCTAAAGTCCTGTTAGCCCAGGATGAGGTCTACCTGTGGACCCCTGAGAACTTGTCCTGATTGTGGAGGACCTCTTTGTTTTGAATCGTGTCTGTAATGATTAAAGTGGAACTTTCAGGACAAATCAGCGACCATATCTGAGGACACACAGAGGTCTTCTGATGATGGTATCAGTCCAGATCAACATCTCAGTCAGTTGTGGTGAACTTGTTTCCATGTTTCTAAGGAGAAGCAGTGTGACTGCATCATTATCATCATCTTCATCTTCATCAGTTTTCCATGGTGTCCCCTTTACTAACCAATCACATACCAGAACCAAAAACCTGGTTCTCAGTCCCCTTCTCCAACCAGAACTCAAGAATTCACTCAGTCATAATGATCCAGCTGCACTAACATGAAGACAACACTGTTAGAGAACAGAAGGACTAAAATAAGTCATGGAGTCATTTGTCTTGAACATCTGAACAGTTTTTTTTTCTTCTAAACTTTGACTTCCTGTCTTCTCTCATGGCTGTGGTCCTGATATTAGTATCTGTCTGGTTAAAAACAGGCCGTCTGTCAAACCAAAGATCATGTTTGTTTTTGGGGAAGAGAAACATCAAATTACCCTTTAATGAAATATTGTTGATATTTATGTTGTTACAGACTTTCTAACTGTGGACTCTCAGAGACTCACTTTGAAGTTGTGGCCTCAGCTCTGAAGTCCAACCCCTCCCATCTGAGACATCTGAACCTGAGTGACAACGATCTGAAGGATTCAGGAGTGAAGTTTCTCTCTGCAGGACTGGAGAGTCCAAACTGCAGACTGGAGACTCTGAGGTCAGACACCATTTCCTTCTGATCTAACAATAAGATGTGACAGCTGCTGCCTTAGATTTTTCTCTGTGGTTTTTCCATCAACTTTGGTCGAGCAGTTTGAATTTGTCGTTGTAAAACTTCAACACAGGAAGAAAAATCTGACATTTCAGAGTTGACTTTGAGGAGAACGATGGATGTAGAAAGGAAGCAGGAGAAAATCAGTCCCACAAATATTACACATGCTTGTAGAGGGCAGGAGCAGCACAGACTAAAGGCTGATACTGAACTGATCCACAATTAATGTGATCACTGATGAATGAATGAAGTGTCAGAGAAATGATGAGCTGCAGATTGAAACCTGAAGAACAAAGTTAATCCAACTCTGGATTTTTTATTTGGAAACTCTTGAAAACTTGAATTTCTTCTTTGCTCAGTCGTGTTCAAATGTAAAAACCAGATCCAGATTTTTCTGCAGTTTTCACTTCAGTTTGTTGAACATGAACATCATCTTGTCCAGTTGGTCCATAAAAACCTCTCTGATCAATGATCTGTTGGTTTATTTAAGAGTAGTTTGGCAGTTGTTGACAGCAGACGGACAGACCCCTGAATAAACTCCTGACTATTTTCATCTTCATGAAGAATTCAGGACAAAAAAAAACCTTTGAGATTTCTCACAGGAGTTTCTCAGGATCTCTATAAAGTTTTCTGTATCTTGTAAAATTTTCTACACTGTAAAATTCCTCAGGATCTTCAAAAAGTTTAGAGAGGATTTTACAAAGTTTATCTCTGAAAAAGTTTTTCTTCTGTGTCCTTCAGGGGCTCAAGATCATTGAATCATTAAAAGCAGGAAAAGGAGGTTAAATGATTTTTTCTTTTTTCAGACTGAGGGACTGCAATTTTTCAGAGATCAGCTGTTCTTCTCTGGCCTCAGCTCTGAAGTCCAACCCCTCCCATCTGAGACATCTGGACCTGAGCAGAAACAAGCTGCAGGATTCAGGAGTGAAGCTGCTGTGTGACTTTCTGCAGAGTCCAAACTGTAACCTGGAGACTCTGAGGTCAGACTTTTTTCCTCCATTCAAACATGATCATGATTTATTTGTGATGATGACACTAAACTGCTGACTCAGGACTGAAACACTGACCCAGACTGAACACCTTCAGTCCAGAGTAGATTTTCTGCATCAGTGGATTATTTAATTGACTCCAGTTAGATCACTGCTGAGCTCCAGTGAATTAAAACCTGAACCCAAGAAGAAAACTCTTTGTAGAGTTCACAGTGAGAAGCACATTCAGACAGAAAACAGAAGCAGGGGGAGATTTGTCAGACGAGAACCATTCAAACTTTTGTTCAGGACAAGATCAGGGAATAGAAAAAACTCAGAGTTTAGTTTCTGACTCTGATGAAAGTCCAGCTCTGTTACTTTGAATTTTGTTTTTGAATCTTTGTGTGAAAATCTGAATTTTCTGGTTTATCTGCACTTTTCTGAAGCCTTGCTGTGTTTAGACTGAAATATTTTCCTCTCAAAGACGTGATATTTTTGGTTCAGCAAAGTGAAAATATTCTGAACATCCTTTATTTCCCATCCATCCTGAAGTCGCTGACATTTTCTGAAAATATTGATCTGCATCTACAATCAGTAAAAAAGTCTCTGAGTTTTTTATTTCACTATTTAATGTGTTTTTGAATTCACTGTTTCAAACTGACTTCCTGTTTGGTTCAGCTCTTTGGAGCGTCACTTTTCTCTGATTCATACTTTCCAAACCTTTCCCCTGAACTCGACAGATTTAAGACATCAGGTTTCAAACTGGATCATTTTTCTCTAAAATCTCATTATTTCCTCTTTATTTAGGTTAATGAGCTGCAGGTTGACAAAGATCAGCTGTTCTTCTCTGGCCTCAGCTCTGAAGTCCAACCCCTCCCATCTGAAAACTCTGGACCTGAGTTTCAACAATCTGCAGGATTCAGACGTGGAGCTGCTGCGTGATCTTCAGAAGAGTCCAGACTACAGACTGGAGGATCTGAGGTCAGTATAGAGTTGGAGTTAGTCTGTGCTGATCTCTCCTGTTCCTCTCCACACAGTATCACAGCAGATATTCAGTATTTCCTGCTGACTCTTCGACCCTCTCAGAGGATTATCTCTTTAGTGAAGCTGTGAGAACAGAAATCATCAAACCAGGAGTGTAAGAGTGTCAGAGATGAAAAAAGTGTCTCCTCGTCTCTATATTTCAGATCAAATGTAGAAATGAGACATAATGAAACAGAAATGTTCAGTTTCTGCTCTGAAGTCCAGTTTATAGTTCTCTGTATTCAACACAGACTTTATTTCTCTGCTAACTTGTTGATTTTGACCTCTAAGTCTGAAAACAGACAGCTGTTCTTTATACTTGTTATTTTCACAGCAGGTTTGTTCGATCAGCTTTAACTCATTTGACAGGAATGATTTCTTTATTTTGATGATGTTGGTTTATTTGTGAGGAAACCTGCTGCTTTACACCATCACTTCTGGTCTGAGCAGGACTGAGACCTGCTGGTCTGTAAACTGGATGTTCTTCAGTCCAGCTGATGAAGTGAGTCTCAGAGTGGAAACACTGATCGTATGTTTTTCTCTCCTCAGATGGATGTATTCTCTGTCAGAGTGATTAAGAAGAGGATCATGTGTTTCCTGACGATCAGAGAGGTGGAGGCAGCAGCAGTGAGGGTGAGGTGAGTCTCTGACTGAGAGACTGACTGACCAATCACAGCGGGCGGAGAGGACTCTGGGAGCTGCACTTTGACCTGCTCTGAGATCAGCTCAGGACCTGGACTCTGGATATTTGATCTTTTCCCTCATATTCTGGGATCAAACAGTCTGAACAGGTTTGTTTTGTTGATGGAAACATGATCATAAATTTACACTTTGATTGGATTACTTTTTTTTACCATGATGCAGCGCCACCCAGTGGAAATATAAAGAGGTGGAGTTGATTTATTCCCTCATATTTCTGTAGCAGGAGTTGATACCATGTGTGAGAGTAGATCAGTCAGAAGTTCAGATTAAACCCAAAGGTTTTTTCTTTCCTTTGCACCGTTAGAGACCGAATATAAACTGAAGGGAGAGGAAGAGAAGTGAGGAGAGATGGAGGTGAAGGGAGGAGGAGGAGGAGGACAGGGTTTGGGGTTTTAACAAAAATCTGAAGCTTTATTCTTTCACTTGATTATTTTTATTCATCCGTTTTCTTCTTCATTTTCTGAAATGATTGTAAATATTGATTGGAGGTAAATTGACCTTATTTTATATTATTAGACACTATTTTCCGTCTCTTTACATGTTTTTGTTCTCATATCATCTTTGTGCTCATCAATAATCGATTCCCTCCAGTTTGGATGAACAAACTCAATTATTAAACCATAAATGAGACCTGAGAGTAAAATGTGTGAAATATAATCAGTCAAAGGAAAGATTCTTGAACAAAAACATTATTTTTACTTGATTATGATGGAGAAGTTTTCCTCTGACAGACAAAAATAACCGTATTGACTGGAGTCTGGAAAAAGTGAGATCAGCATCTATTCAGGGTGAAGTCATTAACGTGGTCGATGCTGTTTTATAAACTCAGTGTTGTTGATTACAATCTCAGCTTCATAAATTGATGCAACAGTGGAGTGACTTCCTGTAAAATCCACTGGCTTTGTGAGACCGTCAGCTTTCAGGAGATAAGTTTGTGTTTCTGTGACACTCCAAAGATTTTCTATCCCACAGAGAAGATCGGTGTGTTTTCAGAGACCTTCCTGATCCCATCCCTCCAAAATGAAAATAATCTGATGGTTTATGGATTAATTTCAGTAACAAAGAGTCATTTCTGTTGTTAGCCAATCAGAGGCTGTATCTGCCATCAGCTGACTTGTAAAGGTCCAATCAAAAGTCAGGACAGCTCATGTCACAATCTGCTCACACTACAGACACATTAAACATAGAACTATTGTGAACAGATCTGTCCTCTTCAACTTATCTAGTATCAATAGATCTATGCTCTGTCTGTGTAACACTATGTTGGTTCTTCATTTACAGCAGATCATTTTTGATTTCATTTCACTGTAACAATGTCATTTAAAGACAATAAAAACTTTATTTGAACCAACACATGTTAAAAACATCAACTCAGCTTGTTTCAGTCACTGTGTCCGATTGATTATTATTATTTATCATTCAAACAAAAACTAGATTTGGTCTTTAAAAAGTCCTCAAAGTGAGTCTGAAAAGTGGAGGAAGGTTTCATCATCAGGGTGCTCCTATATTCAGGTCAATACGGTAGTGGATCATAGAGACTCAAAGCCTTGATTCAGCTGAGGCTGGAGGACGCTGCGTGAAGGAAAGTCGGTGTGTTTAGTTGGTCTTAGTTTTTATTAAACAGGAACTTTGATTTGATCGTCTTTTCTTGGAAATCAAACTTCCTGTTGGACTCAAAGATAAAGTCTGTGATCCCACACATCTAACAAATAAAGGTAAAATATGAAGACAGGAGATTTCTGTGTGACATCAAAGATATTCTAGATTTAGTTTTCTAAGCAACAGGTGGTCGTTTCTTATAGGGGTACTTTGATCCAGAAATCTGAAAAGGGTTATTAAAGCAAAAGACGAAAAACACACATATACTGTGTTTATATATAGATATCTCTCAGAACAGATATACAGAAAGGCAACACGACAAAGATGTTTATATTGAAAATGACTACATATATGTTGATGTGATGTGTTATTTAATTATCATTTTAATAGAAATATTACTCATATAACATACAGCATCCCCTTCATGATGCGCTTGAACCGAAAAGGTTGCTGCAAGTCTGGTTTCTCTGTATTATCTGTAATTTTTTAAGTTTTTGCCAGATTTTTTTTCATATTTTTGTTGTCATTTTGTCGGCTGCTGATGGATACTCCTGCTGGGTGAAGAGTTTACTCAAGATAGGAGCTCCTTCCATTGAGGAAAAGCAAATCTGGACAACAACATACAATTCCAGAGGACATCAGGAGGTGTTATCATGGTTGCCGTGCTGGTGCAAAGGTGAAGGCGAAGCTGAATGTTAGGAGGTGGAGATATAAACCCTTTCTTCCATCAGTCATCATGGGAAACGTCAACTCTGCCCAACAAAAGCGATGAGCTGGAGATCTTGGTGAAGACTGAGAAAGCAGACCGTGAGTACAGTTTCCTGTGTTTTACTGAAACCTGGTTGAATCAAAAGAACTCGGACTCCAGTGTGGATCTACCTGGATTCACTCTCATAAGGTCAGACAGAGATGCTCAGACTAGTGGCAAGAAGAACGGAGGAGGTCTGACTTTAGAGGAGAGATGGTGTAACCCTTCACACAGAACTGTCAAGGAGAAGTTGTGTTGTCCAGATATTGAACTGTTGGCAGCTGCTCTTCAGCCATATTATGTTCCAAGCAGTGGCGATTGCTCTAAGACTGCAAGGGAAGCTCAGCTTCCCTTAAAATGTCACCCCCCCAAAAAAAAGAAAAAGTGGTGAAATACGTACTACTGTGTGTACATTTCATTAACTAAATACGCGCTAGAAAGCCTTCAACTTTGTTCAGAATCAGCTTCTTATCACAGTGTGATAAGAAGCTGATTCTGAACAACTTCGTTCTCATTCATCCTCGCAGCGCCTCAGCGCTTTAAACAGCCGGGCGCCCAGCTTCTGCTGTCCTCAATGTGGAAGCTCAAAGTGGGTTGTTCCAGCAGCGAAACTAGACGCTCATTGGATAAATGTTGGGCTTTGTCCCGCCCATCGGACGCTTGGCGTCTCTGGAGTTCTATGGCGAGAGGGCGGTCCCGACTTTCTCCCGGACTCTGAGCTTCTGCATCCATGATTGGATGAGCTGTCTGAGGCGAAATCCTTTTTTGATTGACAGCTAAACAAGCGAATCAGCAATCTTGAAGAATAAAACAGCTACCAGAGCATTTTCCAAGTCATTCATTCCGTTGTTCTTAACTGCTCCGGAGACTTTACCGATCCTCAGCGACTTTTGTCTTTGTTAAAAACGACTGCCGTTGTGTTTGGCGACTCTGTTCTGTTACATACTAATAAACAAATACAATTATGATGTAGGCCAGAAAAATGAGCTTCCCCTCCTTGAAAGACCAGCAGCCGCCACTGGTTCCAAGAGAATTCAGTCATATCATAACAGTAGATGTTTACATTCCACCCAAATCAACTGAAGTAATTCTGTGTGGTGTTTTGCAAAATAGTGTTGCCAGACTACAGACTCAACAACCTGAGGCACTAATAATAATATCAGGAGACTTCAACCATGTCACCCTCTCCTCTCACCTGACTGTGAACTGTCCTACAAGAGAAAACAAGACCCTGGATCTGCTGTATGCCAACGTCACAGAAGCCTACAGAGCCACTGCCTTACCACCTCTGGGCAAGTCAGATCATAACTTGGTCTGCAAACCTGTTACAGACCTTGTGTGCTGAGGCAGCCTGTGACCAAAGTCAAATCAGAAGATGGACACCTGAAGCCAGTGAAGCTCTAAAGGACTGTTTTAAATCAACAGACTGGAATGTGCTGCTGGAAACAGATGTGGATAGTATAAACATTGACAAACAGGTTGACTGCTTTACTGAATATGTAAACTTCTGTAGACACAGTTATATCCACAAAAACTGTTTGCTGTTTCCCCAACAACAAACCCTGGATCACAAGTGACATAAAAGCAATCCTTAAACAGAAAAAGAAAACTTTTAAAGATGGTGACAAAGAACAACTCAAACAAGTTCAACAAGAGTTGAATAGGAGACTGAAGATGGCAAAGCTGGAGTACAAAAAGAAGAAAGAGAAGAATCTACAACACAGCAACATCCGTGAAGTGTGGAGAGGAATCAGTACCATCTCTGGACACAGCAGTCAAAAGAGAAGACAGTGATCTGGGTGACCTGGAAAGAGCTGATGAACTCAACCTGTTCTTCAACAGATTTGACACTGCTGTCACACCCACTTCCACTGCTACTCCACCTTCCTCTCCGCAACAAATCTCCACCACAAATTCTCCCGTTCCTCCTCCATCTCGTTCAAATGTCTTAACCACTTCAACTGCCTCCCTCCTAGAACACCAGTCCTTGTCTGTCACCGAAACAGGAGTGAGGATGGCGCTTGGAAGACTTTGTCCTGGGAAGGCAGCTGGTTTAGATGGTGTGTGTCCAAGCTGAAGATCCTGTGGACATATACTGTATATATATATATATATATATATATATATATATATATGTATATATATATGGACATGACCACAGACTGTTTTAACTTTGGACAACTTTGTTCCGCATCCCGTCAGTACACGGATTTGAAGCTGAAAAGTTCTCGGTAATTCTGCGTTTTCTCCACTTCCTGAAACCAACATTGCGCAGTAGTACAACATTGTACGCATTTGGCGGGCGAGTCGCTGTGATGACGCTCGGCTAAAACAGCGTATCCCCCGGGTGAGCTACCCAATCTCTGTCCTCCCATAGGCTGTATCAGGTGTCAATCATCGAAAACATGAACCCCCTAATAACTTTTAAAAATGGAGCTGTACAGAAAAAAGAGGACTTGAGCACAAACCAGTCTGACAGTAACTACATGTCAACATCACAACCAGGGGGGAGAAACATTTATATTCTGTGTCATTCATTTATAAAGTTTAGGACCTATACTGCAGCCCGTCACCAGAGGGCGCTGTTCTCAGAGTGGAGGTGGCAGATGGCGTCTATTCTAGATACAGTCTATGGTCATGACTCTATGATCCATTTCAGACCCATCAGAGACGATTTTCCTGATCAGTTTATTGAACACGGGTTCACGGTGTCTGTTTAATTCTCTTTATTTCACTGTTGAGATGGTGGTCAATGATCAGAGGTATATGGACAGAATTAAATAACCCATCATCAGACACTCTGACCCATCAGAACCCCGAGCTGAAAGTAAACCAGGAAGGCCTGAACCCCCCTGAGGAAAGGATGAGAGTGAGTGAGTGAGTGAGTGAGAGAGGAGAGGAGAGAGAGAGAGGAGTGTGAGAGAGAGAGAGGGTGTGCGCGCTCGGACAGGACGGGAGGGCGCGCGGGACTTGAGCAGACCGGTCGGGTCAAGAAGCTGCAAAGATGGAGATCCGACCAGACAGGTTTAAGGCTTCAGCGGCCAAAACTTTGGGCAAAATTAACAGGTATGACTCTCAGATATCACTCACTCTGACACCGAGGTTGTTTTTTTTCCTGTTTCGCGCGTTTGTCACGGATAGTTTTGGTTGTGCGGGACTCAGCGGATCATCCTGGTTCAGGGGTTCTGTCCAGTTCTGGTCCAGTCAGAGGAAAGTTCTCTCGGTATTGAGGTTCTGTTTCTGAAGAGGTTTGTGCGACAGTTTTCACTACAGAGAGCGAGAAAAGTGCAGCTTTACGCAGCGTGTGTCAAAGAGATAGAAGGGACAGAAGTGTTTTAACAATTCTGGAAAGGTTTATTTTAATTATCTTTAGTTTATGACAGAGAAAAAAAGACAGTTTAGGTCTTCATCATCGGTGTATCTGCGGTGAAAGTGTCCCGGAGCTGAGCGCATGTGGACCGAAGAGGATGTTCGGTTTGACGTTTTATTTCCAGAGTCTGTTGTTGTGGAAGAATAAAGATGCTGCAGGTCTGGTGAGAGTTGGCTCAGCTCAAAGTGGATTGAGAGTATTGATGTTTGAGGAGATCAGGAGAAAGTGTGGTTACATAATGGATCCGTGCGTTATTGGCACGGCCTGGCTGTGAGTGAGAGCGCAGAGCAGATGCTGCCAAAGTCACAAGAATACATCTATTCATTCATATATCTATAAATAAGTATGTATTTATCTGATTTTTCTACCTTGACAGATTTTTTTATACATATATATTTAATTGTAACACATTAACAGCTGTGAGCTGGTTGGTTGGTGTCACATCTATATTTTATTCTATAAATCAGGATTTGATGGATGAAACCAAACCTCAAACTTTTTACAACACCTCTGAGAGAAACTTCTTCTTCTCTGGTTTTTGAACAGAGACGGCTGTGGTCTTCACTGATGGAGTTAATTCTTCATGTGCAGCAACTGTTTCGATATCCATCAGTCTTTACAGCGAAAGCAGGAAATCGAAACATCTCCTTTCTTTGCTTTAAGCTCTCATTTTCCCTTCTGTTCATTTCCTGTCCTATGAGAACATCAGACAATAAGAGATAGTGAGTGTACCGTTTGTCCATCTTCTGTGAAATGATTGAAACCTGAACAGAGCCTTCAGATCCCTGTCTTTAGGTGTTCAAGTTTCTGTTTTCAGGTGTTTTTATGGTAAACTCTGAGCTCTAACTTCAGTGTTCGACGTTTAAAGCTGCACGTGTTCAAATGAACAGAATATGGTCAGAAAAGTTGCAGCAGAGCTCGGTGCGTTGGCAATATTTCAGTAAAATGGCAGAGATTAAAGACACTGATAGAACCTCATGCAATAACCGTGGCCGTAAGCTTCGCTCTCTCAGGATTTGAGGTAGCAACCAAACGTATAAATCCCGTCCTGAAATAGCCTGTTTTTCAGTCCAGCTGTCGAGCCACGCAAATCCCTAAACTCTCCCCTCCCACTCTCTCCATCCCGGCCCATGTCACTTCCTCCGGCCGCTCCCTCCTCCTCCCTCCCTCCATCCTCTCATCCATCCATTGAGATACCAGTGCAGACAAGTTTCAGCCTGTCAAGGTCTCCCAGATTAACAGACATGCAAATCTGAGGCTTTTTCTCTCTTACTGGTGATGTGCCATGCATGTGCACAGACACGGCTGCTGCTGTTATCAGAGATGTGATGTTTAAGACTGGATCCAGATTGGTGTTAGTGAGCATCTCCTCAGCTTTTATCCTCCCACAGTGGATGTAGTTTGATAGAAAAAGTGAATATTTGTGCCGCAGATGTGTCTGAATATGTTGTATTTTGAGTTGAGGATATCCTTTCCTCTGTGCAATCTCACCACCTCACAGACAAAATCCCTCCTGATGAAAGCAGCCAGAAGTTCATCTATTATTTAAAGGTTTTCTCCATCAGAATGCATCTCCTGTTTCTATATTAAACTCCACTAGGTAAGCATAAACTTCAGCACTGTAAGGTCAAGTGCTCGCTCCATCTCTGCTCTCACTTTTCCCACTTCAACATTTTCAAACCGAGGTTTTAATATCAGCTCTCCACCTCCTCAGCAGCTCTTCTTCAGACACACAATCACTCGACAGCTCTCCTCTGATCAGTTTTAATCATATTTAATTCTCTTTATTATTTTATTTTCTAACGGCCTGTAAACGTTCGTTTGTGTCCCTCTGACATCTCGTTAAACTGCCACTTCTAAGAAGACGATGAAATGAATCAGCTGTTTGAGTCTCAGCAGAGGGAGCTTCTGTTTCTCTGCAGACTCGAACAGGTAATCCATTTTTAATCCTTTTCACTGGCGGCAGAAAGCTTCATTTTTAGTAACCTTACTCAGTGTTCTGCAAAGTGCTGCTCTTAATCAAATATTCAAATAATGACGAGATAAGCCCCGCCCTTGTTTTGAGGGACTCTGCAGTCAAACCTTTGGTCTAATAATCATCTAAATTTACATTTTTTTATTGAAGAATAATTGTTGTGTTTTATTTCCCTCTATTCTGTAAATATGAATATTTTAAAGACACTTTCAGGGACGGAGCAGCTCTGTAACTTGGCTTCATTTCTCTGTCCATGTGCGCAGTCAGAGGGGTTCCCTGTGTGTGTGTGTGTGTGTGTGTGTGTGTGTGTGTGTGTGTGGACCGTGTTTTTGGAGAGCTGTGAAGTTTAGTGCTGCAGGTTCTCACTCATGATCACAGATGGTCAGATGGATGCAGGTGAACACGAAATAACAGGTTCAATTCAAAGTCCGGACTGATGCATGGCGTGTGTGTGTACGGTGGCCCTGAGGGGTCAACCTCACAAATAAACATTTCATAAACCAAAAAAATCACGAGGAAATAAAAATAAAAAAAGCAAAAATATTGACAGAGTGCAGATCGTACGTGTTTGTCTCATGAAATAGTTTTTATGTTTCCTAAATAGGTCTGCACTTTTTTTCTCTCTTTTTTTTTCAATAGACTTTATTTATATGTTCAGAAATATCAGATATGACTTTATTTATCACACAGCCGAGAGACAACAGAAGAACACAAGACAGATAATTATAAAAATCTAAAGAAAATAAAAAATGTAATTTAATACAAAAACACAGTTTCACTCCGCCTACAGAAATGTTTGACTTATTATTATTGCACATGAACAGATACTGCATTAATGTATATAAATAAATGTAAAGTTAAATTCAGTGTATCCAGTACAGAGTTGTGTTTGTAACTGGAGCAGACTCAGACGAACAGATGAAATAATTCAAACATGTTTTTTTTTCTTTTTGTTTGATTGAATTTTATTTTGAACATATAAAAAATAATAAAAAAGTAAATATTACAACAACAAATGATAAAATCTTATCCATGATCAAAAAGGAAGAAGTTGAAACTTATAGTCCCACCTCTTCTCCTACACTGATGATTTACATATATACTATAATATTATATAATAATATTCATCATCATAATTCTAATCGCAATAAAAATTTAACATTTAATTTAACATTTGACCACAGAGCATCAGTTCAGGGATTATTACCATGTAAACATTATTTGTGATGATGGCGGTGATAACCTGAGGGCGACCAGACCGGGTAAAGATGGCCGATCCGCTGGCAGCCATCGTAGCTGAGGTGGAAAAACGTCGCTCATGATCCAGAAGCTTTAAAAGACAAAATGACGTATTATAGATGTTTGTATTTACGTTCACGGGGGTCACATGTTCGCAGGATTGTAAAACTCTGTCAAAGCTCAGAGGTTTGGAAAGTTGTGTCCATGAATGAAGAGAGGTTGGCGTTAAAGGAGGTTTGAAATGATTGTAGGAGGCACAGAGGCGGGAGAACCACTTCAGTTTAAGGTCGGGAAGATTCGGACCCGGCTCACGGACGGCTGTCTGTTTAAAGTAACGGGAAGTCGCGAGCGTTTGAGTTTTATTCTGTGAGCTCAGAGGAAGGTCATACGAGTGGAGGTTTGAATATTATGTACATGTGTGTGTGTGTGTGTGTGTGTGTGTGTGTGTGTGTGTGTTGTGACAGGATGGGGAGGAGGGCGTCTCCCTGGGTGACACAGTCCCACAGAGACCCAATCTGTTCTCTTCAGGGAGAGGGGACGTGGAGGAAGGGGGAGACACCACGGTGGAGAGGAGCTGAAACTCCATTTTAGAGATGACACCTTCACCTCCGACAGACGCGTGTTTTTAAAAAAGACTGAAGTAGAGAAAGAGGGAGGATGTGTTTAAGGTGGAGGAGAGCGCGCAGGTTTACTCGAAGCACAATGAAGGATTATTTCAGCACACGTGGACAAATAACCACCAGGACGCCTGCACACGTTATATAATCATTTTACTGTCAACCTCCCTGCTTCGCTCGCTCGCTCGCCATCATCCTCTTATGAGAGGATTACACAGAGCGCTCTGTGAATTGGTGAATTTAATATACAGGGTAACAAAGGTCCAGGTCGCCACTCTTGCACGTGCAGACACGGCGTTATCGTGTTGGAGCTGAGAGGTTGGAGAAAATGACCAAGAGCCAAAGTATCATCAAAGTTCTGACAGAGCGACTTCTTCTGATGTTTAGATATGAAGGTTTGCAGTGCATGATGGTCAAATACACCGTGGTTAAAGAGAGCGCGCTCAGGTACAGCTGACTGATCTAAACTGATCACTCACCTGCAACAACATCATGAAACACCTGAAGAAAAGAATCAGGAACAGACTTCAGCAGACCAACAACATCCACCGCCACGACTTCAACGATCACCTCAGAGAGCGATTCCCGCCACCTGACCATGACCATCAAAACTGGAGCTGTAGACGCTGGAGCGCGTCAGCTTGATCATGTCGTTACCGCTGGTCTGAGATCAGTCAGGACCACTGAGGTCGAATAGAGGTCATCGTTTTCTTCATGAGGTTAGATTTGGTGGTCATGGCGAGCACAACTTCCCTCCGTTTAATGAAACCCAGAGGCAGGCAGCGCAGCAGCAAAGACTTCTGGGATACAGGACAGAGCAGGTATATGACACAGTGTCACCCCTGATTGTCACCACATCCAGAACAGCGGCGATTTTCGCTGTACGCCAATCCCTACCAGATCCGTTTGTGAGACGAATTTCGTGGCAAATTACGGACAGCAGTAATCCCAAGAACTCACAAGAACCCGCGGATTCACGTTCAATCACACCATAACGAGTTGTCTCTCTAAAGACAGACACATAGACATATAAGCAGTAGATTGTGTCCTTCCAGAGGAGGAAATCTACTTCTAGACTTCTAGAATCAGCATCTCCTCGTCCATGGTGTCATCGGGGTGAAATGACGTCTAAAAACCTTTCACTTGTTCGTCTCCGCCCGTTTGCATGGTGTGAAATACGATCCTCCTGAAACACGGAGTGTTTTATTTTGAAAAGAAGCCGGATGTTTTATTTTGTGTCTGTGCCCGACTTCCTTTCCAGCACAGAGTTTGACTTTGTGGCCTGCCTGAACTAGCACCACGCTCTGTTTTCAGTACTTCTGTCAGGTTCAGGTGATCGGTGATGAAGTTTATGACAAAGGTTTTATATTTTTGTCGATTCATCGTCTCTAACCGCAGAAAATTTTACTGCAGAAAAACTGAAATTTGTCTGAATATCGTTTCATTTCTTTGTCTCTGTCACGTCAGCGCGACTTTGATTTGTAAACCAGGTTCGATGTCGCAGGTCGACCTTTCCCCCCCGTGCTCAGGTGAGGATCTCAGCTCTGATCTCAGTTGGAGATGTGTGTGTGTGTGTGTGTGTGTGTGTGTGAGTCTCTGCTCGCTCTGTCACTGTTGTAATTATGATATTTCAGACCGGAGCCCGGGGTCACGGCACTCCTGCCCGCTCACGCTCTCTCGCTTATTAATTGTTGCCAGCTGAGACCAATCAGATCCTCGCTACGCTGGTGAGGAAACCGACATCAGCTGAGAGAGCGGTTAGTGAGCCTCACACGAAGGTAAACGTCCGGGGACTCTTCTGTGCACGTGTGTCTCATACCTGCGCTCGCTTTATAGAGAGTGTCGTGTTGACATGAAGCGCGCCGACGAACGCTGGTTTATGTTCAGATCACTGTTGGTTCAGTATCTGACAGTGAACCTCCACCTGAACATGAAACAGCAGACGGAGGCGAGTGTTCGGACACGTGGGTCAGAGTGGCCTTTAGTGGGAGTCAGCGGTAATTAAGAGTTTGCTGTGGGCTCGCCTCGTTAGCTGGGAGCGTATGTGAAGGAGTCGGGCTGCAATCTGTCGAGAGCTTTAATGAGCATCCTGCTGCACCCCCCACCTCACCGAGTCAGCACATTTGTTTCATACTGAGAGGACAGGTGTGTGTGTGTGTGTGTGTGTGTGTGTGTGTGTGTGTGTGTGTGTGTGTGTGTGTGTGTGTGTGTGTGTGTGTGTGAGGTCAGGTGAGCCAACAGAAAACACGGACACACTTTAGAGCAGACGTGGGCATTTAACGACCTTTGGACGTCTTTGTGAGGTCCGTCAATCACATCATCAACAACATGTCATACAAGTGTGATGCTTTTATTCTGAAACCGCCCATTTCTGAGCGGTCCGCTCTTTCTGACTGTAAACAAAGCCGTTCTCCACCTCCTCTAACCTGATTGGTTGTGAGGCAGACGCTGCTCCCCCGTGTCGTTCAGGAGCCCAAACAAAGTTAGCGTGCTACAATATCGGACAGTAGAAACCAACCAGAAAGTTCGGAAAATTGTCTGAATCCTCCTTTGGCCACGACTGCCGACACAAGCAAGAAAAGACTCAAACATAAACAGTCAGCAAGAAAACAGACAACACCAAAACAATCAGCAAAAAACAGTCAACACTAAAAGAGTCAACAAGAAAACAGTCAACCATAAACAGTCAAAACCAAAACAGTCAACAAGAAAACAGTCAACAAGAAAACAGTCAACAAGAAAACAGTCAGCAAGAAAACAGTCAACAAGAAAACAGTCAGCAAAAACAGTCAACAAGAAAACAGTCAACCATAATCAGTCAACAAGTAAACAGTCAACAAGAAAACAGTCAGCAAGAAAACAGTCAACCATAAACAGCCAACACCAAAAGAGTCAACAAGAAAACAGTCAGCAAGAAAACAGTCAAAACCAAAACAGTCAGCAAGAAAACAGTCAGCAAGAAAACAGTCAACAAGATAACAGTCAACCACAGTAAACACCAAAACAGTCAGCAAGAAAACAGTCCACACCAAAACAGGCAACAAGAAAACAGTCAACAAGAAAATGCTGCTCCCCTGTGTCGTTCAGGAGCCCAAACAAAGTTAGCGTGCTACAATATCGGACAGTAGAAACCAGTCAACAACAAAACAGTCAACATCAAAACAGTCAACACCAAAACAGTCAACCATAAACATTCAACAAGAAAACAGTCAACATCAAAACAGTCAACAAGAAAATAGTCAACATCAAAGCAGTCAACAAGAAAACAGTCAACACCAAAACAGTCAACCATAATCAGTCAGCAAGAAAACAGCCAGCAAGAAAACAGTCAACATCAAAACAGTCAACACCAAAACAGTCAACCATAAACAGTCAACAAGAAAACAGTCAACATAAAAACAGTCAACAAGAAAACAGTCAACCATAATGAGTCAACAAGAAAACAGTCAACCATAATCAGTCAGCAAGAAAACAGTCAACCCCAAAACAGTCAACACCAAACCGGTCAACAAGAAAACAGTCAACCATAATGAATCAACAAGAAAACAGTCAACCCCAAAACAGTCAACAAGAAAACAGTCAACAGGAAAACAGTCAACAAGAAAACAGTCAACCATAAACAGTCAGCAAGAAAACAGTCAACATCAAAACAGTCAAAACCAAAACAGTCAACAAGAAAACAGTCAACCATAAACAGTCAACAAGAAAACAGTCAACAAGAAAACAGTCAACCATAAACAGCCAGCAAGAAAACAGTCAACAAGAAAACAGTCAACCATAAACAGTCAACACCAAAGCAGTCAACAAGAATACTGTCAACAAGAAAATGCTGCTCCTCCGTGTCGTTCAGGAGCCCAAACAAAGTTAGCGTGCTACAATATCGGACAGTAGAAACCAACCAGAAAGTTCGGAAAATTGTCTGAATCCTCCTTTGGCCACGACTGCCGACACAAGCAAGAAAACAACGTAAATACCGGAGACTCTGGAGGAATAACGGGCGCTTAAAACGGAGGTAGACCGGACAAGAGCTAAAAAGCCGGGTCAACATAAACGATGGGGGACGCTTGGGGATCTTGGTGACCCTGTAACCTTTCTGCTGGACAGGTAAACCGCTTTAACAAAGTAAGACAAGTGTCTGTAACAGAAGTGTTTCTTGTCAAACGGACCTGCTGTAGCGTGTTGTAGCGCCATCGCTAAACTGTCCTCCCTCGGGTCCTGGACTATGTCACTTTATCCTCGTTGTAGAAGTCCTGCAAACATTGTGTTTGCTGGTAGTCTGTTGGCGTCTACAGTAGCACCAATGCTTTTGACTTTCACCTTGACTGGGCCCCATTTGTAATGATCTGAAGGATTTATCTCTAACTATATTTAAGTTCCTGTTGAGGGTCGACCTTTAATTTTGGACATTTCTGATTTGTTCTTGTTGATTCTCATGAAAGTTTCCAACTTTGAAAATTCTCTGAATTTTGCAGCCGTAGCTTCCTCTGAGGTGGAGCAGCTTTATGAAACATGGATGGAGTTCCTGGATGAGCTGCAGCTGAAACAATCACAGACGTTTCTCCTCCTCCTCCCCACAGATCAGAGATGATTATTTTTATTTCTGCTACAAAGACGAACATTTTCTTAATCTTAAAAAATAAAAATCGAACAGAAAACTCTGAACCTGAATCAGAGGAATCATGATCTCTGCAGCCCGAGTGTCGTGAGAGACGGAGAGAGCACGCCGAACCACGCCCAGCAGCCTCTCCTCCTCCTCCATATTCATTTCCGGAAGTAAATCATTTTTGTAATCCTAATCTGAATGTTGTGACAGATTAAGAGAGAGAGAGAGAGAGCGAGGATGCAGCCTCTCTAATCTCCTACAGAGTCTAAAATGTTGCTCACTGAAGAATTACTGTCCTCTTGTCTCTTGTGTTTGAGTCCATGTGAGGAACTTTACAGAAGAACCAACAAAGAACTTCAGAGATCATCATCGTCGTCGTCATCGTACCTTCAGATCTGTCAGCGGTTCTGTGTGGTTCACAGAGACATAGACAGAGATTATAGAGTCTGCTGATGTGTGGGAGTGGGGGAGGGAGTCAAATCCACATGCATAATATAGAAACAGAGAGTGTAGATGCAGAGAGGCAGACGGATTGATGCTGACAGAAAATGGTGTAAAAGCCAAAGTAAATAATTCATCCTCCCAAAAACACATCAATAATGAAGCAGAGGCGGAGTCTCTGTTAGTGTGAGTGAAGAAGTTATCTCAGTGTGCAGAGAGACGGAGGGTTCGAGGGCAGGAACCCTCTGGTTCTGGATTTACAGAACCATCTTCAGACCCAGATGTTAAGAATGAAAGATCCTGGTCCCCACAGGACGGCAGCGTGGAGGTGTGGGTGTGGGTGTGGGTGTGTTTTCAGATCATTATTCTGCAGCTCAGTGACTAACTGGATCAGCTGGATGGAAGCGTGAACCTCACCGTCGAACACTCAGAGTCAAACAGACAAACAAACATAAATGATATACAAACAATTTACAGTTAATAATATAGATTATTATAAAAGAAATAAACATGCTGGAGGTTTGCTGACGTGATTTAATCTGAGAGAAACACGGATCTGCAGAGAGCCTGTACGGTCTGCCATATGCATGCTCTGTGTGTGTGTGTGTGTGTGTGTGTGTTAAGAGTATGGAGGTTATGGTACACAGATGGCCGCTCTCCTGACTTCTCTGTTTGACTTCTGTGGAAAAAGAAGTCCGAGTGTTTTTACCGTCACGGTCCTGAAAATAAACAGATCTGCGTCTCTCTCTCAGAAAAACGACAAAGAATCTAAATAATGTTCAGAGTTTCTTCAGATCATAAAAAACACATGATGACGATTGAAAGGACCTTATTTTGGAGACGTTTTATTTTCACTCTCAGGAAAGCTTCAGTTTTTCTACTAAACCAATTCTTCAGTCGATCAACATGAACAAAAAGAAACAGCTGACAGTATTTCCACCTCAGAGATGAAACTCCACTCAGTTTAGGAGACGGTTAAATTCAGGGTCAGTTCAGTCTGAACAGGCGGCCATCTTGAACGGATCAGTAAGGAGGCGGGTCCAGAGCGTCGTGAAGAAGTGGACACCAGGGGACCGCGACTCTCTGCTAGTGACAGCTGATCCACCTGCTGAGACACGCTAAGTCAGACACGTGTGTGTGAGTGTGTGAGTGTGTGTGTGTGTGTGTGTGTGTGTGTGTGTGTGTGTGTGTGTGTGTGTGTGTTCAGTTAAAGCTTTAGATTAGGGCTGGGTGATATGGGAAAAGTTTATCACAATATTATGATCATATCAGCTGATATGGATCAATATCAGGATATAAAAATCTAACAGTGTTTCTTGGTCTCATGTCTTTTCCAACACAATAATCTCCTGCATCTGTGAGGTCTTTGTGTCTCTTTGGCGTTTTGTCGTAAGGCGTCGCTCTAGAGAAAGCCGACTGAATGGTCGTCTGTTTCGGCTCCTCGCTCCTCTCGGGGTTTGTAACCTCTTGCGTTGCGCGTGCTCTGCGGCGTGGCGCTGCTTCAGGTGGTGAAAAAGATTTGAGGTATTCCCCGACTTTGTGAGAACATGTCCTCGACATAATTTACAGTCCACATTACTCTGCTTCATGTCCGACCTCCAAAAACCAAAATACCTCCACACCACCGACGTTTTCCTAACGCCAGTGTTGTGGTTGACATTGATGTGGTCATCTGTTGAGCCTTCATGGTCATTTCTGTCGGGGGTAGCACTCATTTTCTTTGTTTCTCACCAACAGTGCTGTCGGCTTCACCTGTTAAAGTGCTATGGTTGGGTGGAGCTGCTGTCTGCTACGACGCTGCAGTTGGTTGATACTTGGTTCTAATTCAGAACATGATTGGTTCAGACCCGGAGAAACTCCCCTTTTCATTGGCTGTTCATATAGTCTTCCAAAACATGTCAGAATGACGACTATTGAAAAGGATATTGATCATGTTTTATATTGATATTGAGGGAAATTATTTTTCAATATATATTGTTATCGTTTTATCGCCCAGCCCTTCGTAAAATAAATAAAAATAAAATAAATAAAATAAATAAAATAAAATAAATAAATAATAAATAAATAAATAATAAAAATAAAATAAATAAATAAAATAAAATAAAATAATTAAAAATTCCTTCTAATGTTGAAAAAGTTCACAGAGAAACAGTCTCATATTCTGTCGGATCACCGAAATACACTTTCTCTCTCTCTCTCTCTCTCTCTCTCTGTCTCTCTGTCTCTCTCTCTCTCTCCCTCTCTGTCTCTCTCTCTCTCTCTCTCTCTCTCTGTCTCTCTCTCTCTCTCTCTCTCTCTCTCTCTCTCTCTCTCTCTCTCTCTCTCTCTCTCTCTCTCTCTCTCTCTCTCTCTCTCTCCGTCTCTCTCTCTCTCTCTCTCTCTCTCTCTCTCTCTCTCTCTCTCTCTCTCTCTCTCTCTCTCTCTCTCTCTCTCTCTCTCCAGGTTGATCGAGAAGCGACAGCCGAATGGAGAAACCATCGAGTTGTCTGCGGAGGGCCGTCCTGAGCTGGTGGAGGAGAAGGAGCTCCCCGTGGTGGACTGCACCTGCTTCGGCCTGCCGAGGCGGTACATCATCGCCATCCTGTCCGGTCTGGGATTCTGCATCTCCTTCGGGATCCGGTGTAACCTTGGCGTGGCCATCGTGAGCATGGTCAACGACCACACCGTCTACAAAGGCAACAAGGAAGTTCTGGTGGTGAGTTCGACCCGGTCCAGTCTGCCTATGGGAAGACCATCTGTTTCAGAACCGGACTGTAAAGACCTGTTTTTGTGTTTTGTCCTGTCTGCAGGCGGCACAGTTCACCTGGGACCCTGAGACCGTGGGGATGATCCACGGCTCCTTTTTTTGGGGTTACATCGTCACACAGATCCCGGGCGGATTTATATGTCAGAAGTTTGCAGCCAACAGGTGAAGGTCCTCACAGTTCCATAAAAACACCAGTCTGTGTTTAAACTGAGGGTGGTCTGTCTTCACAAACATGGAGCTGAATTAAACAGGAACAGGAAGTAACGTGTTCATTAACACACCAGAGTGTAGCCTTACTCAGAGCCACGACCATGAAGGGCTGACCGAGGACACCAAAAATCATCATCACTATTATTTTGATGGATAATCATGTCAGGATTAGAAAACATGATTACACAAAATCTGACATCTGCATCGAAAACATCGATGCAACTTCAAACCTCCTCCTTCTCCTCCTCTCTCCTCCTCTCCTCTCTCCTTCTTAATAAACGTTCTTATTTCTGATGTTTTCTGATGGTCAGAATCACGGTTTAAGTATGATGTTCTCGCCGCGCTCAGATGTCTCTCTCTCTCTCTCTCTCTCTCTCTCTCTCTCTCTCTCGGTTGTTTCTGTAAAATCATCCTGAGGCTCTTTTTGTTTGTTTGTTTGAATGTTTAAGAGTGTTTGGCTTCGCCATCGTGGCCACATCCACCCTCAACATGCTGATTCCATCCGCTGCTCGCTGCCATTACAGCTGTGTCATATTGGTCAGGATATGCCAGGGTCTTGTTGAGGTACAGTATGAGTGTGTGTGTTTGTGAGCAGCTGCAGGACTCTCTCTCTCTCTCTCTCTCTCACATGCAGGAGTTTTTCCCTGACTCTGTCTTGTCCTTCAGGGGGTATCGTACCCAGCCTGCCACGGGATCTGGGCCAAGTGGGCTCCTCCTCTGGAGAGGAGTCGATTAGCCACAACAGCCTTTTGTGGTAAAGTCTGAAGTTTCTGCTCAGTCGAAGTTCAGTTAGTGTGAAAAATTATCACCGTCAGAGAGATGGAGATGTTTTCTTCTTCTTCTTCAGAGTGACTTCATGTTTTTAAATTATTGATGATCGTCAGTAAAAATGGATGACTGTTGGTTGTCTCTCTCTCTCTCTCTCTCTCTCTCTGTTGGATGTTAGGGTCATATGCGGGGGCGGTGGTGGCCATGCCTCTTGCTGGGATACTGGTGCAATACACTGGGTGGCCTTCAGTATTCTACGTCTATGGTGAGTATATCTATACTCAGTTTACTGCAGGACTGTGGCACAGATGAGCACAGATGTACGGTGGCCCTGAAGGTCAACTGCACGAATAATCCATGACTGCAATAAAACATGTCAGGTGTTTACAAAAAATATTTAATTAAACACAGAGATGTTTCATCAAATTAAAGATATTTTACAAAATAAAAACGATTCAATGGATAAAATATTTCTTAGTATGTGAAAAAAAATTCATGAATAAAAAAACTAGGATACAAAAACACTAAACAATCTTTTCATGAATTTTTATTTTCCTGTTTCTTTTAATTATTGAATTTCTTTTGTATTTGAAATTATTTTTTGTTGTGAAATACTTTTTATATTTTATTAAACATTTTTGTATTTCTTAATTTTTATTTGCGATTCAAGTTTCATTAAATTTTTTATTAAATTTTAACGCTTCTTTTTTATTCTTTGTTGTTTTTTTGCATGTAATTTATCCTTTGCTCATTTATTATTGTTTTCTTCTATAAAAATACTTGTTTTTGCATTTCATTAATTTTTTTAGAAATGTTGTTTTCAGTTTAACATTTAGATTTTCATAATGCAATATAATGTATTAATACTGTAAATTCTTTTGCTGTTAGTTTATTTAAATGTTTTTTTCTGCATTAAATTAAATATTTTTGTAATTTCTGATTTTTTTTGTATTTAATTTGATATTTTCTGTTTTAAAAAAAAATATTTTTTATTTACAGAAAAGATTTTTACTTTCTCTGAAACTTCTTTAGGATTAAATTTAATTTATGATTAAATAAAATTAAATAAATAATTTAGTTTTTTCTGTGAAATGCTTTTGGCTTTTATTTTCGCAGAGAGGAAATGTTTTTGCCTTTGCCCTTCAGGGCCACCGTACAGTTCTCATATGTATACTATGTAAATAAATGTAGAAGTGTATTTTGTGGTTCACACTCAGGTGTCAGGATTCGATCCAGAACTTTTCTGTTTTCTGTTTTTTTTTTCTCCTCACCTTCTCAAACACGTTTTCTTCCTCTTGGTTTGATTTGTTCTCAGACTTTTCTATTTCTCGTCTGGACTCACGTCCGTCTGTTTCTGCTCCTCTCTTCCTCTTCCAGGCAGTTTTGGGATCTTCTGGTATCTGTTTTGGATCCTGGTGTCTTACGAGAGTCCTGCAGCTCATCCCACCATCACACCTGAGGAGAGGAAGTACATCGAGGACGCCATCGGAGAGTCTGCAGGGTTCATGAATCCTCTCCAGGTACGAGCCTTTCTCTTGTTCCTGATCACACACTCACACGGAGGGTCTCTGGGGGGCGCTCACACAAACACAGAGAGTTAGACTGTCGAGGAGGGATCGATCCGCCTCAGCTCACTGATATCTTGTTCCTTTTGGATGCAGAAATTCAAAACCCCGTGGAAACACTTCTTCACCTCCATGCCGGTCTACGCCATCATCGTGGCCAACTTCTGCAGGAGCTGGACCTTCTACCTGCTGCTCATCAGCCAACCGGCGTACTTCGAGGAGGTCTTTGGATTTGAGATCAGCAAGGTCAGAGGGGAACGAAGATTTACCTCTGTAACACGATTCAGGTTTCACTCAAATCAGAGGAAAAAAGAGGAAAAGTTTCCTCAAACAGACAAACAGAAGAATGAAGAATATAAATTTATCTCTCTCTTTCAGGTGGGGATAGTGTCGGCTCTCCCTCACCTGGTGATGACCATCATCGTTCCTATTGGAGGACAGCTGGCGGACTACCTGAGGACCCACAACCTGATGTCCACCACCAACGTGAGGAAGATGATGAACTGTGGAGGTGAGTGGAGATCAGGGAGGAGGAGTGAAGGTCATCAGTAAATATTCCCGCCGTTTCAGGACTGTAAAGGTTCAGAGGAACTACCGTGAAAATGTCTCGTCTCTCTCTGACCGTTTTCTTCTTTTTTTTAAATTTATTCGTTTTGACGTGTTTCAGGTTTCGGGATGGAGGCCACGCTCCTGCTGGTGGTGGGATACTCGCACACTAAAGGAGTCGCCATTTCCTTCCTGGTCCTGGCCGTGGGTTTCAGCGGGTTCGCCATTTCAGGTAAGAGACGGATCTGAGGTTAACTTACCGAGTCGGTCATCTGTCTGATCGTCTCCTAAAAGGTCGTATCCTCCGATCGTAGCTGATCGTAACCATTCAAGTTAACGTGTCAATTTACACCGACTTCTTTCCGTTCCATTCCTCCCTCCGTTTTTAGACGTCATTTCACCCCGATGACACCATGGATGAGGAGATGCTGATTCTAGAAGTCTAGAAGTAGATTTCCTCCTCTGGAAGGACACAATCTACTGCTTATATGTCTATGTGTCTGTCTTTAGAGAGACAACTTGTTATCGAGCGATTGAACGTGAATCTGCAGGTTCTTGTGAGTTCTCAGATTCCTGCTGTCTGTAATCCACCAAGAAATTTACCTCATTAATGGATCCGGTAGGAATTGGCGGATGGTGAAAATCGCTGCCATTACGGATCCGGTGGAAATTGGGGGTGATATCAATCAGATTTAGGGTTCCTTCAAAATAAAAGCAGAGTTTAACAAGGCAGGAAATGAAATAATTTATGTGTAAAACAGAAAACGACATCAGAGCGGTTCGAGTCAGAGCAGGAATCAGACGTTTGAGTATCAGACGAGGTTCGTTATTTCACTCTAATGTCGTCGTTTTGAGGTTTTGATGATCCCGATAATCGTCTGCAGAAAACTCCTGATGTTCTAAAACTAAACCCTGTCTCTGCTCTGTGACTCAGGGTTTAACGTGAACCACCTGGACATCGCTCCTCGATACGCCAGCATCCTGATGGGCATCTCAAACGGCGTGGGGACGTTATCGGGGATGGTCTGTCCTCTGATCGTGGGCGCCATGACCAAACACAAGGTACAGAAACCTTCAGCAGCGCAAACGTTTAACGTGTCCAAATGTTCACGACCTCTCTGAAATTTAATCGCCTTTCTCCACGTTTCAGACGCGTGAGGAGTGGCAGGGCGTCTTCCTCATCGCGTCGGTGGTTCATTACGGAGGAGTGATTTTTTACGGTAGGAGCTGAGCGCGAATCAAGAGTCTGACAGAGCGCGTGCAGAAGTCTGATCACATGTTCTCCTCTCCAGGACTCTTTGCGTCAGGAGAGAAGCAGCCGTGGGCCGACATCGAGGACACCAGCGACGAGAAGTGCGGCATCATCGCCGAGGATGAACTGGCCAATGAGACGGAGGAGCTCTACCGTGGAGGCGGGCAGTACGGGGCCATGAGCCAACAGGCCGTTGGATCGAACGGAGGAGGCGGAGCCGGCGCCGGGTGGGTGTCGGACTGGGATAAGTCTGAGGAGTACGTTCAGCCGCCGGGACACAACTCCTACATGTACGGAGGAGGGGAGGAGCGAGAGCTGACGTAGAGGAGCGGCGAGAGCTGACGTAGAGGAGCGGCGAGAGCTGACGTAGAGGAGCGACCACCGACGAGTGAAAAAAAAAACACCCCAAAACAAAAAAGGAGGCGGAGTTAAAGAGAGAGAGAGAGACCTGCTGTGTGCTTTACAACAAACCTGACAGAGCACCAATCAGAGCCTGGACCTGACTCATCCCAGTGTGTGTGTGTGTGTGTGTGTGTTTGAGCACGTGCATGTATGTGCACAAACATGTTCAGTATCCATGACAAAAACTGAGTCCATCTCCCAGACCTTCATCCCGCTCTTCAGCTTCGCTGTGATTGGTCAGACGCTCTTTCATCAACACAGAGGCGGGTCTTTGTGAGTGTGGGTGTGTCTTTGTGTGTACTTATGTGTATTTTGGCTTTTATAGCAGTTTTTAAATTTTAATGTTTAATCCACGTCTGTGAAGGTGAAGCAGCTCTGAGATCAGAAACATCAGACATGATTGACAGACATTTGTCCACAAATTCGACACGATCAGAAACTTTTCTTTAGTTTTGAGAATCTTCGTTGTTAAAGTTCGTTTGCATGTTTCAGTCGGTTTGAGCTGGTTTGAGTTTGTTCACAGAGACAAAAAGGTGCTTCGATTTCATGTTACTCTGTGTGTTTAAAGTGTGTGTGTGCACGCTTGTTTGAATGTGTGAATGTGTAAAGGTGTGTGTGTGTGTGTTTGTGCACACAGCTGCATGTGTCGTCTAGCTGGATCTCACCTGGGTCTGACCTAACTGGGTCACGTCCAGCTCGGCTCATGGGTCACATGAATAATCACCTGACATCCATGACTCTCCACTGTGTGTGTGTGTGTGTGTGTGTGTGTGTGTGTGTGTGTGTGTGTGCGCGCTCCTGTCAGAGTGGTGGCCCAGAACGATGAGTAGAGTGACGGTTAATTTGCTCTTTCTCTCTTTCCGCGGTGATGAACTTCAGTTTTCTCCTCCCTGTCTCTCTGTCTCCTCCTCTGGATCTGTGAGGACATCCTCCTCCTCCCTCTGCTCCTCCTCCTCCTCCTCCTCCTCCTCCTCCTCCTCTCTGTTTCTGTCTTTGGTGGGTGTCTCTCATGTTTGAGTCGGTGGGTCAGAGCCTTCCTGATGTCTTCATGTGTGTGTGTGGTGGTGTGTGTGTTGTTGTGGTGGGTGCAGGTGCTGAAACGTTGTGCAGTGAGCGTGCTTTAATGAGCAGGGCCATCCCTCCCTCACACACACACACACACATACACACACACACGCACACACACACACACACACACACACACGGTCAGGTGATCACAGAGCTGAAGGTGTGAAGTGGAGCTGGTTTAGGAAGAATCTGATCTCATGTTTTATCATCAGGGGGGAGGGTCCAAAGATTTGTGACAATCAGCCAATCAGGTCGGCCCGTTTCACACCCTTTAAAACTACCCCCCCCCCCAGTTAATGATGCACTGACAGCTGGCAGAGCGAGAGTCCAGATGTGCTCCTGAGCGTGTGCTGACATCCTGATAGAGAGGAGAGTCTGTCACAGTGAACAAGCTGCACATTAAACACACACACACACACACACACACACACACACACACACACACACACACACACACACACACACACACACACACGTATAACCCCTTTATTCTGCCTGGACTCCCCGGTCATGCTCACACACAGTGATGATTTAACTTTAAATGTTTGCAGGCGGCTCTGTGTCGAATCAGGATAATCTGAGAACTTCCTGTTTGACAGTTTGAGTGTTTGATGAATGGCGTGAATGTTGGCGAGGTCGTCTTTGTTTCAGATGAGGATTAAAGGGATATTCTGGTGTAAAATTAATTTATGGTCAAACCCACCGTAACACCGAGTTAGACCCCGCCTCCAGAGATGAATGTTGCCGACCACTTGCTTCTCTAGTTATACCAACTTTAGTAACGACCTCAGGATAGTAATACAGAGAGACACGCCCTCAACCAAAACGCCACTCTATAGCCACAAATAATGCTCAGAACAGCACCTAACTTCATTAACAGGACATATAGGGTCACAGACAGAGTACTATATTCAGAGTTGTTCTAACTCCTAAGAAAACAAACTTAAGCGGGGGCGTTTCTCCACCTCTGTAGTCTATAAGCTGGGCCAATAAACTTCTACTGTAGTAAAATGAAAAGGTAAAGGTGTTTTTATTGAGCCGAATTATCAATAAAATCATGATTTTGTTAACAGGTATGGATTTATGTGCTGTTGAGTTAATATATTTGAACAAGAGCACAGTAAAGTTAAATCAGCTAATTTTCCAATGAGGTTCTGTTACTAAACTGAACTACACCATGTTCTACTGAGGTTAGTACATATAGGGTCACAGCCATAGTACTAGACACCAAACATCTTTTTAACTTTGACTCATTTCTTTAGTAAAGAGACTAAACACAACTCACCTACTCTCTTCCAGCAGACGTTTGTTTGTAGAGAGACCTCAGGCCAGTCTATTATGGACTACAGCGGGGTGCCGCAGCTCAAGGAAGAACATTCACGATCATTTCTTTATGGAAATACAATCAGACCGAGACGCTAAGACAGAAGAACTACCGCGTCTGTAAAATGATTAATATGGTGATTATTACTTCAAGGAAATGATGAAGAAATGATCATAAATGTTCTTCCTTGAGCTGCGACACCCCGCTGTAGTCTGTAATGGACTGCAGTCGTTACTAAAGTTGATATAACTAGAGAAGCAAGCGGTCGGCAACATTCATCTCTGGAGGGGGGTCTAACTCGGTGTTACGGTGTGTTTGACCCTAACTTAATTTTACAACTGAATATCCCTTTAAATGTTGAAGTGTGTCGGTTTGTGGGTGATTATTTTCAAAAAGTGGTTTAGAAAATTAACATTTTTGTTTTGAGATAAGTGTCTAAAAGACTTGAATGATTCTTCCTGTGAACAGTTTCATTTCTAAGTGTTGTATCGGTGTATTTTTAATCAAGTTTCTCTTTGTCTCAGTTCATGGCTGTTCCGATGTTGTCCTCCTTCTTCTTGATGGAAAGTTTGGCAGAAATCAGTGTAAAATAAAAAAAAGAAATGATCATATTTAAACATGAAAACTGTAGAAAATATTCTATGTAAAAAAGATGTATATGTGAGATATCCTTGTGAATAATAAAATTTAGTCCATTTATAATGATGTCACTATTTCGGCCTATTTCTGTCATCAGGATTTATCAGAGTGACGACGACGATGATGACGATGATGATGGTTGATTTTATTTAAACATCATGACAGCACAATGTCACTTTTCTGTCTTTCTCCTTCTCTCTCTCGGGACAGATGGAAGCAGGATTATCTCTGTGATTTTAGGCAAAGATTAGACAGAGAGCAGATGCACTCAGTGGGAGAGAGAGAGAGAGAGGGAGGGAGAGAGAGGGAGAGAGAGACATGGACGTCACGGACAGGGGGAGAGGATGACGACAGAGGGTGGGGCGTGGAGCCTGCTCCGTGGGTGTGTGCTCAAAAATGGGTATAGTATGTAAAAACATAGTTAAGTATGATTAAAATATCATAGTGTAGTATCATAAAAATGCCATAGTATAGTATGTTAAATAATCATAGTAAAGTATGATGAACAAAAATCATAGTATAGTATCATAAAAATGCCAGTATGAAGTATAAGTATGAAAAATAATTTCACGGTATAGTCTGAGCAAAAATGTCAGTATAGAATGTTAAAAATGTCTTATTGTAGTCTGTAATAAAATTCATATTTTACCATGTAATAACTGTCGAAGTAAAATGATAATGTCATAGTATTGTATGTTAAAAATTTCATATTTTTGAAAGAAAAAAAAATCATTTTAAGGAATGAAAAAAAAGCCATAGTATAGTATGTGAAAAATAACTTACTGTAGTATGGGAAAACCGTTAAAGTAAATTTTATATTTTATTATAAAAAATGCCTTAGTTGGTATGTTTTAAAATTAATGTTTTATTATGAAAAAAAATTTATAATTTGATGCGAAAACAAGTCTTAGTATTGTACGATTAAAATGTCATAGTATAGTATGTTAAAAAATTCATAGTTTTGTATGAAAAAAAATGTCACAATACATTATAAGATGCCAGTTAAGTATGAAAAAAGTCATAGTATCGTATGAGTGAAATCTCATATTATAGTATGTTCAATATTTCATATTTTTGTATAAAAAATCATATTTTATCATATAAAAATATCATATAAAAATGCCTTTATATAGTATAGTCTGCTAAAAAATTCATAATCAAGTATAAAAAAAAATCATATTAAAGTTTTTTAAAAAATTCAAATTTTAAATTGAATAAAATGTCATAGTATAGTATGTGAAAGATAATATATTGTAGTATGAAAAAAATAATGTGTTTGTATAAAAAAAGGCCATAGCAAGGTATGTAAAAAATTATATTTTAGAATAAAAAAAACATATTTTAGTGTGAAAAAAGACATAGAGTAAGATGAAAATCTTTTTGTAAAATATGTTAAATATTTTAAATTTTTGTATGAAAAAAAACACATTTAATTATGAAAAAATGTCATAGTATAGTTTGTTAAAATTTTTATATTTAAGTATGAAAAAAAAATCAGATTTTTGAATGAAGGTAAATGCCATAGTTAAATCTGTAAAATGTCATATTTGAGTATGAGAAAAAAAGCCAAAGTGAGTTCAGTAAAAATGTCATAGTATAGTTTGTAAAAAATTTCATATTCCACTAGGAAAAAAAAAATTCATACTTTTTTGTAAATATTTACATATTTAATTATGAAAAAAATGTCATAGTATAGTATGTTTAAAATTCAATATTTTAGAATGAAAAAAATAATAATTTGATACGAAACATACAGAATGATACAAATGTCATAGTATTGTATGTTAAAAAAAAATTCTGTATGAAAAACAAAAATTTTTTTGTATGAAAAAAAAAGTCACAATATAGTTTGAGACAAATGTCATAGTATAGTGTGTTAAAGATTTTATATTTAAGGACAAAAAAAATATATTTTTCCATGGAAAAAAAAATCCCAAAGTATAGTATGATAAAATGCCATGGTATTGTATGTAAAAAAGAAATCATATTTTACTTTGAAAAAAAGAAAAGCCATGGTATAATATTATTAAAAGTCATGGTATAGTATGACGAAAATCTCATAGTATAGTATGTTGAAAAATACATAATTAAGTATGGACAAAAATTATATTTTAGTATGAAAGAAATTATATTTTTGAATCAAAGAAAATGTCATAGTATAGTATGTTTAAAATTTTATATTTGAGTATGAAAAAAAGCCATAGTTAGTACGGTAAAAATGTCATAGTATAGTATGTTAAAAATGTCACCAGAAAATAAATTTCATGTTTTATTATGAATAAAATGCCATAGTATAATGTGTTAAAAATTAAGTATTTTAGTATGAAAAAAAATTGATACCAAAAAAGTCATAGTATAGTATGATGAAAATATCATAGTATAGTCTGTAAAAAAAAAAAATAGATATAAAAAAAATCCTTTTATTCTGAAAAAATGCTATAGTATAGTATGTCAAGATAAAGTATAAAAAATATCACATTTAAGTATGAAAAAAAAAATTTGAATAAAAAAAAAAATGTCATAGTATAGTCTGTTTAAAATTTAATGTTTCACAAGGAAAATATAATTTCAGATTTTATTATGAAAAATATGCCATAGTATAGTGTGTTCAAAATTTAGTATTTTACTATGAAAAAAAATATTATTTGATACCAAAAGAAAGTCATAGTATTGTATGATAAAAATGTCATAGAATAGTTTGTTGAAAAAATCATTATTCTGTGTGGGAAAAAAAAATTGTATGAAAAAAATGTCACAATATGGTATGATGAAAATGCCATAGTATAGTATGACAATAAAGTCATGGTATAGTATAAAAAAAAATTATATTTTACTCAGAAACAAATGTCATTTTTATGTATGAAAAAATGCCACAATATAGTATGATACAAATGTCATAGTATAGTATGTCAAAAATAGAATATTTTAAAATATTAAAAAAATTCCATTGTATAGTATAATAGAAATGTCATAGTGTAGTATGTTAAAGATTTTATATTTAAGAATATTAAAAAAAATCCCAAAGTATAGTGTGATAAAAATGCCATTGTACAGTATGTGAAAAAAAACATATTTTATTATGAAAAAATGCCATAGTATAGTATGTTTAAAATTTCATAATTTTAATGAAAAAAAATGTCATAGTATAGTATGTTTAAAATTCAATATTATAGTATGAAAAAAAATCATAATTTAATACGAAAAAAAAACACAATATCGTATGATAAAAATTTCATATTATAGTCGTCGTCGTTTTCTTCCGCTTCATCCCGGTCTGGGTCGCGGGGGCAGCAGCTTCAGGAGAGAAGCCACTCCTGTTTTAGTATAACATCACAATTCCTCTATGGACCAAAGGGCCAACAGTTGTGGACGTCTCCTCTCTCTTTGCTGCAGGACAGAAAGATCCAGAAGATCTTTTGTACCAACAGTCATCAGCCTTTATAACTCTTAAAAATATCATGTTTCAGTATTAATTATGACATAGTATAGTATGTTTAAAAAAATGTGTGAAAAAAAAAATATTGTAAAGTTTGATCAAATATTTGACCTGGATAAAATTGTCAAATAATTGATTATATCAGTTGTGTTCCCGTGTCTATCCTGCTCTAAAATCCTTCATTGGCTTTTATTAAATGTGAGTTTTGTTTGTAACTGGTAACAGGTGTCTTTGCCCAGAAAAATCATTACAAACATCAGACCTGGTACTTAAAACTTTATTGTGCAGTAGTTAATCACAGATTTCTCAAGTAGGCTATATCAAAACTGACCACCAGGGAGCACCTTTTCTGTACTACGCCTACTGCTTTATCCAACTGGGTCCTGAACTCCAGATCCTTAGGTCTTCTTTTTCTTGTGTTTGATCCTCAAGTTTCTGCAGGAGGACTGAGACTCTGCGCTTCGTGGGACCTGCAGAGGACAAAGTGTTGTCATTAGTTAAGTTCAGCACATCTATAGGACTCATGTACAAAAATCTAACAGCTTAAAGCTCCTCTGACAACTCAATAAAGAGTCTAAAATTTTATACTACAAGTCTGTTTCTGTCAGATACAAAAGTGTAATAATATATTAATTTATTTGTCCATAAATATATTGATAAAGAGTTATAAAATGTGTTGGTATGTGCCTTCTTATTTTAAATGCTGATATTATTTATAGCAGGGCAGTTTTGTGCAGAAACAGCGCCCTCTGGTGGACACTCATATTTAAGTTTAAAGCCAGAATCAAAGATTTAAAGATGAAAAATTCTTATTATTGTTAGAGTTATGTTATTGATTTTTAAATTTTAAACTACTTGTTTTGTTTTGTTCATCAAACTGTAACTTTAAACTTTTTGTTTTTTCTTTTCTTTATGTTTCTAAAATAAATGTAGTTACCCAATGTTTAATAATATGTATTTGTCATTGCTGAAGAACTGAAAAGGTTAGAAATAATAATAATAATAATAATAATAATAATAATAATAATAATAATAATAATAATAATAATATTAGATTTTTCTCACTTTTCTTATTTGAAGTCTCAGTAAATCAAATTTTTAATTATGCTTCTATGGCCCACTTACCTTGTTGTTTTGTTTCAGTTGTTTATCGCTCACTTTATGTTTTTGTATCGTTCATAACTTGTTGAATAAAGAAAACTTTCAAAAAAACATTAATACTTTTTTCTGTTTTAATATGTTTTTTTTATAAATATATATATTTTCATCCATTTTTAAACTTTATCATTCGGAAATCTTAAATTGAAAATGAGACGTTGCAGTAGCGGACTTTGACCACAGGAGGGCGGGACAGGATCAATTAGACTCCATTTGATACAATCCCGACACTTCCGCTTTGATTTTCAAAATAAAGCACCTGGGTGTGAACTGTACCGTTGAGAGCGAGACAACTGCAGGAAAAGACTGACTAGATTTGTGAACGAGTGTACGGCGTTTAAACTTCAATTTTAATAAAGTTTGTAGTTATTTTAACTATTTTAGTAAAAATAAAGAGAATTCTCGTCTGTGTGTCTGAAGCTTCAGCTGAAGGGGAAGAAGTTTTCGTAAAAACCACGCCCTAATAAGGCTGCTCCTCTTCGCTATTGGGTAGATCTGCTAGTTTGGGGCGGGGTTAACACTCATACCTGGGCTACGATTGGCCCACTTTGACGTCTGTCCGCATGCTGGTGTTTGATTGGTTGTCTCGCAGGAGGATTAAGGCGAAAACGCTCTACTTTCAATGAAGCTCAATGGAGACTTAATAGGAACTCAGTCGAATTTAAGCATTTTTGTTTCTTTAAAACACCAACAGAGATCTGATTTAGACAGTTCTACCTCCGTGTTTATTTAAAAAGAGACTTTATCAGTTTGTTCGGACAGTTTTCGTTCAGATCTTGAAGTTTTTTCTTCAAGTGTTTGAATGAGGAAATCAGGCTAACGGTATGTAGCATGCTAACCTGAAAGAGAGAGACGTTTCTGTTTCACAGTTTGACACAAATCTACAGAAAGGTGAGTTTAGAGGACGTTTACTCACTTTAAACAACAGAATTAATCAAATTAAAGTCAGTTAATGTGGTGGTAACTGTGCGGGTAAATCTGGGTCAGGGTTCGGACCAGGATCAGGGACTCGGTTCTGTTCTAATCCACCTTCATGTCTGTCTTTATCCCTCGAACCCAGCTCCTTCGGCAGGTATGACCGAGTACAAACTGGTGGTGGTCGGGGCGGGAGGTGTGGGGAAGAGCGCCCTGACCATCCAGCTGATCCAGAACCACTTTGTGGACGAGTACGACCCGACCATCGAGGTGAGAGAGACCGGAACCGTCAGTCCAGATTAACCTGAAAAACCCCTGACCCTGTTCTTTAGAGGGGTCAGAACAGACCTCTGCAGACTCACCTGTCCATACCTGTTCTCACTCTGGACTCTAACAGGATATAACGTCACTCTCTGTTAAGGAGCGGGTGGGTTCGGCGATAAAACTATAACGATATATATCGAAAATTAATTACCCTCAATATCGATATAAAACATGATCAATATGCTTTTCAATAGTCATTCTGCGATGTTTTGGTCGACTATATGATTAGTCAGGCTGGGACGATATGCTTTTCTCACGATTCGATTCTTCTGCGTTTTTTTGGATGCTGATTTGATCAAAATTGCAATTCTACGATATTTTCGATTTTTTAAATTTTGACTGAATAGCCAACGAAAAGGGGAGTTTCTCCGGTCCGCTTAGTGTTGAACTAGGGCTGGCCGATCTGTGAATTAATTTATCAAGATATCGGTCTCTTTGACGTTTTGTCGTAAGGCGTTGCTCTAGAGAAAGCCGACTGAATGGTCGTCTGTTTCGGCTCCTCGCTCGCTCTACTCGGGGTTTGTAACCTTTTGCGCGTGCTCTGCGGCGTGGCGCTGCTTCAGGTGGTGAAAAAGATTTGAGGTATTCCCCGACTTTGTGAGAACATGTACTCGACATAATCGTATAGTCGACCAAACACGGCAAAATGATGATTATTGAAAAGCATATTGATCATGTTTTATATTGATATTGAGGGAAATTTAATAAATTTTCAATATATATCATTATCATTTTATCCCCCAGCCCTACATTGAACCAATCATGTGCTAAATTAGAGGAATATACCTTCCTCATCATTATAACTTACCTCAAAAATACTGAATAATTTCTGTATATTTATTGGAAGAGGATTATTTCTAGCTTTAAACATTTGAGCTGTTTGATGTTCCACTATGTCTGTGAATTTTAACACTTCAGAAAACTGCAGAAATGTTTTTTTAAACGGTGGTTAGCGGCTGATTTCATGGCTTGTTTTTAAAAAGGTAAACTCCCATATTTACGAATCACACGTAGGCTACTTCAACATTATGATTTAAAGGATTTAAAATGCATAAATATCAAACTGTTGAAAAGTTTGTTCAGGTCGACTCTCAGTACTTTTCAGCAGATCATCATGAGTCACTTTCTGAAAGATGAAAAAATGAACTTTTTTTCACATTATAATGTTACAAAATAGAGGATATGACGAGACAGAAGATGTAAAAACAGTTTATTCGTTCAGGTGTGTGCTCCATGACACCCCAGTGAAGATTTCCAGTTTCCTGTAAATCATATTCCTGCAGATTAAACGATAATAAACTTTTATTTCTGATTCATGAGGGTCTGAAAGAGACTTTAATGTCGTTTCTGACCGGTCGATGTCTGTGACTGTTTATAAAGTGGACTTAAGGACTTAAATCCAAATCTGCAAAGTAAAGATTTAATAACAGAAGTGCAATGAAGCTAATGCGAATTAAAACCAGCAAACACCAGGACCCGCTGTGACAAATCCACCGTTAGAAATCCGTCCAGAACCTCCTCAGAGTTGATCCGGAGTCAGTAAAACCCGTTAAAAAGCCTTTTAGAGCAAACGGCTCTCCTCTAAACCCTCATTAGCTCCAAATAATCACCTCAGACGAGCTGAAATCTGCTCTGCTCCATAATCTTGTTCATAAATCTCTCCAGACGCCGCCGAGCGCTGACTCAGTGAACGTTATCGTTTCAAAGACGTGGCGTTCGTGTTTCTACATGACGGAGCAGAGTCAGAGTCATGGGAGGAATATGAGGATGAATGTGACGTAACCCGCCGACAGGCTGCTTGGCAGGCGCTCAACTGGTGCCGCTTTGTGATCATGTGACTTCTGCTTACAGGACTCGTACAGAAAGCAGGTGGTGATCGACGGAGAGACCTGTCTGCTGGACATCCTGGACACGGCAGGTCAGGAGGAGTACAGCGCCATGAGAGACCAGTACATGAGGACGGGGGAGGGCTTCCTCTGTGTGTTCGCCATCAACAACACCAAGTCCTTTGAGGATGTTCACCTGTACAGGTACATGAGGCCGCCATGACCTGTCACTCATTAAACAGTGAGGAGACCACGACTGTCCGTCAGAGCGGCCAGTCCCACAGAGGGAAAACTGAAGATCAGGAAATCTGAGAGAAAATCTGCTTAAAAAACACAAAACAAATCTGTGATCACGTTTTCTCCTCAGGAGTGTGACTCTCTTTAAAGGGATATTCAGGCGTAAAACTAATTTAGGGTCAAACCCACCGTAACACCAAGTTAGACCCCCCCTCCAGAGATGAATGTTGTCGACCGCTTGCTTCTCTAGTTATACCAACTTTAGTAACAACCGCAGGATAGAAATACAGAGAGCCACGCCCTCAACCAAAACGCCACTCTATAGCCACAAATAATGTTCAGAACAGCACCTAACTTCATCAACAGGACATATAGGGTCACAGCCATAGTACTAGACACCAAACATCTTTTTAACTTTGACTCATTTCTTTAGCAAAGAGACTAAACACAACTCACCTACTCTCTTCCAGCAGACGCTTGTTTGTAGAGAGACCTCAGGCCAGTCCATTACAGACTACAGCGGGGTGCCGCAGCTCAAGGAAGAACATTTATGATCATTTCTTCATCATTTCCTTGAAGTAATAATCACCATATTGATCATTTTACAGACACGGTAGTTCTTCTGTCTTAGCGTCTCGGCCTGATTGTATTTCCATGAAGAAATGATCATAAATGTTCTTCTGTAGTCTGTAATGGACTGGCCTGAGGTCTCGCTACAAACAAGCGTCTGCTGGAAGAGAGTAGGTGAGTTGTGTTTAGTCTCTTTGTCTAGTACTATGTCTGGGACCCTATATGTCCTAACCTCAGTAGAACATGGTGTAGTTCTGTTCAGTAACAGAACCTCATTGGAAAATTAGCTGATTTAACTTTACTGTGCTCTTGTTCAAATATATTAACTCGACAGCACATAAATCCATACCTGTTAACAAAATCATGATTTTATTGATAATTCGGCTCAATAAAAACACCTTTACCTTTTCATTTTACTACAGTAGAAGTTTATTGGCCAAACTTATAGACTACAGAAATGTCTCTCTGTATTTCTATCATGCGGTCTTTACTAAAGTTGGTATAACTAGAGAAGCAAGCGGTTGACAACATTCATCTCTGGAGGGGGGGGTCTAACTCAGTGTTTGACCCTAAATTAATTTTACGCCGGATTATCCCTTTAACTAACCTGAATACTGTCTGGACGGCCGGCTGTAAACCATGACTCTAACGCTGCTGCTGCTTGTGTTTCCTGGTCAGAGAGCAGATCAACAGGGTGAAGGACAGCGACAGCGTTCCCATGGTGCTGGTGGGGAATAAGAGCGACCTCAGCACTCGCACGGTGGAGACGCGACAGGCGCAGGAGCTGGCACGGAGCTACGGCGTGCCTTTTGTGGAGACGTCTGCCAAAACCAGACAGGTCAGGAATGACTCTGATCGTCAAACTGAGGGGAGATATCGGGTTTTTGACGATCTTCTGAAATGTTGAAATCTTGATGTCATGAGTGATCGTCTGTTTCAGGGCGTGGAGGAAGCGTTCTACTCACTAGTGCGGGAGATTAGAAGATACAAGGAGACCAACCGCAGCAACAAGAAGAGCAAGAAGAACACTCAGAGACGTTGCACAATACTATAGCAAACCACACACACACATGCACACGCACACAAACGAAGCAGCAGCATCCTTTACAGCACTTGTTTCATCCGCTCTTCTTCTCCTCCTCCTCCTCCTCCTCTTTTGTCGGAGACGTCCAGCACAGCGCTCCAGGAGAAATCCCTTTTTTCGGAGAACATCCACGGTGCGGCGGCGGCGTCCTCTCACAGCAGGAAGTCAGACGTGTCGTTGTCGCGCAGACGTCTGCAGAGTTTAGTTTATTTTTTTGAAGTGAGAACAAACTATTTTTGGGTCGAACCGAATTTTTTAAGTTTCCAAAAACCTTAAAGAGATCGAGTCTGTGGGGATGAATCTCTCTTTGTCCTCTGGTCGGTGTTTTTATCCGCTCCTCTTCTCCATGTTGAACTTTTGCAGATATTTTCAAACTGTTTATGGCCAACGCTGATGTTTTCACGCTCCTTTGTTTTCACCGAGGAAGAATCAGCTGTTTCTGTTTTTATAGATCCAGTTTGTGTCCGTCTGTCTGTCCTCAACGTTTCAAACTAGCCGACATGAGTGAGGCGTGAACCGTCAGGCCGATCATTATCTCCACAGAAACGCTCACGTCTGCTGATCCCATAATTAACGTTGCCGTCGCTGAGATCACGCCGATTTAACCCAAACCTGCCGGGTCTCTGGTATTCGTCTTTACAGTCGCTGTGATGTTGTTTTTTGAAAGTCTGTCCCTCGTGTTTTTGGAGGTTTCCGTCTTCAGTGAGATCTCAATTCCCCCCTCAGCTGCGTCGGATCACACCGGAAACAGAACCTCGAACCCGTGTTCCACTCTTAGGTGCACTTTATTCCTCCCTCATGTTCGTGGTAGATCCAGTTAGCATTAGTGCCATTTTTTTTTTTAACAGTTTACCCAGAAATCGAGTTTTTATCCTGAGCTGAGCGTCTACTGATGTCTCCATGGTGATCCGGTTTCATGGCGTTCTCAGTGTTTGAAGGTCGTGGCTGAAATCTTTGTGGTAGTAAAGACGACACGTGAACCTGACGGACGCTCAGATCAGTGGTAGTTTTCCCACATTTTTATAGCAGTGTGTGATTTTTTTAGTCGGCCGTTGTCAAATAAAGTCTATTTTTGTAGCAGCAGAAACGACATTCCCAAACTTCACAGATCTGGATGAAGACTCCAGTGTTTACATGTTTCTTCAGTCGAGTCCTGCCAACGACGACGACGATGAGTCGATGCAGATTTGAGATTTTTTATCACTGTCAGGAAGGAAAAACTGTAAAATGTACAAAACTTCATCTGATCCCGACGAGTATTTTAACCGTCAGCTGTGTAACCTTTAAGCATCCTGCTGTAACGAACAAGTAAACGTCTTCAGCTTTTAAAAACCTGCTCTGTGTGTCTCATCTCTGCTGGTAGAGGGTTCAAAGGTCATCCAGAGAAACCCTGAACTTTGAGATTAAAATCACAGAATAATCTTTAGTTTTTTGTCTCTAAAGTTAAATTTCATCTTTGTTTCAAACCGCTGAGACGAGGAGGAGGAGGAGGTTAGTTTGAGGTGAATGAACTGAATGAACTTTTACTTTTACTACAGACGGGCGTGTCAAACTGATCGGACAGGTTCTGTCACCGCCGAGACTATTAAACAATAACTGTTACATAAGTGAAGATCAGTAATGACGGAGCGACAGGACGATGTTGCTTTTAGGATTTATTTTACAAAAACTACTTGGTGTCATTAGAAAACATAGAAATACTGTGATATAGATTTTTATACAGGCACCCAAAGGTGTAGAAAGAAAAAAAACTAGAGTGAGGATGTCGAGTTTGTTCCTCTCACCATCCGAAACGAGACACCAGCTTACTCTGGTCATCCAGATCTTTCTGGACCTTCTTCCTCATGTAGAAGATGGGACAGTCCCGGCTGCAGAGATCAGGAGGAAGAAGGAGGAGGAGAGAGTGTGACGACCTCTTCAGCTGAGAGACGATTAAAAAAGGGTTTTAAACATTTGGAGTTTTTACCTGGTACAGATGACGTCCTCGTGGAGAGAACCCTGACAGCGCTGACACTGAGTCCACAGGCGAGAGAAACGCTCCTCCAGGGTGTTCAGGTGGAAGATCTGAAAACCACAACGAGAGAGAGAGAGAGGGAGAGGGGTTTATGTCATCCACGTTCCTCTATGAGAACAAATGAGACAGTGATGACTGTGTTATTCCAGCACTGAACACCAGGGGGAGCCTCACTTCAGGGTGACTCTAAATCAACACTGGATATGAACTAAAATGCTGCATGAGCTGTATTTCTCTCTCACACACACACACAGAAACTCTGAATCTTGTATTTATGGATCAAACTTTTAGTAGGAAACAATAAAACACCATAAATCTCTGATCATGAACTCTGATGTGACAAAAACACCACAGAGTAGGGCTGGGCCATAAAACCATAAGAATATATATATCGATAATTAATTTCCCTCAATATCAATATAAAACATGATCAATATCCTTTTCAATAGTCCTCATTCTGACATGTTTTTCTAGACTAGACGAATATTCAGGCTGCGACGGTGTGTTTTTCTCCTGATTTGATTCTTCTGTGATTTTTTGATGCTGATTTGATTTAAATTGCGTTTCTACGATATTGTCGATTTTTAGTCGGTACTTTTAACTTCAGTGAATCAGTTGAATGATTCTGATTGTCTTCTGACTATTCCAGGAACCAGATTTCCCCAAAAATACACATCAGTAAGTCAGTTTTTAGGATTCATTCTTAAAAAAAAAAAAAAAAGATTTTTGAACTTAAACATCGATTTAAAAACTGTAAATTACAATTAAATTGTTGTTTAAAGTGTTACAATTGTAGATTATAATTGTAAATTATAAAACAAAAAATCTCGATACTTAAGAGAATCGATTTTTTCTCCCACCCCTGATGAACAGCCAATGAAAAGGGGAGTTTCCCCGAGCCCGCTTCGCTCTGAACCAATCATGTCCTGAATTAGAACCAAGTATCAGACAGCAGCTCCACCCAACCATCGCACTTGGAGTGTTTTTTTCGTACCTCTTTCTGGTAGAGCTCAGACTCTCTCTTCTTACAGAAATCACAAACAGCGTCTGCAGAAACAAACACGACAGAAAATGTCACATTTACACTCGAGGATTCGGCTCCTGTCAGCGATAACGGTTTAAACTCTGAGCGAACGCACCGTCAGTTTTGAGAACAGCTTTGCAGCCGATACACGTGCTCCTCTTCTGAGCGAACGCCATCAGACCCCCGATCTTGGAGGTCAGCACGGTCTTACAGCGGGTGTGGTCGCCCTCTGAAAGACAACAGGAAGTCCACAGATTACAAATGTTCAGAGTTTTTTACTGTCACTGGTGATACATCCACGTTATATTTAACCGACTACACGTCCAGAATATCCGACCCTGAGGGCGAGGAAACGAGGAGAGTCAGAGACGGAGACGTTTGTGTGTTTTCAGACTCACTGAGCAGGATGCTCTCGGCTTTGCTCTCTCCCAGGATGGGCTCAAATATCCTCAGCAGAGGTTTGGACAGCTGCTGCTCCAGGTAGTACTGCGTGTCGATGGGGATGTTGTTCTCCAGCACATAGATGGGGTCCTGAATCATCACGAGGGAAAAATCCGTTTCACAGTTTAGTGATGAGAAACCGAACGGAGTTACTGACAGATATTTAAGGATAAAACCGCAGACCTCTGACTTCATGTAAGCTGCCACGCCCTTCGCCGCCTTGATGATGACGTAGGGGACTCTGTCTCCCAGGTTGGGGGCGCTGCCTGCGTCTCTCTTCCTCATCCTGTAAGATATCAGCGTTAAACGGCGTCTCTTCACGCGTCACAGCAAACTTCAGCGAACTAGAAGGTGAGTTCACCTCTCTGCCAGCTCCACGTGCGCCTGTTTGCCGGCGTACTCCTGCGCCGTGCGCGTCAGCTCCTTGGTGATGACCAGCTGGCTGATGTCGATGCGGTTACACAGCAAGTCTGAGATGACTTCTTTGGCGTGGTCCACGGCGCCCTGAGGGTCTCTGTGCAAACATCACGTCAGCGTCATCAGAGAGCTCGTTCACTGATCAGTGTGTGTGTGTGTGTGTGTGTGCGTGCGTACCTGTCGATGAGGATCTTCTGCAGACAGGTGTTGATCAGGTTGGCCACCAGGGGGCAGTTGTCTCTGCGGACGGTCTCGATACCTTTGCAGTCCATCTTGTCGTGTGTGTCAGCGCTGGAGGAGAAGTAGAGGCCGGCGTATCGCTTCTTGTTGATCAGCAGGTACGGGTAGTACACCTGTGGAGACACAAGCCGGGACACTCAGACCGCGATGGACCCAGACCTGAGTTTGTTCAGACTGCAGCCTGATGTCCTCCTCACTCCTCCGTTAAAAACTCCTCAGTCTGAATATCAGAGGAGGAGTCTCTCAGGTCGTTTACAGTCTCAGTTTAATCAGACTAAACTTTGCTGAATCAGACTTCTGTCCTCGTTTACATGCAGCTGAGAAAATCGAATTATTGAGGTGACCGTGTCCTCCTCCCCAACACTAGGGGGCGATATGGGTCTTTTCAGCGGCGCTGTTTCTTAAAGATGTCTCCGCTCCTCTTTTGCGTCCGTCCATATACTTAAAAATGTCAGTTTCTGTCAGAGACGGGAAGTATAACGGCGCTCTCCTCGTCGTTCCTAAAGTGGACGTTTTTTCGTGTTTCAGCTGCTTCTGAGTCAAAAGATCTTTAAATGCATTCTCCGATCATACTCCGATTACGCTGGTTACATGGTAGAGAAAATCGTATTCTGATCGTATTATCTGGGAGTCTTAATCGGAATAAGGCGATAATTCGGTTTTCTCGTGGTCATGTAAACGGACTGACTGACTCTCCGGCTGACACGCCCTCGCCCGTCTGAGCGTCAGGGTTTACAGACAAAGAGTCACCAGGACAGTTTTGATGAAGAAGCTTCACCTTCTCAAACTCCAGTTTGATGGGTGGAGTGAAGTGAGATGAGACCCACTCCGCCGCCTCCTTCCCGATCTCCATGGCCTCTTTGACCGTGCCGACTCCGAGCTTCACCATAACGGAGTCTGTGTCTCCGTAAATGACCTTCAAAAGAATCAAAACCAGGATTAGACACGAACAGCGGTCACTGAAAACATCTGATCACACGATAAACACGAGTTTAAGAAGCACAGCTGCCTCCTCAAAGTTCATCCACCACAGGAGAAAATAAAACTGTTTGGTCGGGTGACGGAGGCGTGCACCTGCAGGTTTTCCTCACCTTAGCGTCGCCTTGGTAACCGCTGGAAATCGTATACTTGGACTCCACTAACTGCTTGGTTTGCTCGATCATCTGTCTCCCGAAACCCGTGACGCTCTAAAAACAAAAACAACCTTCAGATGAATTCAGAGGAAACATCTCAAACGTCTCAAACGCTGAAGCTCACTCATGAAAACCAGCAGATGTCCTTTTTTTTCTCTCCGTCTGTTTCAGTTTCACTCCTGAATGAATTCTCTCCTCAGATCTCCACCTGCTCTGTGGTTTCCCTTCACCACACGTCTCTGCTCGACTTCTCTGTTGTTTACGTCTCTGTCAGACTTCACAGCTGCTCTCAAAGTTCAGTTGATGAATCCAAAGAAGCTCAAAAACTTCATCTTGATTTCTCAGTCAATAACGTTTCTGATCATGTGACACAGATTGACCCTGACTGACCTGTTACTCTCATGACCTTAGTGTGACTGAAGCGCTCACCTGTGAGATCTCTAAGCAGGGCAGCTTGCCCACCTGAGCCCCGGTGAAGCCGTAGACGGAGTTCGCGCTGATCTTGAGGGCCAGCTGTCGGCCGTCCAGCACCTGTCTCTTAAAAGGGTCGGTTTCCTTCTTCAGCTCAGCTTTGGCCCTGAACACAGAGACACAGACGAGTCCAGAAAACATCCATTTTTACTCTAAAAGCACAAAAGTCAGTTTAATATTCGCTGAATTAAAACCAGAGGAGTGAAAACTGAAGCAGTAACTCGACTCTCACCTCTTTCTGGCCGACAGCAGGTTCTCCAGGATCTCGGGGAGAAGTCCTTTCCTCACAGAGCTCTTCACAAACATGTCACCTGTGGGGGTCTTTATGAAGTCCTCCGGTGAGAGGCTGGAGACACACAAACAGTTCAGACGTTATTTCATCCTGAAAATACTTTAACCTCAGAATAAATCCGTTTATTAAACGTAGACGAGTTTATGAACGTCTGAAGGAAAACGAAACCTTCATGAACTGAAAAAGAGTCATTTTAAAAACTCTGATCTCTGGTTTACTGAGTCCAGATCCATCTGATCTGATCGGACTGAAACTGTTTCTGGAGGATGATCCCAGATTTACAAAGAGGGCGTGTCTCACGTCTGTCTCTCCGGCGAGCCCTTCAGCAGCAGGGTGGTGTAGCACAGATTATGAGCCATCATGATGGACGGATACAGGGAGGAGAAGTCCAGGGTGGCGATGGGAACGCTGTAGTACCTGCTCAGAGGAGAAGAAGAAGAAAAGGGACGGTGGAGGTTATTCAAAGTCCGACACCAAGAGGAGCGAGGAGTCACAGCGGCGGCGGCGGCGGCGGCGGCGCTCACCCCTTCTCCGGCTCGATGACGGTGGCTCCGGTGTAATCTTCTCCTCCTTCTGTCTTCACTACAGGCATGACCAGGTGCTGCTTCATGGCCTGAACACGAACAAACACGGTCAACCATCTCCTGAAAATCTGAACATGGAGTCACGACCTACGCGGCGGCTCCTGTTACCTGTCGCAGCAGCTGAGAGACGACCTTGATCTGCTGTCCTCTGGAGAGCAGGTAGGTGAGGGGCACACCTGTGACTCTGGCCATCTCCATGTAGTTAATCACACACATCAGCTTCTGCAGCAGGCGCAGCGGCAGGTAGGCGTCCTTCAGGCAGTAAACGGCCAAACGGCGGCGAGTCTGATCGTTACCGTTCTGTGGTCGAGGACAGAAAAGAGCGTTTTTTTAACACGGCGCAGAAACATCATCGATTTTCTCCTGAATGTGTGGTTCTCAGACGGTTTGTGCTTCACCTGCAGGTCTGTGATGATGGAGTGCTGAACATCCTCCTTCTGCTCTTGCAGGAAGTGGAAACTCACGGCGTTCAGAGTGTAAGAGCGCAGTTTGTAGTCCCTGAGGAGAACCTGAGAGGGACAGGCGGCTCAGACTGAGTCCGGAGGTTTTCTAACCGAGCGTACGTGACACGCTAACTCTAGACTTTAATACAGTTCAGGTGATGGTGTGAGACAGCAGGGGGTGTGGCTTACCTGCAGAAGGTCAAACTGGACCCGGCCCTCCATGTTGGTGGTCTTGTTCTCTCTGCGGCCCATCTGCTTGCTCTGGAAGTTTGCGTCTTTTAAGACGGACTTGATTCCTCGCACGCGTCCGAGGTAAGGGAAGAGGTTCACCTAAACGCCGACAAAGACAGCGAAGAATTAATACGATTGTTCTTCTGAGACTCTGATCTTTTTTTGTTCCGGCTGATCGACTCGGTCTGACCTTCAGAGCAGCCGCTCGGTTCAGCAGGTAGGGAAAGTCAAAGTTCTGGATGTTGTATCCTGTGATGATGTCCGGGTCCACCGTCCTCAAAAACTCGGCCCAACTCTGCTCACAGAGAAACAAACAAACAAACAGACAGACAGACAGACAGACAGACAGACAGACAGACAGACAGACAGACAAACAGACAGACAAACAAACACACAAACAAACAAACAGACAGACAGACAGACAGACAAACAAACAAACAAACAGACAGACAGACGGACAAACAAACAAACACACAAACAAACAAACAAACAGACAGACAGACAGACAGACAAACACACACACAAACAAACAAACAAACAAAAAGACAGACGGACAAACAAACAAACACACACACAAACAAACACACAAACAAACAAACAAACAAACAGACAAACAAACACTGAGGTCAAGAAAACGGAGAAAAACTAACGAGGTAAAATCATCCGCTCTCTCTCTCGCTGAAGGAGGCGTGTTTACCTGCAGCAGCTGCTTCTCTTGTGTGAAACAGAGGATCTGAGATCCCACAATGCTGGCGCAGGACTGGAGGGTGAACACGGTGCGGATAAACGGCTCCGTCTCACCCTGCCGCTGCACCATGGACGCGATCTGAATCACAGGGTCTTTGTCTGCTTCGGGGAAGATTCCTGGACAAAGAAAATCACCACCAGAGTCAAAGTCTTTGTTTGATTTTCAGCGAGTTTCAAACATCGTGAAAAAACGACTTAATAAAAAAATCCCGACCTTTTCTTCCCGCACACTCGATGTCGAAGCTGAGGACTCTGAGAGGAGCGATTCTCTGCCAGTCTCCTTCAGCGGGGTGACTGATCAGATCCGTCCATCCAACGTCCACCTCGTACTGACACAAGGACACCTGGAGGACGAACAGGACGGAGCGCTTTGTGAAACCTTCACCTCAGACTACACCGAAACACAAGATCTAAAACCAGACCCACCTTTCCTGGGTACTGGGAGTTTGTGTCCCCCGGACTCTTCTCCTCACGCTCTCTGTATTTCCCTTTGGGGAGTTCGATCCAGCAGCATCCCACCACATCACAGTCCACCATGAACCTGAGAGAGAGAGCGCAGCGAGGCTCGTGAGGCGTCTTTAATTCACTTACTTTGACCGAACATTCGACATTCACAAAAACCAGAGAAACATCTTTATCACTGTGATCATCTTCTCTGTGATCCAGTCACAAATCTATTGATCTGTTAACATGTGAAAATAAACCTGATACACACACAAACACACCTGATCTCAAAGTCGATGTTGGCCTCAAACGATTGGTAACCCTGGACGGGGAAATTCGCAAATTTGAAGCCCTGCTCCAGGAGCCTCTTTGCCGGAGCGATGAGACGAGGCATCGCCATGGTTATCCGCAAAAAATCAAGACTGCGTTTCCCGTGGTAACCATACATATCTGTGCGGGGGGAGAGACGATGTTTAACTTCAGTGTTCACTTTGTTTTGAGACGATGACGTTGATAATCTCAAAAACTGGACGATCTGAAAATGTTCTGAACAAACTACAGTAAACTCAGAAACTCACTCTCTTTGCGGGTGACGTCCACGGCCAACACCGTCACAGAGATGTTGTCCTTATTGGACCTCATGTCCTTCAGGACGGCGTTGTTCAGCTCTCTTTTGAATTCACCCAGATCACCGGGTTTCAGACCTAATCAGAGGAAACAGAAGATGGATTTACATCGATCAGAAACAGAGTCCACGTGTCTTTAAAATAAGAATCCTTCAATCACACATCCCATCATTTATGAAGTACTCACCTGTTGGTGCAGGAACGTAAAAGTACGGTGCAAATCCGTGGACATGGCAGCACACGCTGTTACCGCTGTCTGTCACTCCAAACATCCGAATGATCGGGACCTTTCCCTGAGACTGGCCGGGCATGCCGGCGACCGTCGGTCCTGAGAAACACAGACAGGAAACACAACTTTAACACTTTGACAATCAGCGTTTATAAACGGCGTTCAGCTTTCTGTCACACAGAAGAGTTTCAACTTCAGCCCTCTTTACCTAAGTAGTAATCGAGATCGATCTGCTGAAACACCAGAGTATCAGATGACGGGTTCAGTGAGGGCGCCTTCGGCCGCTGCCATCGGGGGTTAAGGTCGGCTGAGAAGAGGTCACCTGACAACAAAAGAAGTTATAACTAAACTCCAGAGTTTACTGAATCAACGGGAGTGAATTAAACATGAACAGAATTTCACAGGTTTGATGAAAAACAGATTTTTGTGACTCAGTCGTGTTTCTGTTCGACACTCACCCACAGGGATAACATCGTGACCTGCCTGTCCCTCCATCTCCTCTGCCTCCATGTCTGCTTCATCAAACATGCTCAGCTCCTCTTCAAACTGGGACGGACTGTCCTCCCAGTCACCGGCTGCTTTTCCTCGTTTGGCCTGGGAGGCTCCGCCCATAAGAGGGCCGCCGGCGCGTCTTTTAAAATCCATGTCTGCAAAAACACGTGAGGAAAGATAGTAACACACATCCTCCTCATAACAAGGCGGAGCGATCCGACACACATTCAGGAACAAAACCTGCAAAAAAACAACAACAACCCTCATCAACATCCAAACTTCCTCAGGAGACTGAAGTGAACCTCACATCCTTCTACAGGTGTGTGTGACGGCGAGCGTCCCCACATCACTGTGCAGTAAAGCAGCTGCTCCTCTGAAAACAGGAAACCCCTGGTAACTCCGTCTCTCATTCAGCTGCTGTTTGGACTGTGCAAACAAAGAAACTGCCATATGTAACAGAGCTCCCCGTTTTTCTCAATTTACATTCATACATAGGCCTGTCACGATAACAAATTTTGCTGGACGATAATTGTGCTACAAATTATCGCCGATAAACGATATTATTGACACCATTTTTTAAATTATAGATAATGATATTATATGGCATAATATTGCGAGTACACCGTGTCAAAAGTGATAAACTTTAATTTCCACATGAGAACAACACTGGTTGTTTTCGTTGACTAAAATATTTCTCTTTTCTCCCACGACGAAGACGTAACGTTGACGAGCTAAACATAAGTCGGAGATGACTAAAATGTGACGAGACGAAAGTGCGTTTACGTTGATGGGACGAGACGAAAATGACGAACAGAGTTGCAAAACTCAGTCAGTTAAACGTTAAACATATAGGAGCAGCTTCAGTCCGCTCTGACAGCTCTCATCATCCTGCTGTGCTCCTCCAACACACAGACACACACGCACGCGCGCGCACACACACGTGGAGTTTTGTGGTTGACGAAAACAAAACTGGTTTAAAGCCGAAATATTCCCACACTTGGGCTGTTGCGTTTGGTTTAGACACCAAAGCTGTCGTGTTCATTCTGTTAGCTTGCTTTTCACTCACGACGCTCACTTGCAGCACTGTATCCAAAAGTCTGTGTCTGTGTGCCTGTGCGCGCCAGCCCCATCGTGACAAAGACACTGAATGACTGACAGGAGGGTTCACTAACTCCGTTCATTCCGCTATAGAGCCAACGCCCCCAGGTGCCGAGAAAAATGCGCAGAGTGAGACCTCTTCTCTCATCCAGCGTGTTTGGTAGCGAGAGAGGAGGAAAACAAACGCAGTCAATTATCGAGGCTGGCAAAGTTATCGACCTCGTTTTTATTTATCGAGCGATAAGGCGATTTATTGATTATCGCGACAGGCCTATTCATACATGTCCATAAATATTTCATATCTATAAGCAAACTCTGATTCAGAGTTCAATGCACTTTAACTCTGAGTATTATTCTCATAAGTCAGTATTTTATGGTCATAGTTGTGCAGTTTTTTGTTGGAAACGCTCTGGGATGATTTTAAACGCTCTTCAATCTTTAAGTGAGAAACTAAAGAAACTAAATCAAATTTGATCTTTATCAAAAAAAGTCAGTACGTCGAGTAAAAACAGGGAAATATGTTCATCTAAGTCTGTGTCTGTTTGTTTTGTGTAAAAATGTGAATTAAGGTCTTTTCTGTTTGTTTTTGAAAATAAGAAATAATAAAAAAACACGTTGGTCTGCAGTTCTTCTTTATTTTAATTATTGGGCATTAATGTGGTGTTTAATGGTCGACTTTATTTTACATTTAAAGCATTTGTTCACAAACTATACCGGCTGTGACAGTTGCTGAATCATATAAACAGACTTAAAGAGCTGTCAGAGACAAAATACAAGATTTATATTCTCCAGTAACAAACTAACAAACGAGGTAAACTAACAGTGTTGTCGTTATTATTGAGATTACGGGGGATTGTAATGAACTAAGAAACATGTCGATTAAAAACAGTCTATATTATCATAACTGCAGAAAGATTCAGTCTCTAATTAACCTGCTACTTTAACAAACTGTCCCTCTGAACAAACACGATTAACAGTTAGCTTCATAACTAACAAACTTATAACCGTTTCAAGGATGTTAAGTGTTATATGAGTTTATATTAGTACTTGTCACAGATTTACTAACTTATCTCCCGAGTTTCGTTTCCCGTCGATGATTCTGATCAAACAGGAGCAGCAGCTTTTCTCTCATTTGGTAACAGGCTAACAGGAGCAGTAAACACGGAGAAAACAGTCTACAGCCGCCAAATTAGATCGATTAACAAACATGAGAACATCGATAAACCTTCTTTATAGCCATAACTGTAAACTGCAGCCGCTGCTGTGTCACTAAGATAATTATAAATACCTGATAACGACGGAAAATCTCCTCGATATCAGCCCCCAGGTGACAAACTCTCCCGCCACTCTTCTTTGATTCGCGTGAACTCTCACCGACGACAGAAAGCGCGGCGGAACAGTTTCCGGTTTGATTCTCAACCAACAGTAAAAACCATGGCCAGTCACGTCAGTGAATAGTAGCCACAGATGTGAAGAGGAGGCGGAGTTTAAAACGCAGCCTGTCTAAACCCTGTCGGTATCCAAGACAACCGTGTACTTCTGGGGAAGTGACATCAGCCATCACGCAACAGCAAAGCGAGGGAAAAATATCTCCGCAGAATTAAAAAATATATATATTTAATGATTAATTATTTGATTTTTTTATTTAAAGTCAAAAAAATAAAAATAAATACAAAAAAGGAGAAAAAAAACACATGTAGCAAAATAAAACACAGAAACTTAACTGTAAGTAAGGCTTGTTTTATTTTTGACATTTTAACAAGAATAAATACAAAAAAAACAAAAATAACAAAACAACCTCATAAACAGAAATTAACGTCACAAAACTAAAATAGAAGTTAACAGGCTGAAAAATATTTTGGATGTTTTGTCTTTTGTTTTAAGCATTTTATGAATTATAACATGTTTTATTATTATTATTATTAGTAGTAGTATTATTATATTACAACAACAACAACAATAACAATAATAATAACAGCAATATTAACAACAATAATAATAATAATAACAACAGCAACAATAATAATAATTATTATTATTATTCTATATTTTATTCATAAGCGCCTTTCTGGACACTCAGGGACACTTTACAGAGTAAAAACAAAAGAATAAAAGCAATAGAGAAAACACAACAAAATAGGGAGAAAAAAAGTCAATATATGTATATATAAATAAAACAAACAAAAACATGACAAGGTGAATAATAAGGAGTGTGCTAATCTGGATTTGAAGATAGGGAGAGAGTCGATATTCTGGATGTCAGGTGGGAGTGAGTTCCAGAGATGGGGAGTTTTGGGTTAGGTAAACTTTTTTATAACTTTTGTTAAATCTTTTTATAAATAAATGTTTGTATGGCTGTTGTTGAGGGTTACCAGTTATTTCAATAGGATAAAAAATGTGAAATCTATCACTGATATCAACAGCTGATATGAAACTGATGTTTTTACATGGTGATAAAGGACAATAGTCCATTTGGACAGCAGAAGAATAAGTTCACTTGAGTTACTTTAAAGAGTTTTAGAGAGATCTTTCTGCCATGAGAGACATGTAATAGAGTTTTGTTGTTCGAGATCGCAGAAAGACAAGTTAACACACATTTTAAATCAGTAAGAAAATAAAGAGAATTAAAACCCGATCTTGTGATCCAGTGAACTTTAAATGTGACTCATACGGCGAGGCTTCATAAATGGAAACAGATGTATGCTAATGCCAGCAGATGTCAGCAACAATGACCATCCTATTCATATATATCAGAACAGTCAGTGCCCCTCTCTGAACTCTGCCATAAACTAAATTCATAGAGTCAGAGGTCAGAGGTCACACCACATCAAAATTAGTGATCAGGCTGATAAAGAAGTAACGGATTGGTGGTCTGAGTTGGATTTTGGGGTGTTGAAATTGGGGTCTCAGGATTGTTTTCATTCTTATTTTACTCTTTTTATCATTTCTTATTGCATTTTAGTCATTCCACTGTTGAATGTATTGCACATGTATTTAGTATCTATAGTTATTTATTGATTGCTGATTTGTGGCGCTGACAGGGGAATGTTCGGGTCATGTGACTGTCTGGTATTTGTTCCTAATCGTTTAACAACAAAGCGAGTTACTGTGAAGTGAACTGATCTTCAGGGATCAATAAAGTCTAAATCTGAATGAAAACTTTACGGCTGAGGGGGCGGGGTCTCTGCGCTCAGGCCCACTTCAGAACTTTATTAGAACCAAAGTTCCTGATATTCACAGTGAGACCCTCAGAGGGACCCCTCTTTAACCGGCTGTTTCACTAATATAGACCCTGATCATCTGAACCACGTGGTCACTACAGGAGAGGTCAGACAGGAATGTCATGTAGGGGAGGGGGGTTGTGGTTCTTAATGTCAGCAGTCACGTTGTTTTCCTAAAACTATACTAGACCCTTTGAAGACATTATAAATAACCCTGCTGCTCTGTAGAAAGGACCCCAGGTTGCCCGGTTGTCCCTGACTCCCCTCATTTGTTGGGATGAAATGTTGATCCACCAACCACCGCAACGCCTTTCACCCTGCTCTCAGCCAATGGCGTCTCTCTGCCGAGGGAACCGCCCACTTCCTGTAATACGGTACCTGGAGGCGTGGTCAAAGAGGACTGACCAATCGGATAAGAGCTCATTAATAATGTAAAAGCAGAGACCCTACATGCAGCCAGTATGTTCGTGCGTGGCAGACCGGGGGGCGTGCTCAGTCTGTACGTGACAGCAGACGCACCAAACCAACGTGAGCGTGAGTTTCGGAGAGGCCTCCGCCCCCTCTGCTCTCCGCTCTGTTTCCTTCATGTAGAGAGACTGTGACAGCTGCCGATGAGGACTTCATCTTCGTGAAGAGAGGACAGAACCGAAGGGTGAGTCTGCATCTGCTTTTTATTCAACACAAATCACTAAAACTCAAGACTTCCTCGTCGGCGTGTGCGCGCACCGGGACGCGATGTACTGTGCGCGTCTCCGCCGCTGGTTTGCAGTAGGTGCCTGAAGTCACGTTCACTCCACAAATCATGAGTATCAACAGAGGATCCATTTCAGCAGCATGGAGCTGAGAGCTGGGGCAGATTCTGCTGTGATGGAGCTCAGAGAGGAGCTGTGGGCCTGCTGGACTTCAGAAACACTCCTTAAAGGGGAAGGTTTCAGACTGGGGGGCTGAATGAGGGGATTGTGGTTCATCTGTGTGAGTTTCTGCTATGAAACCTCCACTTCATGATGTCCAAATTAGACTGGGGTCAAAGAGAGGAAACCCAAAATAAGGTCCCCAAAGTAAGGTTTACTTTCAGCTCTGTGTGGAGATGATGGAGGTTCGGTTCTGTCCAACCTCTCAACCTTCTCAGGTTCTGACCCACTAATCAGAGTCTTAAAGTCACCCTTAGAAGCAGAAATGAGTTTTATTTTGTGACTTCTCTGGAGTGATTGGCAGAGGACAGCGGATAAAGTGCTCATTTTAATGATTGTGTCAAAGTATTGATTGTCCTGATAGGATATTAGTGTAACACTGTCGCATACTTTCATACTACATACTTAAAATTTTGGGTATACTCAACAAAAATGGAAAAAAGTATGGATAGTATGTGAAAATTGAGTATGCCAAAGTACCCGGATGACGTACTCAAACCAGTCAAGATTTTAAGTATGTGACTGTGGACACCCGCCGCACTCATTTCATCGGTAAGAATGGCTGCGGACGGCTGTGGTGGCAGTGGGTCAGCGACGGTCGATCTAGGATACTTAATTTGAAAAATCTAAGTATCTAGTATTGAAGTATGCAGTTTGACCGATCTTGACCAATTCGAGTACGTCATCTGGGTTCTTTTGCATACTCAATTCTCGCATACTATCCATACTTTTTTCCATTTTAAGTTGAGTATACTCAAAATTTTAAGTATTAAGTATGAAAGTATGCGATTTGGGACACACCTATGGAGACAATGTGTCAGGTACGGCAATACCACTGAGACAAACTACACACATAATTAAACAAAGGCAGTTTATCGTCTTCAGGATCGGGTTTTGGAAAAGAAAGAAAATACATCAGTTGAGTGTGGAGCAAAAGTGATGAGAGAGTTCGTGGAGATGTAGTGGAGTTAAAAGTACAAGTTTTGTCTTTGTAATGAAGTTAAAGTTTAATTTCCATGAAAGCAGTACTCAAAGGAAGTACAGGTACTCCAAACCTGTACTTCAGGTCGAGTACAAATGTTCCGTTGATGGTTGGGCCTGTCAGTGCAGGATGATGATGTTTGTGTTTGACCAAGTTGGACCGACGTTTACAAGCATTTATTTACTCTGAGCCCCAGCAGTGTGTGTGCGTGTGTGTGTGTGTGTGTGTGTGTGTGTGCCTCAAGTCTTGACTCAACAACCAGTTTGAAAACCAGTCAGAGTCCAGTACGCCTTGACCATCAGCAGCAGGACTGACGGTTTTCAAATCCTGATCCTCATACCTGAAGCTGATTGGACGGGGGTCTGATTAAAGAGACAGTTTGTTTTTACAACTTGTGCAAAACTATCAGTGGCCTGTGGTGAGGTTCATGAAGCACTGACAGATTTTCAAACATATGAACCCGACAGAGAAGATTATTAACCACTTGATTGGCAGCAGTTAACGGCTTATATTTAAAATCTCATACAAACTAGCAAACAAAAAGCACATTTGATATTAAAAAACGTTATTATGGTCTGACTTGTACTTATAAATGGTCTTCCTTTGATTATGACCTTCTGCTTGGATTGAAAGTCCAGTTTATAAAACTGTTTGATTTTATAAACGTAGTCCTCCATTTTGAAAGTAAGGCCAGAGGAGATGAAAAAATAAACAGATGGCTCCGCTTGACTTGTTAACTGTGGATTGTAGCTCGCCGTGTCACTTACTCTGCAGTCGAGAAGTCGCAAGAAGAATCACTGGGATCATAAGTGCCCCCTACCATGAGGCAGGAGAACTGCGTGCTTCACTTAGTGCCTTTTTCACAGCCGTGTTACGATTGGTCAGAACAAGAAACATGTTACACACATACGATTGTTGACAAAAAACACTGTATGTTATCAGCTACCTTGTGGAGATTTAGTCTACGTTCATGCTGCAGGTTATGATCCACAATTCAGATTCTTTGTTAAATCCGATCTTTTTGTGCGGTCGTTCACATCACAACAACAACGATCATCTAATGTGAACGGAATGCGTCCGTGAAGTGACCCACAAAGCACAAAGTACTTTCCGCACCTGTTTGTGTTGTCGAACAATGGTGACGTTTGTCGCATATTGATGACGTATAGGTCAGCGACCTGAGCGTCCACACTGCAGTCACATCAGATACATATCAGATTTATATCCACATACAGAAGAGGCCTGGGTCGGATTAGAACCAATCAGAACTGACCTGTTCACACTTAGATGAAAAAATCAGATATGAGTCACAGATGGTTAAAAAATCAGAATTAACCTGCAGTCTGAACACGGCCTTAGTCGATATTGTAAATGAGTTTGAACATTTTAGTAACGACATACAGAGAAATACCAACACGGTGTCACTGCAGAGCATGCCAACACAGTCAGCCGAGTCATTGCTCAATCCACGGTGAGGCTCATCCGGCTGCAGCCTCATCGCACGCCACTTCTTAGTATTTGAACACGAAATGTGAAAAAAATAATCAAAAACTGGTGAAGTTAAATGAAAAATACCGTTTTATAGTGCAAATCACCACATAAATATAATCATTTAATGAATTTCTTCATTTTATTTCATTCTTTCCATGATGAGGTGAGGCACGTCACTGAAAACTATTCACTGTAAACGATCGATTAAACTCTCAAGATTTAGCAGGATGAGATTTTTGTGTCAAAAGACAAGATTTAAGTCTGTGGAGGACAAGTTATGCAGAGACTACTTTGTCCACAGGGGGCGCCACAAACCAAGATGCTAAAAGGTGTTTGGAGCTCTCCTTATCCAGCTTTGGTTTATCTGCGTCTTTATCAGCCCTGGACTCACACTCAGGTCATTTCATCATCAATCCATAAGAAATGTCAGACTTCACTCACTGACGCTCAGAGTTCACGCCGTTTAACGGTCTGCTGAGCAGCGCTGAAAATATGTGAACGCTGCAGACGGGATTGTTGTACAGGAGCGGTGTTACTCAGTGTTTGTGCGTCAGCTGGCGTCTTCTGCTTGTCTCAACAATACTGGATTACAACATGTCATCAGGGCCCGTTATCAGTTTCCACACTGGATCAAGTTTATACCTGATCGTTGGGCGAGCAGGCCCCACCCAGGCATCCTCTCCCACGCCACTCCTCCGTTTGTTAAGGTGGTTGCACCATTTCTACAGGCAGGAACTAAAAACAGAGTTGTAGTTTCAGCTCACCCCTCCCTTAATGCTCCACTTTAAATGATCAGATTAAAGTACCGCAGCATTAAAGGAGTTTAACGATCGATCTGAAGCCTTTCCTGGTGACTCTGCGCAGATTTGAGCTGCTGAGTGAAGGGGACGTTTTTGTAAACAAACAGACGTGGAGTACGTGAGATACCTGACGCTGCAAGAGTGTGAGAGAAGATAACCTTTGACTTTGTGAGACTGTGTACTGAACACACACACACACACACACACACACACACACACACACACACACACACACACACACACACACACACCAAAGGTTCAGTTTAACTTTATTCTCAGTCCTCAGAGTCTCTGCAGAGACAGTAAAGACTGTTGAATTAGTAAAAATACAGTTTGGTGGTTTTTTCATCACAGTTATCCTGTTATGAAACAGGAAATGTGTCAGTCGGTGATGGTAGAGTTGCCCAGAAATTCTAGTGAAGAGACACTAATGTGGTTTGACAGTCTTGCTGGTCTTATCTTGAGGAACTTGATTTGGTCACGTAGAAAAGTGTCTGTTTTATGGCTGAGCTGATTTTAACGTCTATAAAAACAAACAAAAACCTTTTTTAAAACCTCTCTGCGTCTGTGTTTGTGACTTTCTCTTTTGGTTGGTCGTCTAAAACCATTTAATCTGTACAGAGGTTTTTAGTTTTAATTGGATTTTTTAATATCGTACATTGCAGGTACACATGTAGAGAGTGACTCTCTGGCTGTATGGGCACAACACTAAGTGGAGAAAAATCGCAGAAATACCGAAAACTTTTTGACTTCAAATCTGTAAACAGGCGGGAGGTGGAACCAAGTTGTCCAGAGTAAATACAGTCTATGTTTACAACCTGTACAGACGGTTTGAAGCTTTAATGTTATTAGTTTTTTTTCCCAGCATGCCGCTGGCTCGCAGCCTGTCCGTTACATCCCTGTCAGGACTAGAGGACTGGGACGAGGAGTTTGATTTGGAGGATGCCGTCCTTTTTGAGATTGCGTGGGAGGTGGCTAATAAAGGTGAGCGTCCATCCGTCCGTCTGTCCGTTTGTCTGTGTGTTTGGAGTTAATCCTAAACTTTTAAAAACGTGATCAAATAAAGTCGATTGTTGATAAAGTCAGTGTCAGTGCTGCAGGTTCGTCTCCTCAGAGGGTTTATCACGTTCACAAAGACTCGGTACATCTATAGATCTATATCAAAGATCTAATCACATTATATCTCTGTCTCGTCTTTGTGTGGCATGTTCGCCGCATGTGTGAAGTTGGAGGCATCTACACCGTCATCCAGACCAAAGCCCGTCTGACCTCGGAGGAATGGGGGGAGAACTATTTCCTGGTGGGTCCCTACGTGGAGAGTAACGTGCGCACTCAGGTGGAGCTGATCGAGCCCACAAACCCCACCTTAAAGAAAACCATCGACAAGATGAACTCCAGCGGGTGTAAGGTACGAGCTCACAGACGCTGAGGTGACCTTGTGTGTGGATCTGAAGGACACTTCTTCTCCCTCCACCTGGTTGGAGTTGTGAGTGTACTCTGAGCTCTCTCTCTCTCTCTCTCTGTCCCTGAAAACATCTCTAAACCCTGTGACATTTCCTGCAAAGGTTAGAGGTTGTATCAATGTCTCTCTGTCTCTCTCTCTCAGAAATACCCTCCAGAAATAGACGAGAGTGTGTGTGTAAGTGAGAGAGAGAGAGAGACCTGCGGCGCGTTGTGCTGTGTCACTCTGGGAGTGCTGTGGAATCACGGGTCAAGGCTGGGAACTATTTTAAAGGGATAGTGCGACTTTTTATTGCAGCTAATCTTGACCTGACCTTTAACACTTAGAACTCTGTCGGCGTTTCCACGTGACACCGTTAATGTTGTTTACAGTTTCTCAGGAACTATACCGTGTATCTCTATGGGATGAAAAGTGTTCAAAAGTTTACCCTTTTGGCGATCTATCGAGGGTTTCCAGACATTTCTACTCCTGCCACAAGGTTTACAAACCAGCCTCAAAAACAGGTGTTTGATCAGAAACGTTTGATGGTAAATCTGCAGCGATATACGGTGAAAACAGGATTATTGATCTGATTGTTGTGATTAAAAAAAGATCACTAAATGCCGCTAATGTCTTCTGAGTTTGACGAGCTGTTTTGATGACGTCTTTGTCCGTCAAACTTTCGACCAATTACACGGTCTCATATTCTTCCTCTATTCTTAGTGAACTGGATCCTAAAGATTCATAAACTGCACTTCCTCCCTCGGTCTAATAAATGCAGATTTATTTTAATGTCTGTTTGATCAAGTCCAAGCTCTTTAACTCTCATCTTCTCCTGCAAAGATCAGGTCCAAGCTCTTTAACTCTCATCTTCTCCTGCAAAGATCAGGTCCAAGCTCTTTAACTCTCATCTTCTCCTGCAAAGATCAGGTCCAAGCTCTTTAACTCTCATCTTCTCCTGCAAAGATTAGGTCCAAGCTCTTTAACTCTCATCTTCTCCTGCAAAGATCAGGTCCAAGCTCTTTAACTCTCATCTTCTATTGTTCCTTTGACGGTAGTGTCCAATAAGAGACATTAAAGTTCCCTGTTTGTCTGTAAAATCAGAAATAATGGTCCTCAATGTTTGGAAACAAGTAAAGAAGAGACTCTGAGCAGTCTGATGTGGTCCTCTGTCTCATCCCAGAAACAACTGTAAAATAGTCAAAAACGCCTGGAAGAATGAGTGTAAATATGTCAATAGTTTCTGTTGTGTGTTTGTTCCAATCCCAATATTTCTTCTCCTGATAGACAAGACTTGAGAGAATGATGTTCAGGTGAGAAAAGGCGTGGTCACTGTAGATTTATGTGTTTTTTTAATTAAGTTCTGTTGGGATCAATTCCCGTTTTTGTGTTTTGGTTGACTTTGATGGTCCTGAATCTACTGTCTCATTTATTTTACATCATTTTTGCTCCATAAACTGACAGCTGAGGTTGTCCTGAAAATAAATATGTGTTTATATTTGCTGTGCTTGAAAGGATCGAGTTGATACAGAGATTTTTACAACAAAACAAGCAGAGACCAAAAACAGCAAACTATAGCTGGGAGTTGTGAGGGTTAAACTCACGGTGGAGCACAGACAGTTTTACCCTCCGGAGTCGAGTCCTGTTTCTGGGCCCCTGTGAAATAGTTTGGGTTCTCTAGACTGACATGACGCTCTCATGATGGGGGTTAATCTTAGATTGTATGGAAGGCATGTGTTATTGTTAGTGAGATGGGGGCCTTGGGAGTGAAAGACCTTTAGATAAGAGGCTGAGGGACTCACTCGTTCATCTGCTGCATGTCAACACCATAAACTTAAATCTGAGCATGATCGTGAAGTGAAGACCACAATTTAGCCAGAATCATTCAGTTGGTGATACAAACGTGAGAATGGACATGATCATTCTTCATGGGTCACTTTACCAGGAAAGTGTCTCAGCCGTTTAAAATTTCAAGATGCAAAAGAGTTTGAGACCAGACAACTAAAGACAACTAGATTATGATGTTTTAACGTTAACTTTAAAAGAAAAAGATTTAACAGAATAAAATACCTGTTTTTATGTTCATTCAGGTCTACTTTGGGCGCTGGCTCATTGAGGGGAGTCCCTATGTGGTCCTGATCGATGTGGCGTACACCGCCTGGTCCCTGGACACCTGGAAGAGCGAGCTGTGGGAGCTCTGTGACATCGGCGTGCCGTGGTTCGACCGCGAGGCCAACGATGCCGTGCTGTTCGGCTTCCTGACCGCCTGGCTCCTGGGAGAGGTCAGCCGCTCGTCTAAAGAGAATAAACAGGAGAAAACATGAGGAACAAAAAGATCACGTCTCTGTCTCTGTTAGAAGGAAACTTATTATCTCTGTTCTGTGTCACTCCATCTTTGGTCCCCTCGGCGTCGCACCGATGACTCTCACATGTTTAACCTCAAATAGAAACAGCCACAATCTCAGATTTTCACCTCCTGATTATCGTGACTTTGAATATAAAGCTACATGATCCGTCAAATTAGAGATTAACTTTCCATGTCTTCTATCACTTTTATAAAAGTCACATTTATGATTTAAACACACCATCAGCTCCGACATTGACGGGTAAAACGACCGTCTGTCATGATTTAGATTTTTTCGTTGTTTAGCCTTTGGGTTGTTTTATTTCCTGCTTTGTTAAAAGACAAAAAAGCTTTTATTTTGAAGTAGAAGACACTTCCGGTAGATCGTAACATACGGATCTGAACGTAAACAGAAGACAGAGTATAAATGATCAAATATCAGTAACTCTGAAGACACATAAGCTCTAAGGTTGTTTTTAGATCCATAATAAATCATAAAATTAGTCACTTAAGTTTCAGTTTTAAAAGCGGTTCTGTGAATTTAACATTTTAGCAAAAAACTAACAGGATGTTTCTTTAAAAGATGGTTCTAACGTTACACTGTGACAGGTCCGGTTAGATAAAATGATCCTCCTTATAAAAGTAAATATTTTCACGATTAAATAAAGTTATATTTCGATGTCAGTTCAGCTTATTTTGATGAAAAAGAGGATTGAAACGTTCAGGCTGTGAAGGAAAAACCTGAAACTGTTCGTTAATATGTTTTAGATGGAAATGAGATTTATGTGAATGTTTCTGTGTGTGTCTGTGTGTGTGTTTCTGTGTGTGTGTGTGTCTGTGTGTGTGTGTGTGTGTGTGTGTGTGTGTGTGTGTGTGTGTGTGTCTGTGTGTGTCTGTGTGTGTCTGTGTGTTTCTGTGTGTGTGTGTCTGTGTGTGTCTGTGTGTGTCTGTGTGTGTGTGTGTGTGTGTGTCTGTGTGTGTGTGTGTGTGTGTGTGTGTGTGTTGTGTGTGTGTGTGTGTGTGTGTGTCTGTGTGTTTCTGTGTGTGTGTGTCTGTGTCTGTGTGTGTCTGTGTGTGTCTGTGTGTGTGTTTCTGTGTGTGTGTGTCTGTGTGTGTCTGTGTGTGTGTGTCTGTGTGTGTCTGTGTGTGTGTGTGTGTGTGTGTGTGTGTGTGTGTGTGTGTCTGTGTGTGTGTTTCTGTGTGTGTGTGTCTGTGTGTGTGTGTGTCTGTGTGTGTCTGTGTGTGTGTGTGTGTGTGTGTGTGTGTGTGTGTGTGTGTGTCTGTGTGTGTGTGTTTCTGTGTGTGTCTGTGTGTTTCTGTGTGTGTGTGTCTGTGTGTGTCTGTGTGTCTGTTTGTGTCTGTGTGTTTCCAGTATGCCGCTCAGTCTGAGGACCCTCCTCACATCGTCGCCCACTTCCACGAGTGGCTGGCCGGCCTGGGTCTGGTTTTATGCAGACACAGACAACTTCCTGTTGCAACCATCTTCACCACTCACGCCACTCTGCTGGGACGGTACCTGTGTGCCGGAAACGTGGACTTCTATAACAAACTGGCAGACGTACGTGTGTTTACCTGTGTGTAATTAAAGTTAAATAAACTTCATCTGAATTCTCCTCGTTTATTTAGTATTTTACAGTTTTAAAAACCGACCAATCAGAGCTTCTCTTTCTTCTCTTCCTGTTTGATTCAGTTTAACGTGGACAAAGAAGCAGGAGACAGACAGATCTACCATCGGTACTGTTTGGAGAGAGCGGCCGCTCACTGCGCTCACGTCTTCACCACCGTGTCTCAGATCACAGCCATCGAGGCGGAGCACCTGCTCAAGAGGAAACCAGGTGTGTGGAGGTGAATTCATGTGTGAAATACTTCCTCCTGGTGACCTCTCTCCTCTCTGATTGGCTGAGAGCCTGGCAAACAAGTCTGTCTGTACGAGGATGTGTTTATAGACGGTGACTCTGGCTGAGCGCCGATCTCCCTGAATCTCTCATCTCTCTTCTGCAGACATCATCACTCCTAACGGGCTCAACGTGAAGAAGTTTTCAGCCGTCCACGAGTTTCAGAACCTCCACGCTCAGAGCAAGAACCGGATACAGGAGTTTGTCCGAGGACATTTTTACGGGTCAGTCAGAGACACGTCACGGCTGAGGAGAACTTGTTATTATTCTGAGAAAAGAGAAAGTGGGTTCAGCCTTCAGCTCTGTGTTTGGTGTCACTTTCAGCCATCTTGATTTTAACCTGGACAAGTGTCTGTTCCTCTTCATCGCCGGACGGTACGAGTTCTCCAACAAAGGAGCCGACCTCTTCCTGGAAGCGTTGGCCAGACTCAACTATCTGCTCAGAGTAAGACTGTGTTTTTATGTGTTTTTATGTGTGTTTTTAACAACAACTCCTGCATGTTTTTACGTCTCATGTTTACCGTGTTTAACCTGCTGCAGGTCAATCACAGCGATGTGACCGTCATCGCCTTCTTCATCATGCCGGCTCGGACGAACAACTTCAACGTGGAAACTCTGAAGGGACAGGCGGTCAGGAAACAGCTCTGGTGAGGTTTCTGTGCAGGATTTAGGGACACTTCATGGAACAGAAAATAACATTAATATTATCTATAAATTCATGCATAATCATTCACACGCAGAGATTATTCTGTTTTTGTAAACTTGGAGTTCCTCTGCCTGAAAACTCTGCAAATCAGGTCAGAGACATGTGGAAAGTAACTGCACTGCATCACCAGTCCAGTAGGTGGCAGTAATAAGACGATACAACAAAGAAGGTGCCATATAAGGTGATGGACAGAGTGGTGTGACACCAGAGTTAACCTGTTAGTGTAGAGGAGTTATTTTTTTTAAATCTTGTTTTATTTCTTATTTTTTTAACTATAATGCATTAAACAACAGATTTATTTACTGACTCACCTCTGGAAACACGAGGGACAAAGAAACAGAGATTTCAGCTGGAAGTTCTTTCCACATTTCTGCAGACTGTACCTTTAAACTTCAGCACTGACTTTGTCCTCTCAGGAGAAAAGATCATTTTTGTCTCACTCTCAGTTTTAACGTCCCTCCTCTCGTCTCTGACAGGGACACGGCTCAGACTGTGAAGGAACGCTTCGGGAAGAAACTCTACGAGTCTCTTTTAGTGTAAGTCATGAAACCTGTGAGAGGTTGAACACGCTGATATTAGAAATTAAGGTCCTCCTCTCCCTCTCTTAAGCCCCGCCCACAAACAGACGCTCCTGCTCGCTCGTATCGTTCCAATTAAATTCAGATATAATGCAGATAAATCCTTCAGATCATTACAAATGGGGCCCAGTCAAGGTGAAAGTCAAAAGCATTGGTGCTACTGTAGATGCCAACAGACTACCAGCAAACACAATGTTTGCAGGACTTCTACAACGAGGATAAAGTGACATAGTCCAGGACCCGAGGGAGGACAGTTTAGCGATGGCGCTACAACACGCTACAGCAGGTCCGTTTGACAAGAAACACTTCTGTTACAGACACTTGTCTTACTTTGTTAAAGCGGTTTACCTGTCCAGCAGAAAGGTTACAGGGTCACCAAGATCCCCAAGCGTCCCCCATGGTTTATGTTGACCCGGCTTTTTAGCTCTTGTCCGGTCTACCTCCGTTTTAAGCGCCCGTTATTCCTCCAGAGTCTCCGGTATTTACTTTGTTTTCTTGCTTGTGTCGGCAGTCGTGGCCAAAGGAGGATTCAGACAATTTTCCGAACTTTCTGGTTGGTTTCTACTGTCCGATATGGTAGCACGCTAACTTTGTTTGGGCTCCTGAACGACACGGGGGAGCAGCATTTTCTTGTTGACTGTTTTCTTGTTGCCTGGTTTGGTGTTGACTGTTTTCTTGCTGACTGAATATGGTTGACTGTTTGCTTGTTGACTGTTTTTTTGCTGACTGTTTTCTTGTTGACTGTTTTTGGTTGACTGATTTTTGCTGACTCTTTTCTTGTTGGCTGAATATGGTTGACTGTTTTCTTGCTGACTGTTTTGGTGTTGACCGTTTTCCTGTTGACCGGTTTGGTGTTGACTGTTTTGGTGTTGTCTGTTTTCTTGCTGACTGTTTATGTTTGAGTGTTTTCTTGCTTGTGTCGGCAGTCGTGGCCAAAGGAGGATTCAGACAATTTTCCGAACTTTCTGGTTGGTTTCTACTGTCCGATATTGTAGCACGCTAACTTTGTTTGGGCTCCTGAACGACACGGGGGAGCAGCGTCTGCCTCACAACCAATCAGGTTAGAGGAGGTGGAGAACGGCTTTGTTTACAGTCAGAAAGAGCGGACCGCTCAAAAATGTTCAAATGTTGACAACACAGACAGAAGAGAACACATTAGTTATTGATGACATTTGGTAATATATCTATATCTCTAACTATTGACTGATATTAGAAGATTTTTGTAAATACACCAAAATAAAAAGATGCTTCTTTAACAGATTCCTTCCTACCCCACCTTTAAAGTCCAAATGTTTCCTATCAGACCTAAACTTACTGTCTTATTCAGGAGAAGATGTCGACCCTCCTCCCTCGTCTCTTTTCTAAAACGTAGAAATATTCGATCATGTTGAAATTCCCTCCATCATCCGATCACTGAGGCCTCAGCTGATCTCTCTCCTCGTTTTCTCTCTTATTAGCGGCCAGCTGCCTGATGTCTCAAAGATTATGGACAAAGAGGACTTCACCCTGATGAAGCGCGCCATCTTTGCGACCCAGAGACAGTGTCAGCCTCCGATCTGCACCCACAACATGCTGGAGGACAGCAGTGACCCCATCCTGAACTGTGTCCGCCGGATCGGCCTCTTCAACAGCTCAGCCGACCGAGTCAAGGCATGTCGTCTTTAAATCGACGATTATTCTTCCTCTTCCCTTCTCGGTTTGATGGTTGTCGTCTTAAACTGAACTCATATATGAACACAGATCCACCTCCAGCCCTCACACTGACGTTCTCCCTCCTCTCTTCTCCTGTAGATCATCTTCCATCCAGAGTTTCTCTCCTCCACCTCTCCTCTTCTCCCCATGGATTATGAGGAGTTTGTTCGAGGCTGCCACCTCGGTGTCTTCCCCTCGTACTACGAGCCGTGGGGCTACACTCCAGGTGAGACTGGCTCAGGTTTACCTGCTGTGAGGGTTTATTTAAGGTGAGTTATTGATCAGGCCTTTTTGTTTCTGTCACCTGCAGCTGAATGTACAGTCATGGGAATCCCCTCCATCTCCACCAACCTGTCGGGTTTCGGCTGTTTCATGGAGCAGCACATAGCAGACCCCTCTGCGTACGGTGAGTCTACGTCTGAAGGTGTTTGATGGTTTTTTTACTTTAGTCGGTTCCTGTTCATTTGAAGCTCCACCTCCACGGACCAAATCACCATATTTCCCATATAAAATGACAGAGATGAATTTTTTTAAATAAATAAATAAATCTCGACCATGTCATTGACAAAAAGGAAAATCAATTTTGATGCATTTAAATTCTTTTTGTAGTTCTAATTTCCGTATTTTAGCTCCATCCAGCCGACTTTGTCCCCTAAACGGACATGCAGGAAAGTCTTCATAAAATATTTTTTTTTACTTTTTTGACTCAAATCTCTTAAACAACTTCAGCCCTGACCATTGATGTTTTACCCTTTTTATTCCAGTTTTTGTTCAACATGTCATATTTATTGATAAAGTCTGTTGGAGCAAAAACACGACATTTTCACCTCCTTTTCTCGAACCTCGTCCTCGACCAAATCAAATACGATCGAATTCATGTGTTCATAATAAATTAATTTTATATATAATCATATAAAATCAGCAGATCTCTGTAAGATAGGAATCATTTATGAGTGTTTATCCTCCTCTAACTAAAATCTGACCCTGATTACGCTGATATAAAAATAACTGCAGATTTGAGGTGTGATTTCTTCTCCCCTGATGATCTGAAGGACCTGTTCATCCTCATGCATGTCCATCCACCTGCTCTGAAACCGGCTTTCTTTACAGCTCCTCTCTGCTGTTTTTTCTGGCAGGTATTTACATCCTGGACCGGCGGTTCCGGGGGGTCGACGAGTCGTGTAACCAGCTCACTTCCTTCCTGTTCCAGTTTTGCAAACAGAGCCGACGTCAGCGGATCATCCAGAGGAACCGGACTGAGCGTCTGAGCGATCTGTTGGACTGGCGGTACCTGGGCAGGGTGAGACGCCTTCTCTGGAACCACTTTTCCCGACATGTGCCGACTCTAACGGTCCTCTCACACCAGGACCGTTTTTTTCGTGCGATTATTTCGGACGTCAATATTTTTTTTCGAACCCGTATCCTGTCAGTACAAGCGTTCACATCAGCGACGTTTTCCCGTCCTGTGATATTGCGGCATTTATTTTTTGGATCACAATCGATTTTTCTAAAGTTTCTCATACTGTGTGTCCACTTCTGACCAATCAGATTTCGTGTTGTTGCGACATCAGATTCACCGGTATATCTGAATATTTCGTAATTTGACGTCGTATATCGGCGTCGGCGTCGGAGTATGACGACCTTTAGATGACGCTAAAATCTTTCTTCTTCCTGTTCTCCCAGTATTATATCTCAGCCCGTCACATGGCGCTGGCCAAAGCCTTCCCTGACGCCTTCCTGTACGAGGTCAATGAGCCCACCTCGGTGAGTAATCGATTTCTGTCGTCATGGAAACCGAACCTTCACATCTAACCTGCTCTGACTGAAACTCTGACCGCTTTTGTTTGCTCCTGCTCCTCCTCAGACGTCAGGTTTCCGTTACCCCCGGCCGGCCTCCGTACCGCCGTCTCCCGCTCTGTCACGCCACTCCTCCCCACGCCACAGCGAGGCCGAGGACAACGACGAAGACGAGCGCTACGATGAAGACCTGGAGGCGGAGAAGGACCGGGTGAACATCCGCCAGCCTTACGTGGTCCTGCCGTTCAAAAACAAGTCCTCGGCCGCTTCTGCGTCCAACGGAACCAGCGACGAAAGCGAGAAAAATTGACACACACACACACACACACACACACTCACACACACACACACACACAGTACATGCTTAACCTCACTAATGAATCATCCTCTAGATCACCTACATCTATACTCAGAAACTCTACAGACGGTGCAGTTATGCGAGTGTTTGAGTGATGACCTTAATATCTGCTTGTCGTGCGTCACTGTCAGTGTCTTCCTAACCCGCCCAACCTCAGACTTTTTCAACCTCTTTGGTATATTTCAGTTTCACCAGCAGCGGTGCATCATGGGGTTTCCAGTACATGCAGCAGCTAGAGCAAGCTCCACCAGCAGCTCAGCTCAAACGGACAAACAATCAGGGTCGCTGAGATCTGCGGTCGTACTGAGACTGGATCAGGAGGTCGAGAGCGTGAACAGATACGAGTGAAAAGTGGGTCAGAGCAGGGAGCGCGGCAGAACTCGTCTTTTTACCAGCGCCTCATTCATTCACAAAAGAGACAAAACCACGTCACAAAGAGCACTCCTACTTTTTCTTTAGTTTGTGTTTGTCTGTGAATTTATCTTTAGACTCCAAAACTTCTGAGTGTGGAAGTGAAAACTCAAAAACAAGCACATGAACATCAGAGCGGCTCCATCCTGACCACACGTCCGTCCGTCCGTCTGTGTGTGTCTGTGTGTTTTATTTCTGCGCTTTAGTGTGTCGCAGCCTCTCAGTCCACTTGAAAAACCTCACACTCCTTCGGTTCATCTGTGTGTGTGTCTGTGTGTGTGTCTGTGTGTGTGTCAGGATGGTTATTGTCGGGTTTCCCTGCTTCTGCAAGTATTTATTTGTGCGAGGATGAGAAGTGAGACAGGCGAGGAGAGGAGAGGATGTTTTCAGGTGAAGGTTTGTGATGAAAGTGAAAAGTTTGGACTGATGTTGTCGGAGGAAAACGGTTCCACCAGGCGTGACCTTACACTCCCTGTTCAAGTTTTGTCGTTTGTTACGATCTGGATGAAATAAAGTTGAACTATGTGTACCTGTTAGTGTCTTACAGACGACCACCGCCTCTTCTTCTTTCTTTGACTCTTTATTCAAACACTCAAATCTGAGAAACTCGTCCTCCTTAAACCGCCTGATGAATCCGGAGTTTCAGGGTCGGTCTTCAGCACAGATAAACTCGACCTCCGTGACCTTTACAAACTGGAGGAAAACAGAAGAAGAAGAGTACGAAAGTTTTAGATGACCAACCTTACTGGAGAAAAACAAGTTTATTCTTTTAAACCGAGACTCTAGTAAAGTCCTCAAAAAGACAAAATTCAATCAGAGTTTTTAACTGATTCACAAACTCTCCATGATTTCTAAAACCAAAGTCAGACTTTGATCCATCAGACCTCAGGACAGTTCTCTGGATCCTGGTTCTGTCTGCTCTCCTCTTTCATGGTTCAGTTTGAACCTCATCTGTTGAACCTTCAGCTCACACAGTCTCTCACATAGACTCCTCCTCTCTGAATGTCCGTCTCAGACCCGGTCATGTGACTCACCTATGGAAGTCGATCTTTGCCATCTGATTTTAAATTTGAATTTCTAAAGATAAAATTTGTTTTTGCATCAAAATCAGACTTTGAATTTCAAGCACGCATTTTTACTTCTGACGCTAATTTTTTTCAGAATGATGAAAAAAATTCAGTGTGAAAAAAAAGTCTCAAAATATTCATTTCGTAAAAATTCAACAAAAAAAAACTGTTAAAAAATATTAATAATTAAAACAATAATAATGGAAAAATAAAAAATTAAAAAAAATCGATTGTCAAATAAATTCCGTGTGAAAAAATCAGTCTCTCAAAAATATTTATGTAGTAAAAATTCAACTTTAAATTCGACATAAAAAAAATTTTAGTGTCAAAAAAAAATTAGAGACTGACTCAACATCTGGGTAACCAGGGAGAAGTGATCGATTCCTCAATCTTCCACTGGGGTCTGTGTATGGAAGTCAATCTGTGCCATCTGATTTTATAATAATAATAATAAATAATAAAAATGCGTACTTATAATTCGATGGTTTAGAGATTCAGTCTAATTTTGATGTGAAAAAACACTCAGCTTTAGAAATGTAAAATCAGATGGCACAGTTTTACTTCCATATTAACCTGTTTTTTGTTAAACTCACCGAGTAGACTGTTCCAGAAGGAGTTGTACGTCGCACTTCCGGTCACGGCGCCCAGTTTGGCGGGATTCCTCCTCACAGTGTGAACGGAGAAGCCTCCATGTCCGGTGACCTCCACCTCCACCACATGAAAGTCTCTTAACCTTCATGAAGAGGAGGAGCAGAAACAGTGAGATCCTCGCTGATATGAGGAGGTTCGATCAGGTCAGTCAGATGTTCAGGAGGACTCACTCTGTGTCAGACACGATCTCCCCCTGAACACCAGAGAAGCCCAGAGATCCTGCAGCCACCGCCGCCGCCGCCATGGTGTTCACGTTGTTTGGAGCGAGAGGACAAAGTTCAGCCACCGAACCTTTGAATAAAACCCGTCTACCTTCTCCTTCTGTCCACTCGGAGAGGACGTCTCCTGTCAGCCTGAAGCAGGACGGATGTTTGGACATCCTGATGAACAACGACTGAGGAGATGAATTCACACAGGAAACAGTTTAAACAGACAGAAAAATCAGAGTAGGTCAAAGTGTGGTATGAAAGTCTGTCCACAAGAAACGGAGCAACATCAGGATCAATTTAAAATATCTTAACTTTCCGATTAAAACCTTTTCTGTTTATTTATCCAAGATTTACACGACTGTCAGGGTTTATTTTAAAGTTATTCTGAAACACAGTCATGGATCCTTCTGTACATTTTACTGAAACACAATATTCATATTTATGAAACACCAAACCAACGATAATCCAGGTGACTTCAGCTTCATGGACACAATAACTCAAGAAGAAACTCGAAGACCCGACCTGAACCCCTCCAGGATGAGTCTCACCTTCAACCCCCCGCTGTCGTTCAGCCTCTGGATGTCCTGGCCTCCCCATAATGCACCGCTGGGGACGTAGAGCGTGTTTCCAGACTGCTGAGCCGCCTGACGGAGCTTCTGGTTCAGGTCAGGGTCAGAGAGAGCCGAGGGAGAGCCCACCTGAGCGGAGGAGGAACGAGAACCGTGATGAACAGAGACCTGGACTCAGGTTCTCTGGACTGGATGTTCAGGTCCACCTTCATTCATGCACAGATAAAAAAACTGACTCTCCATCCAAGTCTTCTCAGAGGATTTTAGTTCATATGTTCAAATCTAGTCCTGATGACCTCAGAGCAGGTAAAGCCCGACACCCCCTAAGACCTCTGGCGCCCCCTAAAGGTGGGTAACCAGGTCCTACAGGAGGTCCTCCAGGCTTTTCATATAATCGACCAAAACATGTCAGAATGTCGACGATCGAAAAGGATATTGATCATGTTTATATTGATATTGAGGGAGATTAATGTTCCATATATGTAGTTATCGTTTTATCGCCCAGCCCTACCTCAGATTTACTAATTATTATAAATATCGTGTTTCTTTAATGTTCTCTGTTTTCTTCATCGGCTGTTTTAAACTCTTTAAACTGTGATTTCTGGACTTTTCTTCAGCTCCACCTTCTGGTAAATGAAAATAATCTCCGTCTCTCTTTCCCTCAACATGAAAACATATCATGTGAATTCTCAATAAGGTGTTAATGCTTCGATAAATCCAGGTTTTAGGATAACCTGTGCAGGTTAACAGCAGAGAGGACTCACCAGGAGATGAGACTGAGACAAGAAGTGAGGTCCAAATTCTCCAATTATCTGTGGATGACAAACCTCTACGACCACATCACAGCGCCTGGAAACAGAGAAGAAGAGCTGTTATTATTATAGACATGTTATAGATATAGAGTGGTTTAGATCCATGAGTGTGAGTGTGTGTGTGTGTGTGTGCACCTGTCTGAAAAAGACGACAGATCTGTGAGGATCAGGTCTTCAGGAACTAAACCTCTGAGTTTGTCTGGATTTCTGTTCCAAACAAAAGCCAGACTGAGACCGAGACCAGATCCATCTCTGAGGATCCTGTCCACCAAGAACTGACCTGAAGAGAGAGAGAGAGAGAGAGAGAGAGAGAGGGGGAGAGAGGGAGAGAGAGAGAGAGAGAGAGAGAGAGAGGGGGAGAAATGAATTCAGGTCTCAGGAGTAGAGACTAAAACAAACTGAGGTAGACCTTCAGACCTAGATGTCCATATCCTACGACTCCGATCCTCTGGGTGGAAGAGCTCATCGTCCTAATCTCTGCAGGAAGAGCAAACACACACACACACACACACACACACACACACACACACACACAGGTTTGTAACCCTCTCTCCTATCTGATCGTTCTCCTAACTCCTGATATTTATTACTTACCTGATAATCTCTCTCTCTCTCTCTCTCTCTCTCTCTCTCTCTCTCTCTCTCTCTCTCTCTCTCTCCTGTTTGTGAATCACAGAGACTCCGGGAATTCTGGGTAAGCAGGGTTCAAAGTTTAATGGTTAATAAGTGTCAGTCCTGTGATGTGTGGACCAATCAGAGGCCGAGCTCCTCCTTCATCCTTTCATACAGTTTTACATTCAGACCCAGGTCCAGTTTTAGTGACCTACGGTGGCCCTGAAGGTCAAATGCACAAACATATAATGAGTGCAGGAAAATTTCACAAAAATTCAAAAGTAAAGTTTTTATTCTCTGTGATGAATTAAAGTAAAAAAAAAAAAAGGGGGAAAAATAAAATCTCATAAAAAATATATATTTCATAAAACCAGTTTCTGCAGCTCTGTGAAATATTTGGAGGTTTTATAAAATAGTTTTGAATTTAAAAAATGCAAAATATGTTTTGGGAACAAAATGTTTTTTCTTTTTTTATATATCATTATTAACATCTTTTGTTTGCTCTTCAATTTTTTATGTCTTTTTTAAAATTATTTTGTAAAATGTTTTTATACTTCCCTTTTATAAATTCTGAGAAATGTTTTTTGGCTTTTTTGCGTTACATGATGTATTTTTGATAAATGTTTAAAATTTTCAAAATGTTTTTACATTTAGTGTTTTTTTTCTTTTCTTTTCCATTTTTTCCATTTTATTGGAACATTTATAAAACGGTGAATAAAACAAGTTTAGGTCGGAAAATTAAAGTAAAATTTTTGGTCTTTTTTACTTTTACTGACAGAACAGCTGAACAGAGACACATATATGTGGAGAGTAGAGGAGGGTGTGCAGTACAGGGCGGGGACTGGGAGTTGAACCAGCGACCTTGTGACCTTCAGGGCCTCCGTAGAATCCACTAAGGTCATACCCTCATATTTTTTTGTTGCACTCAGACGCAGAAATCTGACTCAGTTTGGTCGGATTGAGAAATCAGTCGATTCTTGAGAGTTTTCACTTCTTCTTTCTGATTTTTTGACCTGCCGTCTCATCTCTTGTGTCTTTTTTTTCTGAGTTCATTCATTTATTTTTCCGTCTGTTATAAACTCTTCAGATAGTAAAAAGGATTTCCCTAAAGGAGGAATGTGACTGTTAAGCTTTTTATTGCAGCATCATCAGAAGTTCACATATAAAGTAAGAAAACAACCTTTGTCGTGTATGAGTTTCCTGTCGGCTCACCTTCGCCCCTCATGTGTTGATGTCACCGATATACTCCAGCTGGAGAGGTCAAAGGTCAGCTGTTTGTCCAGGAGGAAATCGATAATCAGAGTACAATCAGACGGCAAAGATCGGTCCAAAGTCCATCTCTGTGAAACACCAACAGGCTGAGAGGATTACATGAGTCAGTGTGAGAGACAGAGGAGCAGAGACCACGCTGGTTCATCCACCTGAGACCATGGACATCCTGGAGACAGATGCTTATGACAGGCGGCAGAGGAGAAACATGGTACCTGAACATGATGGTTGGAGGTATTAGTCACTGTAATTCTCCCGGTCATCAGGTAAACGTCTGTAATCGTCTCTCTCTCTCTCTGTCTCTCTGTCAGTCCTGTTCTCTCCTCTTCTCCCTCCTTCCCTTCTTTCTTTCTGCTGCTCTTTACTTTTACACGTGGACTCCCGACACTCAGGCATCCATCACACATGCAGGTGTCAAATCGGCGCCCACGCTGCTGCTGGCTGCGGTCGTGCTGAGCTGGAACGGAGGTCAGAGCGTCCTGGGTGTGGTGGGGGGCCTGGTCTTCTCTGCCGTGGGTGACTGCTGCCTGGTGTGGCCTGAGCTCTTCGTTCACGGTGAGGGAAGAATAAAACTAGGGATTATCGAACCTCAGACTCTGATATTCACTATAGTGTAAATGTTGAACCATGAGTGGGTCTAAACAGGACGTTCAGAGAGGCTGAGTGAGAGACTGCGTGAGCCAACAGTTCAACACTTTCAGAATAAAGTTCATCTACAGTTCAGCTGAGGATAAAAGTTTTGAGAATGACACAAATATTAATTTTCATAAAGTCTGCTGCTTCAGTTTTTCATGATGGTCAAATTCATAAAGTCCAGAATGTTCTGAGGAGGGATCAGATGAGATGCAGTTGATTGTAAAGTCCCTTAGAAAAGACATCCATCCATCGATTTTCTACCGCTTATTCCTGTTCACGGGTCACGGGAGGGGGGGTGGAGCCTATCCCAGCATCTTCTGGTGATGGCAGGGGACACTCTGGACAAGTCACCAGTTCATCTCAGGGCTGACATATAGAAATGAACAACCATCCACGCTCACATTCACACCTACGGGCAATTTGAAAGTGGCCAGTTAACCTAACCTCACTTAGGCAAGTTTTTGGGATTTGGGAGGAAACCGGAGAACCCAGAGTAAACCCACGCAGACACAGACAGAACATGCAAACTCCACGCAGGATTCAAACCCAGGACCTTCTTTGCTGTGAGGTGACAGTGCTAACCACTACACCACTGTGCTGCCCACAAAACAAACAAACAAACAAACAAACAAACAAACAAACACATTTTCTACTTCGTTTGAGCCCAAAAGGATCAGCTGAGATCATCTGTGTGATTCTCTGGTTAACACGGGTGAGAGTGTTGATGAGGACAAGAGTGGAGATCGATCTGTCAGACTGATGGAGTAAGAATAACAGAGTGGAGGATTTAAAAGGAGGGTGGAGCTGAAATCATTGTTCTTCCTGCAGTCATTATTACTTTAACTTCACAGAATATTGATGCTCGTAAGATTACACCGAAAACAATCAATCATCTGATCATCAGGAACTTCAGGAACAGAGGTTCAGTTATTGTGAAGAAGGTTTCAGGGTGCCTAAGAAAGTCCATCAAGAGTCAGGACTGTCTCCTAAAGTGGATTCAGCTGCAGGATGGAGAACTCGCTCAGACCACAGAACACTTTTACACTTTACATCAGTCCATGTTAGATGAGCTCGGCTCAGAGAAGCCGGCGGCGGCGTTTCTGGATGTTGTTGATAAATGTCTTTAGAGTTTTATCTTACAGACGTAGTGATGAACTGAATTTACTGACAGTGGTTTTCTGAAGTGTTCCTGAGCCCATGTGCTGATATCCTTGAAACACATTGATGTCGGTTTTTGATACAGCGCTGCCTGAGGGGTCGAAGGTCACGGGCGTTCAAAGTTGGTTTCGGGCCGTGCCTCTTATGTTCAGTGACTTCTCCAGATTCTCTGAACCTTCTGATGATATTTTGGACTGTAGATGTTGAAACCCCTAAATTCTTTCATTTGTACTTTGAGGAACGTTCTTCTTAAACTGTTCGACTATTTGCTCACGCAGTTGTTCACAGAGTGGTGAACCTCGCTCCATCCTCGCTTCTGAATGACTGAGAATTTATGAGTTTGAACATTAATGGAATTGTGTTTTTTATAGTTAAGTCACACAAAAATCCAAACTCTGAGTATTTCGCCTGTTAAACTCCGTCAGGATGGTCATGAATGTTGAAGATTACTTCTCGTCTGTTTCAGGTATGGGTGCGTTCGCCGTGGCTCACCTCCTCTACTCGCTCACCTTCCTCTCCAGTCGGTACTCTCCGGAGTCTTCCTCCTCCTTTAACCTTCTCATGTTCCTGCTCCTGTTTCTGACGGGGGCCGGGTTCTACACGTACCTGTATCCGTTCCTGCAGAAGGCCCCTGACGCGGACCTCCTTCTCCCAGGTGTCGGAGTTTACATCCTGTTACTCACCATCATGGGGACTTTGGCCATCAGGACCCGACACACGGCGACGATGCTGGGGAGTTTGATCTTCATGGTGTCTGACCTGTCTCTGGCTCTGCAGGTTTTTAAGGTGATGCCACCAGCCGAACACGGTCAGGTTGTTGTCATGGTGACATATTACCTGGCGCAGCTGCTTATTGCTGTGGGGGATGTAAGAGCAGCGAGGAGCAAGGACGATTACGCAAAATGGAAGAGTTCCTAAACCGGATCATCAGCCTGGAAGACCACGAACACTGACCCCGAAAGCTTAGACCTGGAGGTCCTCACCAAAGACAGGAGGACAGGAGGATGAGAGGACATGTCCTTTCTGGTCGGCATCGACAGCTACAGGCTGTGACGAGTGAAAGCAGCTCGAAATATCTTATTATTCTATGTTTCCAATTTATGCTTCATTAACCTCATAATTAATTAAAATCTAAAAAGAAGACTGAAGATCATTTCTATCAGTAGATTTGTTCAAACATGTTTTAATCGGTGAGTCTGAGGAGCATCCATGTTGATTAGTAAGTTTTACATTTGTTGAGTCAGCCTCTGTGTCTCTAAATACTCACTGCTGTCAATAAATAAATAGAGTGAGAAAATAAACAGGGATGTTTTTGTATGTTCTCCAAGTCTGAGTCATGTTTTCACTCAGGGGGTTAAAGGGATATTCTGCTTTCTTCTCTAGTTATACCAACTTTAGTAACGACCGCAGGATAGAAATACACAGCGGTCTGAGGAGCCATAAACAAACCTCAACCAAAATGCCACTCTGTAACCACAAATAATGCTCAGAACAGCACCTAACTTCATCAACAGGACATATAGGGTCACAGACATAGTACTATAGTCAGAGTTGTTCTAACTCCTAAGAAAACAGAAACTTAAGCGGGGGCGTTTCTCCACTTCTGTAGTCTATAAGCTGGGCCAATAAACTTCTACTGTAGTAAAATGAAAAGGTAAAGGTGTTTTTATTGAGCCGAATTATCAATAAATTCATGATTTTGTTAACAGGTATGGATTTATGTGCTGTTGAGTTAATATATTTAAACAAGAGCACAGTAAAGTTAAATCAGCTAATTTTCCAATGAGGTTCTGTTACTAAATGGAACTACACCATGATCTACAGAGGTTAGTACATATAGGGTCCCAGCCATCATAAATGTTCTTCCTTGAGCTGCGGCACCCCGCTGTAGTCCATAATGGACTGGTCTGAGGTCTCACTACAAACAAGCGTCTGCTGGAAGAGAGTAGGTGAGTTGTGTTTAGTCTCTTTGCTAAAGAAATGAGTCAAAGTTAAAAAGATGTTTGGTGTCTAGTACTATGACTGTGACCCTATATGTCCTGTTGATGAAGTTAGGTGCTGTTCTAAACATTATTTGTGGCTATAGAGTGGCGTTTTGGTTGGGGGCGTGGCTCTCTGTATTTCTATCCTGCGGTCGTTACTAAAGTTGGTATGACTAGAGAAGGAAGCGGTCGGCAACATTCATCTCTGGAGGGGGGGTCTAACTCGGTGTTACGGTGGGTTTGACCCTAAATTAATTTTTTAATCCAGCTCAGAAGCTTTAGGTGGATAAAAACTGTCACAATCAAAAGGTTGAAAATGTTCCTTGTTTAAATAATTTACATTTTAAGTCCTTTAAAATCTTCCTGTGATAAAAGTGTTTGTTATTACGTCACAGATATGAAACTAAAACCACAGATATAAAACAACAGCTGACTTGAAAAACAGTTTTATACATCATAGACTTATTTACAAACTAAAACCCAGCTCCTGGATTTCATGCACTGATTCGGACAGCACCGCTCCAAACAGACAGAAATGTAGTTTGACACTCTGATCTGAGCCGTGAACGTCCTGGTACACGTCTGCAAACTAGAACAGGTGAAGTAAGAACAAACGTCAGCGATCCATCCCGTTTTCATCGGACTGCTGTCCACGGAAACACGCCGCCCTCAGACGGTCACAGAAGTCCAGCTCCTCCTGTTGGAAACACACAGATAAGACTCTGAACAAGAACTTTAAAAACTCCACTCTGTGTCTGGGTCTGAATTGTAACAAAACTTGAATTTAATTCAACTCTGGAGGTGAAAAAGTCTCAAAGGTACCTGGCTCTCCTCTTTTCCTTGGAGCTCTCTTGATCTCTGTCTGAGTAACTCCTCCAGACCAAGAGCTGGAGTCCGGCAGTCTTTGAGACCCTGAGGACAATCCTCCACCAGACTACAAAAATCACAACAGAAAACGTGTCAGAAATACACTAAATAATAAATCAACAACATAGTGTGTAAGACACCAGGTAGAGGGCGTGATTTACCAGCAGAGGGCGCCAAGCACATGCTCATGGAAAGGTGAGTGAGGGGTTCGGAGGACAGAAACCAGCTGCTGTACCATCCCCATGGAGACGACAGTGTCTGCAGGTAGAGAGACGAAGGTTCAGAGGTCAGAGCGAATCAGGATGATGATGACGGATCAACCAGGGCTCTGACAAAAACCACCTGAGACCCGTGGAGATCTGAACTAAGGGCTGACAGACTCCCCCTTCGTACCTTTGTGTTCAGGATGTGACGTCAGCAGGTTGAGCAGAAGGAACGCCGACTTGGTCCTGAGTTTCTCGTTCTCTGACTGCATCCCTCTCATCAGCACTGAGAAGCCGTCATGGGACAAGAACTCCTGGAGTCCTGCGTCCTGCTCCCGAACCAGACCTGAAGTCAGAACGAGTCACAGTTACAGTTTTGTTTGAAGGTTTCAAGTCTTTTCTAACTCATCCCTCTCTAAACCCACGACATGTTTCTGCTGTCACAGCTCTGAGGATCGTGGAGCGGTAACGTGGATTTTTACAGCGCTGTCTGAGATACTCACATGACACGGCGTAGAGAGCTTTCACTCTGACGGTGGGGTGGGGGTCTGAGTCGATCAGCTGCAGGAGTTTGGGAAGAGCTCCGATGCTGAGCAAATGGATCTGCACCTGAGGCATGTTTTGGGCGCAGGAAGCGATGAGCTCAGCCGCTCGCCACCTCAGCCCACTCTGAGCGTGACAAAGATACTTGGAGAGGCACAAGTCCAGACCGCCGAGAGTCATCAGGTCTGTGAAACAGAGGAAGAGGAGGAAGTCAGGACTGAGTCATCAAACATCTAACCTCTATCCTACTTCATGAACCTCGATACCGTGGTTACGAACCTTTGGCGTTGTCCAGGTTCTCACACAGCTCTGACAGAATCTCAAAGGCTGACTCCCGCTCATCTTCATCATCTTCATCCCTCTCCTCCTCCCCATCCTGCTCCCTGATTTTCGTTTCTTCTTCTCTCAAGACTGCCAAGCACCGTTTCATCTGCTCCACTTCATCCATCTGTCCTTTGCAGACCTCTGCCAGAGCGTCTCTCAGCCAAGTTTTCCTCTGAAACACGAGCATGAGGAGGTTTCACTCAGAACACACACGTTCCAATACAAGCGATAATCAATGATATAAAATCGAGGGAACATCTTCAGGAGGACTTAAATCCATGGCTGAGGGTTTCCAAAAAGATCTGGTTTGAGATGATATCAAAGAATTAACTGATTGATCAGAGCAAAGTATCGAGATCGATTACAAACGATTCTGAGTTTGTAGAAAACACAGCAGACAGCAGATTCAGTCGATGGAAGTGGGACTAAAAATATTTTAGGAACTTTTTAATGAGAAGGTCATCAGAAGATTTCAGGATCTGAAAAATCAATATCAAGATTACAAATGAGGCATTATTTGGAGGAAACTATAAAAAAGTTTAATTCAGATGAGCTCGAGTCAGGAATCATGAAATTATTCATCTCAGCAGATGATTCAGACCAGGGAGAGAAAATTAAAGGTCAACAATAAAACAACATCTATGAAAGAAAACTGGGAAAAAGAGGCTGAGAGGGAATCATCAGAGGAGGACGTAAACGAAGGAGAGAAGAAGAAAACAACATGAGAATCTGGGTGAAGAATATTGTCAGATACTTTATTACAGCAAAACAACAGAAATCTGGAGACGATGTGGGGAGAATAAAGCTGATCATTTTCATATGGAGAAGTATGGAAATATTCTTTACAGTTAGAAATATGTTCAATATATCTAAAATGTTGATGGATTATTGATATATGAGATTAATAAAAAAGAAAATGTCTCCCTCAGTTGTTATTCCCTCAGATTTTATCCTGCTCTTTGTCTCAGGTATTTATTGACTTGTTTTAACTCAAATACAGAAAAATGATCAAATTAGTTCATCAGCTTGTTTAGATGATCTCAATAATGTGAGTCTGATGAGTCAATACTCTGATCAATAAAGTGAGTCTGAACTCTCTTAAACCCTCTACAGTTTCAGGTAAAGAGTGTCTCACCTCCTCGGACATAGGTTCAAGAGGTCCAGGTCCCTCTGCTGCAGATCCAGCCTCCACTGCCAGCTGAAGAACCCCCTGAAGGTTCTGAGGGTATCTCCTTCCCTGTCTGTCGTCTGCCATGATGTGAAAACAGCTAAAGACGGAAATATAAAAACAGACATGAAAGAGTCTGATCAGGAAAACTGAGTTTAGGTCCTGGAGAGGAGAAAGATCTACAAACTAAAACTAACAAACACGAACTGACATTTTACTTTAACACTTCTACTTTAAGACCGAATATTGACAGTTAACATCACCGGTTTAGAGGTAAACATGAATAAAAACACAGAAACAGAGTCTCTCAGAGAGTCTAAATATAAATTAGCCTTTTCTCTCCCGATAACATGAAATATTTAATTTCCAACAAACCTCTGCTGGACTCCGAGAAACTCTGTCGAATAATGAGACGCGCTGGTTCCGATTGACCCGAAGAAACAGACCTGCCTCCTTTAAATCACAGAAACCTGAAGGTACCAGAACATTCTAGCTAGCAGATCTCACGAGTGGCATGGGGGCCGCCATGTTTACCGTAAACCTTGTATAAAATAGGTAAGTAAAATATTCCAGCGCCCCTGTTTTCTGAGGCTTTCTAAATATCTACGGTTTTCATTTTCTACGTGAATTCATTTCTAATGATTGTAAAATGAGGATTCTGACAGTGAGATATGAAGAGAAATTTCTAAAGGTCTCACACCAAAATACCCCTGTATTAGCGTAATTACGGTAAAGGCTGTCATTCGTACAGGCGACTTTCAGAGAGTAAATATGAAGAAGAGCGAAGTATTTCCTCCGGCAATATGAGTTATATAACTTTTAAAAATGTAAACAACAATAATAATAATAATAATAATAATAATAATAATAATAATAATAATAATAATAATAATAATAATTCTAATAATGTATTGTTATTATTATTATTATTATTATTATTATTATATATTTTGAAAAAATAATATTTTGAAAAATAAAATTATCAGAGTAAACACAGGTATAAAAAATTTGGTACCATTTTGTGTGGTTGTTTGACACGCTGTAGTATCGGACATAGATATCTATAAGAAAGGCTAGATGACTTTATGAGGCGGAGTCACCAGCGTCCCAACACGGCGGCCATCTTACTCCAGTATATCAGTCTGGTCCGCTCTAAGGTAGCTGTCAGGAGGTGAGTAATCTACATGATCGAAAATACTCTAAACTCATTGAAATCTCGGCAGATTTATAAATGGTTTAGTTTATTACAGACCTTAATAACGAGGCTATGAGTCTGGATGTTTGGACATATTAAAATGACAGATTTACTTTGAGATAAAAAATATATATTTATATATGTTATTATTATATATTATTATAGTTATCACTGTAATAGAAATATTACTAATATAACATACATAGAATGATTAAATGTTTTATATATAAATTATTTAATGTAACTGCCTTGTGTATGTAGACCTATAACTATTTCTCTACCTATCTGTTTAATGTTTATTTATGTAAATCCGTGGTTAAAATTATTCTTGAATATGCAGGAACATAACTAAAACTCTGAGGTTTGTTACAAACCAAACAGTTTGAAAATCGGTTTAAAATTAATCAATCTATGGTTATTTAAATGATACATGAACTTAAGACTGGAATGAGGAGAGGTATCTGAAGTAAGATGGCCGCCATGTGGGAAGGTCGGTCTCCATTGGCTCGCAGCGTGTGTAAGACATCTAGCGTTTCTACACATATCTATGGAATAGGATAAACCGGTGTTTCCGGTGTCTCGTGCTCAGACGGTCACTCTTGATTGGTTGATCATCTTCGGTCTGTCTAACCATCCAAGATGGCGGCGCTGGTGGGACTGCGTGCATGTTTCTCCGGTAAAATCGTTTATTTCCTGCAAAAACATATCGATTAACGTGTAATTCTGACATTTTAATATGCGGCACTAACTCTTACTCCTGTTTTACTCCCGTGTTTGTAGTTTCTGTCACTGAAACTGAAACAGTGAGGGTTTTAAAGAGGTGATGCTGTTTGTTCTGAGAGCAAGGTCACGTTACCGAAGACTGTTAGCTAACTTCAGAGCTAGCTCAGGATTACCTCTGATTACTGATCAATGAAGATGAACCCCTGAGAGATTGTTGACAGTTTAATTTATCTTTATTTATTCAGATCATATAAACCGACTGTTCTGTGGAGGAACAGCTCTGCGGAGTCTCTCTGAGGGTTTAGCTGCTGCTGTTAGCGAACTAAAATCAACATTTCTGCTTCTTAAGTTTGACTAAAAGTGTTAAAACGGTCATTATTAAAGAGTGCAGGAGTTATATTACTAACATGTCTGTATCAGAGAGTGTGCACAGACAGTATAGATGTCCCACACCTGCAGATAGATCAAGATTACCTGTTAAAAGATGGAAACATCAGTCTAGATGTCTGTCACAGTTTCTGTTACTGAAGCTGGATCTAAGAATGAAGCAGACTCATCCGTCTCTTCAGGGAGGAGTCGACTCTCAAACTTTGGGGGAGTTTTGGCTCCACTGAAGCAGGAGAATGTCTCCACCTCCTCTAAAGCTGGATGTTTCTCCTCTGAAGTTTCTCTCTGCCTCCATCATTGTTTACTTTCCTCACGAATTATACACCAAGATCTGAGCAGGAATCTGATCACTGTAGTAACCTTTATGAGCCGATCAGAGGCAGACGGGTTCGATGATTTGATTCGCCACGACTCCAGAAATGATTGAGAAACTACAGGATGTTATAAAACGACGTATCTGCGCTCCCGCCTTAAAGAGTAGAGATGCGTCCACGCTGTCCCGGTCTGAGTGGGTTAAACAGCGGGTTTATATCTGAGTGAATAAAGCCGTAATGTCCTGTTCTCCTCTCCTCAGCCCTTCAGCTCTCCTCGCCGGGTCTCCTCCACAGCTCCTTTAAACTGGTGAGTCTGAACATCCGGCCCAGAGTCTCGGACTGTTCAGATCTTTGATTGTCCCCCCCGCTTCCCTGCGCTCACTGCTCCGATGTTCGGTTTGTGGTTTTCCCCGCAGTGTGCTGTGCCTCTGAGTCGGCGGACATTTGCAGCAGAAGCCAAGAAGGTGTACAGCAGAGACAAACCTCACGTGAACATCGGGACGATTGGCCATGTAGATCACGGCAAGACCACGCTGACAGCAGCCATCACCAAAGGTAACGGCGTCCATACCGACGCAGAGATCTCTTCAGAGTTTGTGAAACAGGAAAATGAAAGCTGGAGTTCGCTCGGTGTTTTTGTCCTCAGTGCTCGCTGAAGCTGGTGGAGCGAACTACAAGAAGTACGAGGACATCGACAACGCCCCCGAGGAGAAGGCCAGAGGGATCACCATCAACGCCTCTCACGTGGAGTACACCACCGCCAACAGACATTACGCTCACACAGACTGTCCCGGTCACGCCGACTACGTCAAGGTGATCTCCTCTAACGGCTTCGATCATCCGAGGTCGACCCGCCCTGTTTGTGCGTTTTATCAACCCACTCTGTGTCCTCTTCCAGAACATGATCACAGGCACGGCTCAGATGGACGGCTGCATCCTGGTGGTGGCGGGCACTGACGGCCAGATGCCTCAGACGCGGGAGCACCTCCTGTTGGCGCGGCAGATCGGGGTCGAACACGTGGTGGTTTTCATCAACAAGGCCGACGCCGTGGAGGACAAGGAGATGCTGGAGCTGGTGGAGATCGAGATCCGTGAGCTGCTCACAGAGTTCGGCTACGATGGCGAGAACACACCCGTCGTCATAGGCTCCGCCCTCTGTGCGCTGGAGGTTAGGAGAACATTAGCAGTGATATTAGCCTCTGATAACTGTGTCTGTCAGTCATCCTTTAACTGACACTAACCTGAGTGTGGTTGAACTTTAGAACAAAGAGCCTGAGCTCGGAGTGAACGCCGTGATGAAGCTCCTGGAGGTCGTCGATAATTACGTTCCCCTGCCGAAAAGAGAGCTGGAGAAACCGTTCCTCCTGCCCATCGAAGGTTCTTATTCGATCCCAGGTATGAAGAGTGTGAGCCGATCAAAGAGGACCGATGATCATCATCATCCCAACATGGTGAGGTGAGAAAGTTCCCGGCTCTGAACGCCGTTTTTATCCTGTGTGTGTTTCAGGCAGGGGGACCGTGGTGTCGGGAACCCTGGAGAGAGGAATCATCAAAAAAGGAGACGATGCCGAGTTTGTCGGACACAATCGCAACATCAAGTCGGTGGTTACAGGTGAGAGAAGGAAACAGGAAAAGACAGAAACCGTAAAAGAGGAGCGACAGTGTGTTGAGTGTGTGTGGGTACATGTGTGTATATATGTATATGTGTGTATGTATGTTTGTATGTGTATGTATACATATAATTATTATTATATAGATATTCCAATGTAATCCAATTAAGATTTTTTTTGTTTTCTTTTCTTTTTAAATTCTCTTTTACATATTATATAAATCCCCCCCCCCACAAAAGTATTTTTGTAAATTTTTTATTTTTTATCTTTTTGTTGTTGTTGTTGTTTCTGTTGTTGTCGTCACTCTGTTTTGTTGTTAAAAAAAAATAATAATAAAAAATAAATTAATAAAATAAAATAAAATGTCCCCCCCCCCCCCAAAAAAAAAAAAAGAAAAAAAAAAAAGAGGAGCGACAGGACGGGCTCTCGTCAGATTTAGATTTAGAAACTTTATTAAAACTGGAGAGTAAACCTGAGCGAGCAGCACAGACAAACTTCATCCAGACTGAGATCCTTTCTTACATGAATTCTCTTTAGAGCTCACCTCTCCACGTCACGTTAAACTTCTGACGCTCGTCTGTTTGAAGTATTTTCTGTAGAAATAAACGCAGAAATTTGACTGAGCTCATCTTCAGCAGCAGAGACGTTTGCTCCGCCTCCTCCTCCTCTTTTATCACATCTCCGCTCGTCCAAACAACAATCTGAAGACGACTCCACACACGCCGATGGACTCTAACCTTCTTCACTTCCTGTTTGCTTCAGGTATTGAGATGTTCCACAAGTCTCTGGACCGGGCAGAGGCCGGAGATAACCTGGGCGCTCTGATCCGAGGTATCAAGAGAGAGGACGTGAGGAGGGGGATGGTGATGTGTAAACCAGGATCCATCCAGCCTCACCGGAAAGTCAAAGCCCAGGTCTGAAAACACCGAACCGAGAATTTTTAACAATCAGTGAATCAAAAAGAGCGAAAGTTTGATCCTTCAGCTGCTGCAGGTTTCTCTGCTCTGTTACTGACACACTGATATATATGTGTGTGTGTGCGCGTCATTTCTCACAGGTGTACATTCTGAGTAAAGAGGAGGGAGGCAGACACAAACCCTTCGTCACCAACTTCATGCCCGTCATGTTCTCGCTGACCTGGGACATGTCCTGTAGAGTCACCCTGCCCCCAGAGAAGGTCGGTGTTCACCCATGACGGCTCATTTCAAACCCATCCGGCTGACGAGCGAGTTAAACGTGAAAATATAGTTCAGATTTTATTTCTAAGTTTAGTGTTTTCTTATTTATCAAATCTGAGCAGGTAGATTCATCAGATTCAGGGTTAAAAGGACGTATCAGAGCAGGAGCGTCTCCCTCCCTCACCTGTCTTCTTCTGTCTCCTCAGGACATGGTGATGCCCGGGGAGGACACCCCCCTGATGCTCACGCTTCGCCAGCCCATGATTCTGGAAAAAGGTCAGAGGTTCACTCTGAGGGACGGGAACAAAACCATCGGCACCGGCCTGGTTACAGACATCCTGCCCTTCTCAGATGAAGACGCCCAGATCAGATGGGGCTGAGCGGGAGCTCTGCTGAGGGGGGAGGGAGGGGAGGTGGGGGTGGGAGTGTGTGGGGTTGTCAGAGTCCGGCTGAATAACTGTAGAGATATCAACGAGAATATCACAGATACACAACATGAACACAACATGAACACAACATGAACACAAACCCCAGGAAAAAAAAAGGAGTGCATGTCTTTCTGCTGCGATTCTACCAAACCAGAGTAATTAAAGTGAAACCGTGTCCATGGGTTCAAAGGTCAGCCTGTCAAATTAATGTCATTTATGTAATAAAATGTATTTAATAAGAAAAACAAAAACATCTTTTCTTCTTCTGTGGAATTTACCAGAGAGAGAATTTTCTTCATTTGAAATAATTGAGTTTATTCTGAGGATCATGAAGCTGCAGGTTTAACAGGTTTAAACACAAAAACATGTTTGATAATTAAAGTTCCTGTAGGACTTTCCTCCACCACACGAGGGCAGCAGAGAGACGCTGCAGGTCAAACTGATCACCTTCATGGATCATTTCTTCATTTTAGTCCAATTAGAAAAAAAAAACTTTGACCTTTAAACAGAGTTGGAGCTCCTTTAATAAAACTTTAACTTTTACTCAGATCTATAAAGTCTCATTAGTTCTGAACTGTTCTGTTTATTGTCAGGCACAAAGATCTCCTGTTATCGTACAAACCTCTGTGACCAAATAATGTGGAAAATTACATTTAATATAAATATAAGGATGAGTTTTGCATATATGTGACAAAAACAGTATAAAGTTATTAATATTTTATATTTATGACAGTTAATCTGATAATAATTATAATAATTAGACTTTTTTAATCTAATATTTAGACTTTTTTTCCCCTATAATTATGATTTTTTTCTGTCACAGTAATGAAACACTTCCTCAATATTGACTCTATTTATTCCCTAAATCTGATGATTTATCTCATAATTACGACTTTTCCTCCTTTTACTTTCTGATATTTGTGTTTTTTTTATTTGATAATAATAATGACGTCGTCTTTGTCTAATTTATGAGTTTTATTTCATACTTTCATACTGAGTGTTTCTTAATAAGACCAAGTTAAAGGGGGACATGGACTTTCACAGTAGGACCCGACTGATCTGGATTTTTTGGCGTCCCTGAGCTGCTGCTTCAGATCCGTCACTCTGCTGTGCTGTGAGGTAGTTAGTGGATGAAGATTGGCATGAAGTCACTGTAGCGCCATCTACAGGAGAAGTTGGGGAACTTTTCGAATGGTGGAACATTTTCGCAGTGAAAATGAATCTTATTCTCTGCGTTTTGTTTCTAAAAATATCTGCGAGTTTTGGCCGATTACTGATTAGTCTCAAACGGGCTAAAATTGGCGATTTAACCGGCTCACCGATAAATCGGTCGGGCCGTATTTCATAACAGAGTCTTTAATGTTCTGATGAATCGAGTTTTTATTTATGTCTTGACCCCGTCCTCCTCCATCAGTGAACAGATAAGATCCTCAGAGGTAGATAATTATAATAATTCTGACATGTTTGGAGATAAACTTGAAGCTGAGCTGTTCTGATGTCTGAACACACACACACACACACACACACACACACACACACACACGCACACGCACACACACGCACACAGAGTCCATTATGAGATGATCCTGCAGAGATAAACCAGACTGACCCTGCTGGATCTCCTCTGCTGGCCCGTCCTCAGCAGGAAGTTCTTCTTCAGTGTCTCTGTGTTTGTTCGGAGTGTTTGAGTCAGTGCGTCCTGTAATCCAATCAGCCTGTTGCTGTAATCAAATACTGTACGTCTGCAGGAGGCGAGGCCGGAGCAGATCCACGGCTGAGTGATGTGCTCAGCTGGAGGATGAGAAGAACCCCACAGAGACGTCGACGAGCGGACAGCAATCACCGGTATGTACGGCTGGTTACTGATACTGGTTTTTATGGTCCCTGATGGGGGGCCGCAGACTCTCTCCATGATTCAAAACAGTACTCACCTGTGATTGATGTCAAACATGTCAGAGAAACACGACCCGGCGGAGACACTCGAGCTCCGCTCACCTGTTCATGTTGGCAACAAACTCACTGAGCGAGGAGACGACCAGCTGTACTGTGATTATTATTTAAAGGGATATTCTGCTGTAAAATTAATTTAAGGTCAAACCCACCGTAACCCCGAGTTAGACCCCGCCCCCAGAGATGAATGTTGTCGACCGCTTGATTCTCTAGTTATACCAACTTTAGTAACGACCGCAGGATAGAAATACAGAGAGGTCTGAGGAGCCATAAACAAACCTCAACCAAAACATGATTAAAAGGCCAAGTTCTCATAAATGATCTTCCTTTAGCTGCGTCACCCCGCTGTTGTCCGTAATGGACTGGCCTGAGGTCTCTCTACAAACAAGCGTCTGCTGGAAGAGAGTAGGTGAGTTGTGTTTAGTCTCCTTGCTAAAGTTAAAAAGATGTTTGGTGTCTAGTACTATGTCTGTGACCCTATATGTACTAACTGAAGAGAAACACAAGAGTGACTCGTCTTCACCTCCCTGAGAACCATCAGAACCTCAGATCAGGTCTTCACACCGAGCTACAGGCTCAGTACTGAGAACAACCGAGGAGATCATTCATCTGGATCAGGATCATTATGACCGGGTTAATCACACACCGTCGTTCATCTGCAGCTTCTTCTGCCTCAGTGGAAAATAAAAACACAAACGCCTCAGAGAGAAGTCAGACTGATCTGAACCTGGTTTAGACTGAATCAGGGGACAAGAGTTTCACATCCAGGACCTGCTGCAGTAACCACCGACTCATGGACGACCCTGATTGGACGTTTCTACACTCCTGCTGATTTCTGAGAGTGTGACGGTGTTATCCTTTTAGATATTAAACTCTTTATTCACCCTCGAACACTAAAATTAGAAACACCATCACTGTCGCAGGGTGATTTTTACCTGAAATAATAAACCCAAGAAAAAGTCCTTGTCATCAAAAAAGGACCAGATTAAACCAGATTAAATCTGACTCTATGATTTCTCATGACTGTGACATTTCTCATCATCACAGTGAATTTCTGAAGGACGCTCAGACCACAGTGATGCTGAGACACTCAGGTAAGTCAGAGTGTCACTGAACAGCTGATCTGATCTTCATTAAGACTGATTATTAATCATAAATCACAGACTGATATGATTCAGAGCTCTACTGTGTTCTGACGGAGTTTGAAGGCGAGGAAGTGAATCTGTTGTTGGTGTTGTTTATTTCCTCCACCCTCCTCCTCCTCCAGGCAGCTGAAGGAAACCAGTGAAGAATAGAGCCGCTGCAGCAATTAAGGCTGAATTTACCTCCCAACAGCCCACTCTGCATGCTGGAAGACTGACCCTGATCCACGCTCCTCATCCTCCAACACGGCTGAGTGGGTGGGAAGCATCCCGGTTTATTCTCAGAGCTCCCTCCATCATCGCTGGAGCACGTGTCAGAGTAAACACGGCTCTGCTGATGGAGAGAGAGAGAAACGCTCGGTGACCTTCAATCAGGGAGGTCTCTGTGCGGAGGGAACTCTGAGTTTGTCTTATTACGGAGGAACTGTCATGATGATCCAGGTTCAACAAAAGGGAGAGGACCGAAAATACAGAACGAAGGATTTATTTAAAAACAACTAAATAAGAAGAAATAGGAACGGAAAAATCCCAAAATCAAACAGAAGGAGACGAGGATTCACACATGGACTAAAACTGAGACTGAAGCATTTTCAGATTTCCCTCAAAAACTAAAGGCGAAAAGAAAAGTCCTCTGAATGTTTGAGCTGAAGGTAACGTCACATTTATTTTCATCTGCATCAGCCTGGAGGATGATCGTCGCTGTGATCGTCGGTGTGATCGTCGGTCTGATCGTTGGTTTGATCAAGCCGGACCCTGATAAACAGCGTAGACAAATGTTACCATGGCCCGTATGCACGTTGAAAGCGTTTAGCGTGAACGCGATTAGGGCTTAAACGCGTTTAGTTATACGGGCCTTAAACGCGTTTAGTTCCTATACGATTTTAGTATGCACAATGCTGTAAACGGAACCGTATAGCTAACCGCGTTTACTGTGTCTTAAACGGGTCGAGTGACGCTCGAGTGACGGTTCAACTGACTGTCGACTGATCCACTCCTACCAACTCCCCACACACGTCTTGGAAAGAAGAAGTGGCGTTGTACTGTAAGGTTACGAGGACTTGTTGTAGTGGAGTGAGGGTGAATCCTCGGTTCGAAAGTTCAATTTCAGCGGAAATCTCCTGTGTGAGGTCGAAAATATGGTGCCGTCAAAATCTAAACTTACGGAACACTTCGTGGTCGTCATACATGTCGAAGGGGTGTTTTCTGTCACGAAAAATTCTGTTTCGACGCAATTGTCGCCGCTGTCTTCCTTGGAACAACAAGAGTGCCGCCGTATTTAAACGCGTTTAGACCCGCTATTGGACCCCCAGAGGTGCGATAACTTTAAACGCGAAAATCCGTATAGGAACGGCTATACGAAGTGACGTGCATACCGACATTTTTGGCGTTTAGGAGTTAAACACGTTTAGCCCGCTAAACGCGTTTTGCCAAGCAACGTGCATACGGCCCCATAACACCTCTGCTTGTATAGAGATGAACTCTGCTGCACGGATTGCAGGACAGGCTGCTGCTCCTCTGTTCTCTCAGCTCATTTAAAACAGACGACCTCTAAAGGTCAGCTCCTAAACAGCTGATTTCCTTTTTTTAACCCGCCTGAAAACCAAGTATGAGGCTCCCTGACAGACTAGTGGACATGAGAGGAACTGCAGTTTATGGGACTTCCTTTTATTGACACTTTTAGTATCACTGCTGTCCGGTTGATACTGGATATAATGATGGTGTTTTGATGGCGTGTGTGTGTGTGTGTGTGTGTGTGTGTGTGTGTGTGTGTGTGTGCGTGAGTGTGTGTGTTCAAGGTTACAGGCCGGTGAAATGAAGCTCGGCTGCCAAGTCTTGTGCGTTCATGCAAAGACACGCCGTGTTGATTGCATAAGAGTGAAAGTAGAAACCTCTGACCCCAACCAGATCCGGATCCCCCAAATCCCGACCATAAATCACACCCCGTTCCTCCTCCTCCGTGTTTGTGGAGAGTCCGGCCTTCATTCAGTTCGTTTCTGTTTACCTTAAAAAAATATAGAAAACTTTTATTTGTGAGATTTTTTTATTTGATCAACACAAGAGTTTTTTTGTCCTTCAGTTTGTTGAATTATGGACAAACAAAGACCCTGTGAGGAGAAGAGGAGGTGCAGCTCAAAGAAACTGCATTTCAGTGGAAGACTAGAGGAGGTGAGAGGAGAAACTTCAACTCCAGACCAGGAAACACGCTCCAGAGTTCTGACACAGATGATATTCACACCAATATTCAAATGATCGATCAATATTCAGCCTCTGTCTGAGCGTAAAGCCCCAAAATAAATAAAAGTATTTACATTATTGTCCTGAAACGTCCTCGCCATCCCAAGATGCTCGCTCAGGGGGAACATGGCGGCAGGATAACCACGCCCCTTTACTTTCTGGAGCGACCCCATTCTGAGATTTTTAGCACAAGTCAGCAGGATGAAAAAACGAAGGAGTGCGACTCTGCTGAGACGGCAGTCTGGTGTTCGGGGTCACCCACATGGAGCTTTAATGTGGAGGAAATAATCCATCTCAGCAGAGAGACACAGTCTGACCCAGAATCTAAACCTGTCCTGATGAAAGAGAGAAAACCAGACCAGCTCAGACCGTCTGTAAATATGACAGAAACGATCATAATAAAAATATACATTCAACCAAAACAACGACAGACGTCTGCAGCTGAATGTCAGTGATGACATTTGGTAATATATCCATATCTCTGTGTTTGCAGAGTTTCAATAATAAACTGAAAAGACAGCGGTCAGTGACTCTGGTTGTATAAGTAACGATATAAAGATTTTAAAGGGGGCCCGCGTCACCCCTGGCTGCCCCTCTAGATCCGGCCCTGTTTAGCTGAAAACCTGATTTTCCTTCTTCTGCCTGAGATCAGAGACAAACATGTTGAAGTTCATCGAACCAGGTCTTCAAATAAAAACAGACAAAAACTGTGTTTTTTTTCCTTTACATTTATGACGGACTCTTCGGTCTCCTCCATGTCCACCTGTCCCCTCACCTGTGTCATAGTTACACACAGATGGTCCTGAACCAAGTCCTGCATTTAAGTACTATAAGATCTGAAGTCCTGGTCTCCTCTTATGGGGTCAAAATGAAAACTCTTGGTTGACCTGAAGCTCTGTTCTCACCACAGACACCTGGAGAAATATTCGCAGGTTCATTTTCAGACTCCAGACTCGGGTTCAAACTGTGAACCCACAAATAATCTCAGCGAAACTACGATCAGGTTTCTCAAAATATTCATACAAAACTTTGCTATTGCCATGCACGTGAAGATCTACTGCAGGTGGAGACTCGTCCGTTCATCTGAGGGACGCAGAAAGTCGACCCGATGAGGAACCTCAGAGTTTGACTTCTGTGCTTTAAAAGAGACGATTGAAGGTGTCTGATTAAGATCCTCCTGACGCCTCCTTTTGGAGATTTTCCAGACACACCCAACAAGGAGGACGACCTGAGCTGGCCGGAAGGAGAAGTTCTCCCATCTGGCCTGAGGACCCCTTTGAGACGGAAACGGACGTCCTGCATTGAGCCGCGACTTAAAGCGAATAAATAAGGGACTGCTGATGGACGTAGAAAAGACTCGAGTTTCTCCACGTCTTGGAGAAATCTCTTTGGTGGCGTCCTCGTGTCAGAAGATTGACAGTCAAAGGAAACTTCCCACGATGTCTCACTGAAACAAAACACAGAAACTAAAGGTTAAATCGCGGACTCTTTCGGCGAGGACATCTGACCACGTCCAGGAGCGGCCTGATCGCTCACCAGATCTGATGAACACTTCCTGTCCTTCTGCTCGCCCTCCCCGTCCTCCTCCTCCTCGTCCCGGCTGATGAAGGCCAACTCGTTCTCGTAGCAGAAGGAGTTCGCTCCGCTCGTTGGGAACTTTCTCTCCTCCATGTCTTTGGCGCTGCACCTGGGCGTGGACGGTACCTCGAAGGTTTTGTGAAAGTAGGCGTAGTCGACCCTGTACTGGCTCTTCTCCTCGAAGATGACGGGCTCAAAGCGGTGACCCCACAGGATCTCCGAGGACAGGTACGAGCTGCGAGCCTGCGTCGTCATGGCGGTGGCCTCCACCAGACCTTCAAGTATGATCACGATCTCAAAGTCCGATGTTTCCAGGTCTTGTTTACTGATGCCGAACAGCGGGCTGTCCTCGTCGATCTCATGGATGACGGTGAGGGGCGCCACCAGGAACAGGCGGTCCGTGCCTTTGTCGTAGCCCACGTTCATGTCGATCTGGTCCAGCGGGATGTATTCGCCCTCCTCCGTGAACCGGGACTTGACCAGCTGAGCGCGGACATGAGCCTCCACGATGTGGCTCTTCCTTAAATTAGCGACTCTGAACATGAGGCAGAGTTTCCCGTCTCGCAGAGCGATGACGGCGTTGTGGCTGAACAGCAGGGTCTCTGCACGCTTTTTGGGCCTCGCCATTTTGGCCATGATAGCGCCGATCATGAAGGCGTCGATGATGCACCCCATGATGGACTGAAAGACCACCATGAAGACCGCCGCCGGGCATTCCTCCGTCACAAAGCGCGCTCCATATCCGATGGTGGTCTGGGTCTCCACGGAGAACAGGAAAGCGGCCACGAAGGTGTTGACCTGCGTGACGCAAGGAACAAAACTGTCATCCCCTCCCGGATGGTCCATGTCGCCATGAAGAAGCCCTATTACCCAGAATGCAAAGCCAAAGGTGAGCCAGGACACCACAAACGCCAGGCTGAACATCAGGAACATGTATCGCCAGCGGATGTCCACACACGTGGTGAAGATGTCCGAGATGTAGCGCTGCGACTTCTCGTCCATGTTCGAGAAACGGACATTGCACTGGCCGCTCTTGGCGACGAAGCGGCTTCGATATTTGCGTCTGGTGTGAATCTTCCCGTTGCCGAAGCTGCCGACCGCTGGCATGGTGCTGAGTCTCAGACCTTCGTCTTCGCAGGACAGGAAGCTGTGGTGGTGGTGATGGGCCCTTCCCACACTCATGCCTTAGAGGGGCGGAGCCACGTGGCCTCACACAGCCCGGCTCATACAGAAGTGACCAGGCTCATGGGAAACGAAGTCTGTGTCGGCGAGAACGGGCCCAGGAGACGAGTCCTGGAGGAGGGAGAGAGAAAAACCATCAGAGGAACTTCAACTTCAAATATCACACCAAGAACAAGACGAGGTCAGTGAAACCACGTCCAGACTGGAGACACGTCCATCTACCTTTAGACGAAAAAACACACAGGGTTATTTGAAGAACGGATAAAGAGTCATGATCGATCTAAAGACGGAGGAAGGGACAAACTTAACGAGGAGAATTCATCAATGAACTGATGGAGGAGAGGAAAACAGGCGGTTTTAACCCCCGACCTCCACCTTCATCCTGATCGTCTCCTAAAAGGTCGTATCCTCCGATCGTAGCTGATCGTAACCATTCAAGTTAACGTGTCAATTTACACCGACTTCTTTCCGTTCCTCTGCGGATCGCCGGACTCCACAGCTGATCAAGAGTTCTATTTTTTCTGGACGCCGCAGCATGGCGGATAAATTCAGCACAGATTAACCCGTGCTGGAAAGGAAGTCGGGCACAGACACAAAATAAAACATCCGGCTTCTTTTCAAAATAAAACAGGAGGATCGTATTTCACACCATGCAAACGGGCGGAGACGAACAAGTGAGTTCTCGAGATTCCTGCTGTCTGTAATCCACCACGAAATTCGCCTCACAAACAGATCCGGTAGGAAGTGTCAGATGGTGAGACTCTTCACTCGTGTTACAGGACCACCTAAACCTCCAGGACCCCTGACAGGAAATCCAAACGATCTCAGACAGAAACTTCAGAGAAGATTCTCCGTTTGTCCAGAACTGACCCCCAACAGCTCCTGACCATTACCGCAGCCTTCGAACCCCCCTCGTAAAACGATGAGTCATTGTTATCAGCTTCACTTCCTGCTGTGCAGAGTCCTTCCTCCCAGACCACACTGAGGCTTTTTAATCCGATTTTTTCTGCTGGTTTTATTTTATTTTTTTGATTTTTTTCTCTCAGTTTGATCGAATCTCAGCGATGATCACATTAAAGTTTCCAGACGGTTTAAAGTCGATGACAAACAGAAGAGGAGGATCTGAAAATGTGTTCTTATGTTAAAACCTGATATTAACATCTACTGATGAACACATGAACTACATCTACATACACGTCTGTGATTCTATTATAGAGTTTATACAATACATGTTCTCTGGTCAACAGGGACAGAAATAGCCCTGCCGTTTTATGTGACGTATCTTCTGTTTCCTCCAGCTGGCAGAGAGTCGAGGCTGTGAGTCTCTCCGGAGGCTGGACTGGAAAATAATACGAGCTGAAGAGGATCGAGACCGCCGCCGTACAGAAACACGTCACCGTCAAGAGCTATTAGACTAGAGTTATTAAAAATGAGAGAGAGAGAGAGCTATTGATCAGATCTATTTGTTTAAATCCGTTCAGGTCATAGACTGTATAAACTACGGACAGCTTGGCTCCTCCCCCTCTCTGTATTTCCACGATTTTCTCCACTTCCTGAAACCAAAGTTGCGCAGTAGAGTTGTACGCATTCACAGAGTCGCTGTGACGGGTCAGGTAGCGACAGTCTCCCCTGCTGACTCCTCCTGCTATCTGGCCTACGGTGGCCTTAAAGGACAAAAAGCTTCTATGAGGCCTGATCCCGTCTAAAACACAGAACAACTCTAACAGACACGCTCTAAATACAAAAACACAAACGTCTCTAGTTTGTCCTTTCTGAGCTCCTGTAGAAACGTTCATATCAAACATCTCAGTGTTGGTTTTGGCGCCCCCTGTGGACACTCTCTTTTCTGCTGGTCTGGTGGTCTTCATGTGTAGGTGATGAAGATCTCCTCCTGCTGTCTGTCGCAGTTAAAAATATCGCTGACTGTGAATCTTTACAGCGAGCGTGTTTCTGCGGCGAGCTGCTCATCACAGCTGACAGCAGGAAGACTCGGTAAAAATAGCTTTATTGAAATCATCATCATCATCATCATCATCATCATCGTCTCTCCTCTTCTTCCTCTCTGACGGTCTGGTTGGTTTGAGTCATGAAACAGATAAAAACTCCTCACAGGAGCTGAAGAGAGATTTTCATTTCTTTAGTTTTTATTTAGAGATGTTGTCGTTTTGTCGTCGTTTTGTCGTCGTTTTGTCGACGTCTAACTGTCGGTTTTATTTTACAGGATAATCTCACCGACTCTGGAGGGACTAATAAAACATGACGCTGTCTCACCATTGCTGGACGAGGTGACTCTGACTATGATCATCTGTTGGGTTTGTGTTTGGGTGTCGACCCCTTCAGACCGAGACGGATCCTCCCTGTCTTTAAAACAAACACAGACCTGAACCTCATCCATTCATCTTCTTTTATCAACTTACGAAACGCTGAACATGAATTTATAAACATGAATTTCCCTTCGAGGAAATCTAAAGTTTTATTTTTCTTCCTCACAGAGAAGTGAGCAGAAGACAAACTGAGTCATAAATGATTAATAATTAAACTTTTAGCCCTGATTGATCGAACCTTAAACCTCACATTCATCCCTGATATCAAGTCTTCATCTGTTCGTGTTCCTCTGAGTGTTTTTCTCTGACTGATGATCTAAAGATATGAATATTGAATATTTTGTTCCCCGACTCTCCGAAGAGACAGAAATAAGTCTGTCTGTAAAATTAAACTCCCATTAATCTGCAGGGATTAACAGCTGCAGGATTATCTCGTCGTCTTTACAAACACTCACCTGATGAACGTTGAAGATTCTCCTCTTTTTTTAGCCGAACTGCTGCATGTTTCTCCTCCTTGTTCCTCCTGTATTTCTCCTCCTCTCTCACGGGTTGGACCTCTTTTCTCTCCTGAGGTAGAAAAGTCCACGGCGAACCATCATCATGTCTACGCCTCTGAGTTTCAGCGCGTCTCCTTCCTTCTCATTAAGGAGAACATTAGAGTCAGATCCTCCAGACTTCGAGCTCGATTGATCTCCGGCTGATCAGGGTTCGAAAAGCTCTGAATTTGGACCCTTCAGCCTGATCACAGCTTTCCAAATTAAATGTGTGTGGGTCTCACGTGGCCTGAAGGGTCCGATCCAATCAAAAAATCAATTCCTCAAAGCTTATTTTAGAGTCATGTGCGGCCGACAGTCTCACACTTTCTCGGTAGATCTGCTATCTGATCCGTTCCTGCTGCTGCAGATCCCACTCTGTTTCCCACATCCACTGAACTCTTGCTCACGGCTCAGCTCTCGTCCTCCCCCTCCCTCTCTCCGTGTCACCGTAGAAACTTGGCATTTGGAGACTGCATGCTTCTCCCCCCTGCCATGTGTTGCACCATGCGGAGCTGCAGGGTCCAGCTGATCATTCAGGAGGTGAAGAAGAAGAGGTTCCTCCTGGGAACACCTCTGGGAAGTTCTCTGATGAGTCTGTTTACTAAGAATCTGATCGATCAGAGTTTTGTTCTCCTGAATACGATCATGTCCTTCAGACAGACGTTACAGAGCGACAGATTTACAACTGAAGGAACAACCTGCTGATAATACAGGAGGAGAAACTCAGTTATTTTATCTTTTTTATTTCCTGGTAAACCTTCAAGAGAATCGAGTTTAACTTAACTCAACTTAACTTAACTTAACTTAACTCAACTCAACTCAACTCAACTCAACTCAACTCAACTCAACTCAACTCAACTCAACTCAACTCAACTTAACTTAACTTAACTTAACTTAACTTAACTTAACTTAACTTAACTCAACTCAACTTAACTTAACTTAACTTAACTTAACTTAACTTACCCAAGTGCAAAGAGGCCCAGAATCAAAACCCTTGTTTGTATTGAGACCTCAGGTCAGTCCATTACAGTCTACAGTGGGGTGCCGCAGCTCAAGGAAGAACATTTATGATCATTTCTTCATCGTTTCCTTGAAGTAATAATCATCATATTGATCGTTTTACAGACGCGGTAGTTCTTCTGTCTTAGCGTCTCGGTCTGATTGTATTTCCATGAAGAAATAAAGTAAACGTGAAAATAAACGTGAAAATAAACTGACCTGGAAGTTCTCTAAAAAATATAAATAGGTAAAGCACCTATAGGTAGTTTTTTGGTTCGGGTCAGTTTAGGCGCCCCCCTGTGGACAAAGCCGTCTATGTTTAACTCGTCTGTTTTTTAACAGTCAAAGGTTTCAGTGAGTTTCTGTCACAGACGGTAAAAACAGGCGGTAACATGAGAAACAGTCGGTTTGTTTATCTTCATAAACATCCTTAAAACCAGAATCAGAGGAAGTCCAGACTTCATGGTGTCCCTTAAACCCGGACCCTCCAGAGTCCTCCGGGTCTGTGTTGTTTGTTTGTTGGACCTCATCAGTTTTTCCGATCCTGGTCTGACCCAGATTCAGGAGAGGCCGTCAGACCGCCGTGACAAAGGTGAGCGTCACGCTGCGACGTGTCGGCCTCCCAAGAAGCCGAACCATGATGGTCTGAGTGTCGGATTATAAAAGAGAGGAAATATTCGACCAATGAGAGCGCAGGAGGACAAACACGCACGGCGGTGTAAACGACAAAAAAAACATTTTAAAGAGCCGGAGGAGAGGGTGTGTGTGTGTGTGTGTGTGTGTGTGTGTTAATGGGTTTCAGGTTCAGTGTGGATGTACAGTGTGTTATCAGGGCAGAGGGAGTCCGGCCAATCACAGGAGAGTTATTTAAAGGACGCTTCACTGCGGCACGACTAAGTGGGCCAGAACCGAGCTGCAGGATCGGATCAGCTCTCAGAAACCCACTCTCCTGGTTCAGGGTCAGTCTTAGTCCTCTGTTACTGTCATAAAAGAGGAACCTGCATCACTTCAGGACCTTCACCTCTTCATCTCCAGACCTCCTCAGTCGATGTGAGGAGAGTCCGACTTTGTTATCTTAGTGAACACGAAACTGAACCACCTAACAACACATGAACACATGAACACATGAACACATGAACACATGAACACATGATGTAAACGACATGAGGACAATTTTTAAATCCTTTACCTGAAATTAAAATGATCAGACCTCAAAAAACACTCTTCTTCTTCTTCTTCTTCTTCTTCTTCTTCTTCTTCTTCTTCTTCTTCTGTAAAACACAGCTGGACTAACCCAAGGTGGTCTGATTTGACTTGTCCAGAGAAGTCCAAAGTTAGATATGAAGTGTTTGTCAAATATATTAATGAAAATGAAGATTAGATTATTTGGGATAAATCAGTTTTGATTTGAATGATTTTTTCTTCAATCTTAAATCAGATTTTTCTGTCTCAGGGTGGAGCGACTGTCCTGCAGAGAGGAGCGAAGGTTCGAGTCGGTCAGTGTGAGATGGCCGTGATCACAGAGAACAAACAGATCTGCAGAAAACTCGGAGTTGGCAGCAAACAGCGACCAAAACAGGCTGAGTGGGGAGGAGAGGCGTTGGTGCACCCACCATAAAAAAAAAAGAGAGAGAGAGAGAGAGAAACGCTGAGAGTGAGTCCACAAGTTAGAGAAGTTTTTCAGAGGCTTTCAGGAGGATCCAGTTTGAACATCCAGACCTGATCGACGTCCTGAAACAGTCAGCTCCTTCTTTAGTCCGTGTTTTATTAAAAAACATCATATTCAGCCTCAGACAGGTGGAGGTTCACAGGTGGAGCTGGAGCCGAGTCAACAAACGGTTTTACTAAAGGAGTCTGCAGAGTCCTGAATTCACCGAGAACAAAGTGAGATTCACGTCAGGCTTTTGTTGTTTTTGAACATCGTTTCTTTCTCTTTCTGTTTCTGCTCGTTTATTTCTGAAACAGTTTTTTATTTTAATAAAAAGTGATTTTTGATTTTTTCTAAAGTGCTTCCCCAAATATCAATCAGCCTCGTCGTCCTCCGTGCCGAGGCCCGAGCTGCCAAACGGATTTTGGTGCCAAACTTGTATTTTTATCCCAGGTGAAGCATGTAGGATTATCTATTGTCATGGAAACTGACAAACTTGTTTTTGAGCAAACAAATTTCATGTAGGCCACACGCCTCTGGACCTGATTCTGTAACACGCTGATTCAAATTAAAGAGCAGAAAAAACACACACCTTCAAGTCAGACTGAGCTGTGTGTGTAGCTGTGTGTAGCTGTGTGTAGTTGTGTGTAGTTGTGTGTAGTTATGTGTTTTTCAGGAAGCAGGTCGTGGTCTTCGATCAGAGCAGACTTCTGCGCTCTTTGCTGCTCATAATTGATCTTTGCAGGATAAAATGGGACACTTATTTTCGCAGCCTGAGCAGGTGCAGCCGGCGTGAAAACTGGTGTTTCTATATCAGCTGTTAATCCGTCATGAAGCGTTTGTGGGTCAACGACGACGACGACCAGGAACAAACTCAGAACTAACTCTGCAGGTCTTCGACAATTCTCCAGGTCCGTTTGACAAGAAACACTTCTGTTACAGACACTTGTCTTACTTTGTTAAAGCGGTTTACCTGTCCAGCAGAAAGGTTACAGGGTCACCAAGATCCCCAAGCGTCCCCCATGGTTTATGTTGACCCGGCTTTTTAGCTCTTGTCCGGTCTACCTCCGTTTTAAGCGCCCGTTATTCCTCCAGAGTCTCCGGTATTTACTTTGTTTTCTTGCTTGTGTCGGCAGTCGTGGCCAAAGGAGGATTCCGACAATTTTCCGAACTTTCTGGTTGGTTTCTACTGTCCGATATTGTAGCACGCTAACTTTGTTTGGGCTCCTGAACGACACGGGGGAGCAGCGTCTGCCTCACAACCAATCAGGTTAGAGGAGGTGGAGAACGGCTTTGTTTACAGTCAGAAAGAGCGGACCGCTCAAAAATGTTCAAATGTTGACGACACAGACATAAGAGAACACAGAGATATCGATATATTACCAAATGTCATCAATAACTAATAACTATTGACTGATATTAGAAGAGTTTTTGTATTAAAACCACAAAATAAAAAGATGCTTCTTTAACAGATTCCTGTCTACTTCACCTTTAAGTCGGTTTTCTTCTTGTGGACCAGACTTCTTTCCTTAGACTAGAGATCAGCTGGACTCTCTCATATGAATATTTGCGTTGGCTTGTCTTTGTGCAGTTTGCTGTTCCCAAAGTCTGAACTGAGCTGGTTAAGAAGGCCTTTAGGTTTTCTGCTCCTTCTGCTGGAACTAGAAAAACTGCATTTCCTTGCAGAAAATGCGTGGAAATGCTGAGTGCTGAAAGCTGAAAAAGCAATGCTAAACTGCTAATAAAACATGGAGAAAGGTATAAATGTTAAAGCTGTTGAAGGAGTGAAAAAGAAATCTAAGTTGGATAATGGTTTAATTGGTTGAAGGACAAAGAGTATGAATATGCTCTATAAAAGGAAATTTGATTCATGCTGAAAGAGGCTAGAAAAATGTCTAAAATTGAAAGTTTAAATGAAGAAGGAAACTGCCTTAAAAGGCAGGAAGGTGAGAAGTGGCATAAGTTTAAGTTGTAGTACTAGAAGTAGTATGATAAGAGGTCAAGTCGTGATACTAGTAGTCATGTCAGCAGTAGAAGTAGTTTGAGAATTAAAGAAGTATAAGTCAAAGTAGTAGAGAAAGTAGAAATAGTAGCAATAGCAGAAGTAGAGAAAGTAGAAATAGGAGCAATAGCAGTTGAAGTAGAGGGGAAAGTACTAGTTTAATTGACATTAGCAGTAGTTGTAGTACTAGAGGTAGGATTTTGTTTGAAGGATGGAATAATGCATAAATATTAAAACTAATTTAAAACATGGAAAATTTAAATAATTAAAAATCCTGAAGTATCAGAAAGTTTTTAAGTATCAGAAAGGTTTGAATCAGTTTGAATAACTTTAAATTAGTTTGAAAAATTAAATGATAAATCATCACTGAGTGACTTTAAAATGTGAAAAATTTAAATGAATATAAATCCTGAATACACCCCATAATGTCCTCAATGAGCTTAAATTTTAAAGCCCTGAATGGTTTCTGTAGGTCAAAGGTCATGTGAGGAGATAGGGGCTGAAGTTTTTTCAAGCGCTCTAGGAAAGGGTTTTAAGTGTCACCCCCAGTGCTATGTGTACTGAGCCTGGCTTTATGTGTCTCATATGGCCATTAGAAGCAGCTTTACGGTCAGCTGTGTGTCTCCAGGTGCACAAATTGGTTGCCATGGGGACCTTGGATGCATAACTATAGCAGGAGAAAGAAGGCTTGAAGCTAAGGAAACAGGACTCCAAGTAGGGCCTGACGCTCATCCTCTGTAT